AACACGCTGATTTTTCGCTGCCAAAGCCATGATTTCAGCCACGCTTCCAACGGCGGAAGCTGCGCGTGCCGCGCGCCTCCGAGTTCCACATTCGTTTTCCAGGCGCGAAGCGATTTTTTCGGGTGGCCGATTGAAACAACGAAGGCTGGGTCGAATGGTCCATTTTTTGGTCGAACACAATACTTTGGTCAAAGTTTTTTTTGGTCACATTAGTGACATTTAAGATCCTCTCATCGCTGCTTCAGCCGCATTTTTTCGCAGGGAGCCGAAGCCGAGTCGTGGAGAGCACCCAGGTCTGGTGTGTGGGATTTGACCCGGCTGGTCCCGGGTCAACTGGGGGTATTCAGAACATGAAAAAATAACATATGGATGGTATATGACGGTATCAATATGTAATGGGTATACCTGGTTTTTGACTAAGAACCCCTATTTATTACCATCCCACTATCTACTGAGGATGCCGCCAAACCTTCCTTTGTTGATGGTTGAAGCCCCAAGATGGATGTGATCCACGGCAGATCGGCAGGATGTGGCCGGAGCCATGGTTTTGCTCCGCAGATAGCGCGTTTCGCGCATTTCGCCGTGGCTGGGGGTGTGGCCCAAAAAGCCCTTCGCCGCAGATGTCGTCGAAGGTGTGTCCCCGGGTCTCCCGGTGGAACCAAAAAACCATAGATCCAGTAGTAAACCAGCTTCACTGGGGCATATACCATCCCTCAAGACCCGGGATTACGCAGACCATTTTGATGCTTTGATTTGACCGGTCATTTTGAGGATGAATCATCAAAACAAACTACTTCACAGGTAGGGACAGGGACCTCAAATTAGGGGATAACTGGTCACTGTGAGTGCCCCGGAACCTACTTTGTGGACCCGAGTTTGATCCAAACTTGTTATTCAAGGCAAAAACATCATGCATTGATCTACGGAGACATTCTCCGATGTTATTTGGTTGTAGCTTCTGTATTTCTCCCCGGGTGCACGACACTTGACCAATCCTTTGACAACAACATCAGGAGCCTTTGCCAAAGCTCACATGCGGGGATCATCACCAATATTGTGGCGGGGACCAGCATCCATAGTGCCATAAATCCCCAAGATTTCGGGCTGAACTTCACCAGGTACCCGAAAAATGGCAAGCCACAGTTCCTGATGATCCCCCAAAAGCATCCCTTTTAACGCCGTTTCTCCAGGAACAAATCCTTGAAATATTTCGAAGGATTTCCGCACACCTTGGACTATGGCCTTTACTTCTTCGGCCCCGATGGCGCCTGTCAGAAATATGTGGCGGGCCAAGCGAACCCCTATTGCCTGGAGCATCGCAAGACCCTGATCTATGTACATGGCTGGGAGGCACAGTGGGACAAACACTTCTGAATCTTTCTGAATGCTATTTTTTTCCCATTGCAGACATTTTGATGCGGAGACAGATGGGGAAAAACTGGATAAACAACCAACAAACATGAGATCAACCGAGCTGCATTTCGGGGGCGTAGGCGGATCGCATCGAGCATAGCTTCCGCGAAACCTTCCATTGGAGCAGCAACGAACCCAGATTTGGCCTGGATTTGGATTTAGCGCCTCCCTGGTTGGATCGAAACTGGAATGTGGGCATCTTTTACTGGGTGCCTTGACATTTTTCCCAGTTTTTTGTGGCTGAGTTTGGGGGATATGGAATTGTGGAATCTTGCGGAGATTGGTTGCAACATGGTGACGTGGTTTTGTTTCTGCAGCAGCTGAATTCTGGATGTTGGTGAGTCAATTTGCAGGACATTTCCCCCTCAGAATTCTTGAAACACGACTTTTGCAGGACATTTCCCCCTCAGAATTGTTCTTGAAAACCATCGCGAATCCCTTTTTGAATTCCCAAAGCAATCCGTTGTGGGTTAAGTTAGTTCCCAAAGATCATCACCATTTATTCCGTAAATCATCCTAGAATGGATCGATTTTTATAAATTACAACCCTGTAAATCCATGTAAATCCCACGATGTGGGGAAGAATTCCCCAAAGATCTCCCAAAAGAAGTTAGTTCCAGTTGATTCCCAAGACGACCAGGACCAGTTCTCAGACGAACCATGGCTGCCAGATGCGGAAGCGAAGATCTGGAACGCCCAGGGGCCGAGGTGCGAAGTGAAAAACCCATGGTCAGTCTACGGATGTGACACTCCGTCAAAACTTGGGGATATGATTGGTATATTCTCCATCTTGGGGGGATGGCCATCAATTACCAGGTTACCATGGCCATCAATGATTTCAATTACCATAGATAGTCTAGGTATGTGATTTACCCTCTGGTAATTTAACATAACTATGGAAAATCACCATTTTTAATGGGAAAATCCACTATAAATGGCCATTTTCAATAGCTATGTTAGTTTACCAGAGGGTATCTACTTGTTGATGGCCATCAATCCATTTTCATAGTGATTTGGCCATCCCCAAAATCTTTGAATTCCCACGGGACGACCCGAAAAAAAAAAACAATCTTTTGACCATGGCACATATGTACGTAACATCCGCAAAAACACATCTACATCTAGATACACATACACATCACCATGATCGATACCCTCTGGTAAATGTACGAAAAGCTATTGAAAATGGCCATTTATGGTGAGTTTTCCTATTGAAAAGAGTGATTTTCCATAGTTATGTAAACGTTTACCAGAGGGTAACTTTGCATGCTTTCAAGGCTTGATTGATCTTCGTGTAGATCATGGATTCGGGATGAACTGCTCCGATACGGCGGTGTTTTTTTCTACCTGGGGGGTACAAATGCATCAATCGGTGGGGCTATCTAAGGGTTGACGATACGGCTTAACACTATTTACTCCAATGACTGGATGACTTCCGATCCAAAAAATTGCAGCTGATGTCATTCGATTGGTTCCCAATTTCGAGAGCGGTATATTTTTAGGAACCCATTTTGATGTGGCATATATGGTTTATGGTTGGGTTTACCATGTTGCAAAGTTGCAGTTAGTAGATTCCAGCAAGTATGTGGTTCAGAACTATAGTAAGTTTTGGCTCAGGCGCCGCCGTTCGACCACACTCCAAGCTGTCCCAACTTACCCTGAAACTTAATCCACATGTTCAACGATTTCACTGATTGAAGATCTTCAATAAGGGATCAAATCCCCCACCGCCGTTAAACTATCACACTGATTAAAGATCTTGAACAAAAAGATCAAATCCTCCATGACTGTTAAACTATTACACTGATTAAAGATCACTCAAATCGCAAAGCCCTTTTCGATCACGCCCAATAACATGTCAAGACATGTTGAGACGGTCATTTTGTACGGGAAATACCATGGTTTGGCCCTTCATCAAGAAGTGATACATTGCATTCCAGGCAAACATAGACTCCTGGCCGTAAGTTTACCCAGTTGTATTGGGATATCTCCAGTTACATATTATAGGTTGTATTTAGTTACTAGCTGGCATGCAGATCCCTACTTGGGATACATAAGCACCCAACAAGAGATTCTCAGCGTCAAACATGCCAGTGAAAAACTGGACAAAGATTCAGTTACATCAAAGATATGAAAAACATTGCTGTGCCCTTCACATGGCTTTTGGTTCAATTCATATGGCGCTGGTAAGACTGGTGGGATCTGAACAAAATCGGCATGTCAGGAGCATGCGCTACAGAGTGGCCTCTGGCGATTTCCAGGCCACCCAGTGGGTTACTGGTTGTCGCCTGGGTAGCCCAAAAGTGGTCGTTGTGGATCAGAAAAATCCAGCCCATTTTTGATGGGATTTTACAGGTATTTCATGGGATTTCATGGATCTTTTTTTCGGTTTTATGGATGTAACATGGCATGTTTTCGGCTGCCCCAACCTGCCCCAACTGTGGTATCCAGCCTGGCGGGTTTCCCAGATGGACCGCCCACACCTCCAATGGTTCCTACAGGATGGGGCCTCCAGTCGAGCGGAGCGATAGCGTGAACCGTTGAGTAATATGGCTCAACTATGGCTGAAAAAAACCTATGGTTTATGGTAGATATAACATGATATACCATGATATAACTATTGTGAATGGGGTTTTTTAACTAATATAATAACTATTGTAGATTTATTTCTATGGGCTTTACAAAGCAACGTTCACATAACTGGGGGCCATCCTGTAGTTAGGTCTCCATTTTCCTAGTGCCCAGTGGGTAATAAGCCAACTGGAACACTTTCTTTGTTAAAATCCCAAGGATACAGCCCCCCTTTCAAGACAACTTGTGTAGATTGCCCTGGAACTGTGATGCTACCTGTAGTCTCCTGTAATTTCACTTAGTTCAATGGGAATTTGCATCTTGCATTACCAATAGTCATAGCCATTCCATCTTTTACCATCTTGAAAAACACGCATTTCTATGGATAAAAAAAATGAAAAAACCAACCGGAAGTCTCCTTCTGGGTATCTCTTTCTGGTCTCCGGATATTCTGGATCATCCCCCAACGGCGATGGATGGTTTGACCCCCCAAAAATGTCATGGTCCCATCTTTTTTCACATCTTTGACTCTCATTTTTATAGTCTTGGTTTATATCATCCTATGATTTATGACAATTTATGATTTATCACTCTTTATAGTCATTTAATCGCGTTTTTTTTTGGCGTAAATTATATAATTATCATTCATATTATTGCTATGAATCATATAAGACATGATTTACCATAAATCCCATATTTTCCACAACTTATCATGGACATCATGGGAGATCATTTTTATCATGATTTTCCCATGAATTTCCCATGAATTGGGATGACTATCATGAGTTGGGATACATATCATGAACGGTTGGGATGAATATTTTTCCATCTTTTTCCATCAATTTCCCACATGATCCACAATTTATCATGGATATCATGACTTGGAATATGATTCCCATGGTTGGATGGATTTCTTTCCAATCATTTCCCAATCATTCCCAATTTTTCCATCTTTTCCAATAAATGTCCCATCAATTTCCCATCAATTTCCTATAAATTTCCCATACATTTCCCATAAATCCCCCATCAATTTCCCATAAATTTCCCATAAATTTCCGGACTTGGGGATTTTCCCCAGGCTTCCTCCGTGCGCGGCAGCGCCTCTGAACTTTTGGCTGCGCAGCTGCTGAGTCTGCCTGAAGGGATGGAGCTACGATTGGCCGGACATTCCCTGGGGTGACGCGGTGGAAATCTTGGGGATTGGGGGATTTCCAGTGATGTGAACGTTGGTTTATACACCATGATAACCCCCATGACTAGTTCGTTGTACCATAAATGGACCATAAACCATAGTTTGTTCAGCCACTAAGGCAACGGTTCACTGTGGGGCCTTGACTGGGGGCCCCATTGAGATGGGGAAATCTGGAAGACAAATCTGAAGTGTGGTGAAATGAGCGATGAAAATATGAATCTGAAGGTGAACAATAAGAAAAATATAAGGAAGATCCTGGAAAACTAGATAAAACTAGAGGAATTGAACGTCAGAAGTGGTGATAACAACAATGAACCAGCAAGAATGAGGGAATTCATCAGCAGGAACCGGAGTAGTCTTGGAAAGATGGATGGGTGAACCCTCCGGTTATGAAATCTGGCAATGGACAATCAACCTTTCATTGCGGGGGGGGGAACATGTTCCGAAAAGCAACAGACGTGGCACCCAGGCTCCACTCCGCAGATGTGTCGCACTGAGGTCTCCTTTGGTCATTGCTGCAGCAGAGGAAATGCTCAAGCGGCGACCTGAAGCCTTTGGCATTCGAAGATGCTGGGTGAAAGGGTGGCATCACCACATCAAGGGCAAGCTCTAGTCTGACAGCACGAGGAATGACAGCACGACAGTGTTGGTCCTGCTCATGCTCACAAAAAAGTGCAGAAGATTGGCCTGTCCCTCATCACATCTCATCACTCTGAGATATGACCCGCGACACCGTTCAATCATCTTGGTCGAAATGAACCGTTCAATTTGTGCCTTATTTACCATCTGGTTATTTAACATAGCCATGGAAAGATCCACCATTTTTCATAGGTAAACCATCTATTTCTATGGGCCATTGTCCATGGCTATGTTAAATAACTAGAGGGTACCCGGTAGGATCCCTTATAGGTAAACGCATGGCGTGCTTTTCATCGATTTTCCATGATGTTCCCAGGAATCGCCCTTCTGGATCCCTACTGGTCGCGACAGATGCCACTACTGAACCCACAAGACTATTTGCCACTGCTCCTTGGGCCAAAATCATCCAAACTCCAAGGCTTTCAAACGACCATCCATGAACTGTAAATCAGGCAGATTTGTTGCATTCAACTACTGTTTTTGCGTATAAACTCGCGCACTTGTTGTGGGCCCCCAATTTGAATTTCTGTCCTGACTAGGTGATAAAGGCGTGACTTGATGATATTTAGACTCGAAAAGCTCGATTTTCATCGATTTTCCCGGATTTTTTGTGTTTTTGCAAAAAGAAGAACAGAATCATCTATTGATGGTATCTATTCTGGCTATTTCTTCATTCTTCACCAGATCAACCTTTATTTATTGAACCATCGATGGTGGACATTAAGAGTTGCCGAGGAAGACCACTGCAGAAGAAAGCCTCGAGAGGGCGCAGAAACTGGCCGATCGACAGGTGTTGCGACTCGACGTCAACATGGCAGGGTTATGCTGGGTTTATGGGATGAACCAATGGAAAATCCTAGGATTTTCCCAGTGAGATGTTTCGTATACTGGGCAAACCATGGGATGAACATGACGAACTGGGAAGCCATCATCTTGTAAGTTGCGAAAAGATCTTGCCCCAGCTAAGTAGAGTATGGCTAAAACAATCCACCAAACCTCATTTTTCATGGTTGAAAAACATGTTTATACCTATTTAACCTATAAACATGGTGGATTTTGGGGATGGTTTTCTTCATTGGTTTTAACCACCGAAAAGCGAACTGGGAGGGAAACGAAACATGCCGAAACACAACCTGATGCGCAGAGGTCACGGAATGCGAGCCAAGCCCGCTTGCCACAAAAAACACCGGAGTTCTGTGATAGAACTCATGGATATATATATATATGTTACCGTGTATATAATAATAACAACAATAATGATAATGATAATTAAGATACATGTTTTGAGACATGTTCTGTGATACTTTTTTGATTCTGTGATACTTAAGATACCAAACGGAGTCATGTAACTTGACTTCACCAAAAAACACATTCCCTTTCACAGAAACTTTCACCGGGACATGTTGTGTTTTTTCCAGCCATTGGCTGCAACAGTTCCGCGGAACTGTCGTCGAAGGTTGAGGTCACCAAATCACTGAAACAAACTTCAGAAACCTTGGAGGTTTAGATGGTTATAAATCTCAGAAAAATCCCCGAGTTTTGCTGATTAGATACCACTTTTCGAATCTTTTCGATGCTTACTGTCAATTCCTTCACCGTCCTATTCCCAATGATACCACCATATTTTTAACTTTGACTCCCTTCATTTGAAGTCCCGAAATTTTTGAAATCAGTTTTTCAAATCCCTAAAAAATATTTCAGCCCAAGCCAAAGATTTTAACCATATTTCACCATATGGGTATCAATACCTATAGATACAAAATATTAGTGGGTTATTCACATCCATTTAAACCCAGCTATTTATGACTTGGGGTTCACGGCACGGTACCAGGCTTTTGACCCATCACCATGTCTCAATTTTGATGGGTTTCCTAGGCTAAAAATTCACCATAAAAAACAGCGCCGAGGTTTGAGATCTACTATTCCTGTCCGGTCTTAACGCAGCTGCCCTTGCTGGCAGATGACTCGCCGGTGCAACACTTGCTGTCCTCCCAGCTGGCCGTGATGGTCTGCTACGACGCCAGCTTCGCGGAGCTGGATCTGGAGGAGCGAAACACGATTTTAACGTGGCAGTTTCGGTGTAGAAAAACATGATGTTTATGTTATACAACATCATTGAGATGTGTATATATATAATTATATATATATATGTATGACATGTATATAATCTCTCTATACATATATATATCATATAGTATATGTGTATGTTGTAATTAACAGATGATGTATAATGAAGATATCATATACATGTATATTACATTATGATATATATATATATTCACATAGTGTCATATATTAATATCACATTAATATATACACATATGTATAATATGTAAATCTATCATTGAACACATTAAGCTCTCCACCATTTCTGCTCGAGGCCCAACACCTTTTGGCTCCCTGTCTCTACTTGCACAGCATGCGCTTCGCCGCAGGTGGCTGGAGGGCATTGCTCAGAGCTAGAAAGGCATGACCAGAAATCTACGCAAATTGGAAGAATAATATAACATACTGGATCATACTGGTAATTGAACATTTGTATATGTATACTAGTATACCGTATATATGGATATGTATATATATATATGGATATATATATATATAGGTATATATGTATACATATGTATATATCCATATATACGTATATAGACATACACACGTATGTATATTATCTATATTTGGCAAAACAGTGGACCCCAGATTCATTGCTTCGCACTTACACTGGATGTGAATTTCAGGAGTTGGGGTACCGAATGTTGGTGGTTTCAAATGTTACCTTGGATGATTGGGGCCCCAGTTGACGAAACAACCAACCAGTGATTGTTTTTGTCGCATCTTGGTGCGGATCTTCCGCGACTTTTGCTGGTAAAATTGAAACCATTTGTAAAAGACGTGCAACTGGTTGTATTAATTGACCACATTGACTTACCAATCTTAATACAACCATTGTGAACCATCATTGACTTACCCATCTCTGGAGTCCCTGTTGGTGAAACGGTGAAACCAGCAATGTTCAAACCACAAAGATCCCATTTCTTGTGTGGACTTACCATTCTTGTTCCAATCATCTCAAACTCTAGTCCCACTCTTCGTTGGTGATCATTTCTCCAGCTTCCTGGTGGGTTCAATCATCACTTCCGAGATATTCACAAGGTAAACTACGAAAATCCAGGAGCTCCCCATTTCCAGCATGTCACCCCACAGGGCCAGTGCCCTCGGCACGCAGCAGTACTGCTCAGCTCCGAAGCTCTTTGGGGCGATGCTTCTGAAAAATGGCGAGGTGGTCAACATCTAAAAACATCGTTCTGAATGTCACAATTTTCGTTCTCTTACCATCTGGTTATGACTAACATAGCCGTACTCGTAGATATGGAAAATCCATTATAAATGGAGGGTTTCTAGCTGGGAAAATTATCTGTAAATGGGCAATTTTCCATAGCTATGTTAAATAACCAGCGGGTACCTTTTTTAATCAACGAGTTTTCTTTAATGGATTTCATGGAAACAACAATGGAATTTTGCTGATGCACATGCGGATTTGATGTGCTGTTGAGTTGAAAGTTGACAGAAGGAAGGATCTCCCAAGAAAAAAGAGTGATGTACTGTGACCAGCTTAGCTTGAAACATTTTGGGCAGAAAACGGGGATCTAGCCAACAAGAACTTTTTTTTAAAACGTTTTTGAACTCTTGGGGCCAGCACCGATTGAACCAACGTCCGTAAAGGTCTTGACATACCATAAAACTGGGAGCCTGTGATCCTGCGAATGCCGGTGGATTTTGGGATCAATAGGGAGACCATGCGAGATGTATGCTGGATTGATCTGGATGGCATGTCTCAGAGGCGAGAAGACGGACCAGAAAGGGCAGCTGCATTTCCCTCCTTTGTTCCAACTTCCTTGATTGTTTTCTTTTCCGTTTTATTCTTAACTTGGAACTTCAACTCCCTTGCTTGCCTGCGATTCCGATCACACTCCCCATGACATCAAACATGGAAGCCCAAAACATAGCTGTGCAGGATGAGTCTAGCCCTGGCTTTTGCGGTTTAACTGAGAATTCTGATCATTTTAGATCCGCAGTGTGGCCGTGCCATGGACGGGGATCCAGTGACTCTTTCCTCGACTTCGAGGTGCCATTTTCGGCCATGTTCGGCTTGATTGTTGCAAGTTCACAGCCAAGTTTGAACAGCTCCACTGGATTTGAACATAAAAAAACATAAATAATGTCAACCCCGGATTAAGAAACCATGGTTTATTCAGTTTATGAATCTATGAATTAGGGTTTATTAATCCAGGGTTGACATTATACCTCCAACATCCTCCAAGTCCATCCCAATCCTGCCCTGCATGGCAGCAAGGTTGCGCCCATGGCACCGTTGGGCCTTTCTGTTCTGCCTGGGTGCCCTGGCCCATCCTGGCCTCGGCTTCCTGCCGTTTGGTGCCATGGAGCTGGCGCCGGCGCCGGTGGCGCCCCAGGTCCGCGTGGGGCCCTCGGTGCTGGCGGGCGACCTGGCGATGTTGGCCACGGAGACGCGAAGGGCGCTGAGAGCCGGGGCGGATTTCGTGCATTTGGACGTCTTTGATGGCAACTGGATCAAGGTCTGGCGAAATGACAATTTTCAAACCATGTAGGTCCGAATTGCAGCCGTATCCTCATCATTCTTGGTTGGCTCACAGTTCTTGACGCTGTTCGATTGATTCCCAATCTTGATCCCAGAATATCCTAATTTTGGTGGTTAGATCCCTGATATTTTCCATGTCAGGCGCTTCCCAGCCGCTGTCATCTGTCCTGCCTCAGGGAGCCTTCACCTTCGGTCCCATGGTGCCTTGCGAGCAAGAGCGCATGACCTGTGCACGATGAGGGGGTTCACAGTTTTTTCTTTCGCGTGATTGTTATTAATTACTTATGGTCATCATTGACAATTGGAATCATCTTATGATCTTGTCATAAGATTGTTGTTCAACAATTTCTCTAGAATTCGATCATTTTAATCATTTTCCCCAAAGCACTGGCGATTTTTTCTCCTTTGCCACCCCCTCCAGTCCTTAAGTCCTTAGGGCGATTTTCCCTTAGGTCGTGAGGGCCCTGCGGCGTCACGAACCCAAAGCCTACCTGGACGTCCACCTCTGTGTGACGCAACCCGCCCAGTACCTGGACGAACTGGCCAAAGCAGGTCGTTTCTGGGTCGTTTCTGGGTCGACTGGGCTGGGGATGGGAGGAATTGGGCTGGGCTGTTGGAAAAAAGGGGAGATAAAACTACGAGGTCCCAAGATGTCCCAAGTTTCCATGTTTTTTTTTTTGTAAGCTCGAAAATCGTCGGAAACTATGAGCACATTATCACACATGTGTTTTTTTTTGGTGACACATCCTCAGGGTCTTGTGTTGTTATGCAGCAACAACAGAAAAAAAGGTTGGTTCTTAAGTTGAGAAACATACCTGTTTCTTGAGAATTTCATTATTCACGTCGCTTCGCGACGGCAACCGCCCGCACCGCATCGTTGTTGTCTGGACGCTCCACACTGGCAAAGATGTCGGCCAACCAAAATAGATAGAGAAAGATAGACCGATAGATAGATAGAGAGATATATCATATCTATATATATATAAAGATCATATATGTACATATCGAGTGAACGGTCCACACTGTTAATGATGTCAGCCATTGTTCTCTTCTACTGCCATTGTTCTCTTCTATTGCCGTCGCTCCGCGACAAGAACCCCTGTGCGGCCGCCACGGTTTGAACGATGTTGTTCTCACACCTTCGCGACCGCTCGTAACTGCCAATGATGTCGGCCATTGAGACCAAAAACATCCGAAAGTACTGATTGTCGGAAAAAAAAACGCGAAGAATTTGATAGCCATGTATAGCGGACCAACGCAGTTCAAAAAATAACGAAAAACATGAAAAAACGGCGAAATTGCTGTTATTTACAGTGTTTTTGCGCGGTGAGAAGCAGAAACCACTGCAAATACCATGGTTTTTGAGGGTCAGGTGGCCAAAAACACTGTAATTTACAGTGTTTTTTTAACCAACGTCAAAAAACACTGGTATTTACGATGTTTTCATTCACACCGTAACATAAAACAGCGTAATTTACGAGGTTTTTGGAAGTTTTGAAGCTAGCCGTCAAGCATGCAGAAAACAGAAAAACACTGTAAAAACCAGTGTTTCTGCTATCACAAAACGACGAAAATCAGTCCGAAAACGGGTCCAAAAACTCAAAAATCCGCCTCCGGGCCAGGCCACCTGCGGAACCGCAAAAAAAGATGTTGCAAACCAAAAAATTGAGGTCAAAAAGTTGAAAAACACGGGGTTTTTTCACTTTTCGCTTGCCGATTTTGGACGGGCGCGTTCACGAACAGGTGTCTTCCGTACTGTTTTTTACAGTGTTTTTTGAAGGCGAGCGTCACGACCTATCAAAAACAGGAGGTTTTGGCCGAATAATGGCCCCCCCCCCCAGGTAAACCTGTAACCTTTTACGAGTGCCATCCGGACGATCACGCCCCAGCACCTTCGGTGCGGGCGGATTTTCTGTTAGTGACATCCTAAATGTTGCTGCTGAAATGATCATTTCCGTCGGATTGGATTTCCGTCGGAATCTCACTGATTGAATTGCCATGCTCCATTTTTAGAGGGATTCAGTGATTATATGAGTAACCGAGAAAAAACATCGTGGAAGACTAAAGTAGTCGGGAGTGGACATGATGGACATGGGATGTTCAAGTTTCTGCGAAAACATTCACAAACCGACAGGGGACCCCCCACTTACTGATACCCTATTTTTGCCGTTGCCATCCCGTGGCCACATGGCCGTGGCCGCCAGGTGCCAGTCGGGTGCTGCTCCACTTCGAGGCCTTGGACCGTTCCCCCGCCGTGGCCAAGGCCGCAGCCCAGCTGGCGCACCAGCTGGGGATGGAGGCGGGAAAAAGGTGGAGGGCGTTGTAGGGAAATCCATTGGGTTTTTTAGGGAATTTGGGAGAGAATCCATGGGAATTTCACATATTTGAACCTGTGAAGATACTTGGGTCTGAACTTTGTCGGGAAAACTTCGTTGCGGCTGTTTTGAAAAAGGGAGAATGATGATAAACCTTGAGATTCTGGGATAAACCATATAAAATTGGGAAGAACATGTGGAGCTTTGAAGAGTTTTTCTTCAGAGGTTTTTGGTGTCAAAAATGGTCAAAACATCGCGGAAAGGGGTGTTTGCGGTGATTAACTTGTTACCCAAATTGAAGTGAGGGTTGAAGTCTTGAATCGTTCTGGTGGATACGGAAGTTGCAGAAAGAAGCATCTTTGCCCCCAAAGAACTTTTCTTGATCTTTGCTGAGTTGGCTATGAATTCATGTTGCTTTGGTGAAGGACAAGGGAATCACTTACAAGCGATCTTTGCAGAGAAAACTTGGAGTCCTTCGAGCTCTGGGTGGATTCACTTGGACAACTTGAGGTTTCCGAAGTCATGGTGATACCCCGAAAAATCATCCAGTTTATTTCGGATCCATTGTAAACCATCTATCTGGATACATGAAATAGATTGAAATAGAATATTTCACTCACCTGAATTTTCGGGCCATTCACCTTGGCCTGGATTTTCCATGAAAACCAGCGTTTTTGGGGTACCGGGTACCATAACTTAGGAAACCTCCATCTCAACCATCTCAACATCTCACCCACCGCAGCCTCGCAGCCTCGCAGCTAGGTGGGATTGGCGCTGGCGCCGCAGACTCACTTGGATTCCGATGTTTTGGAGGAGCGATTTCGGGATTTCGACAGACAGCCCCAGCGCCATTTTTTTGGGAGAACAGAAGGCTTTTTCACGAGGAAACATGACCCGGAAAGGTTGGGAGCAACAAAAATCTATATCTGATGTATCTTCTAACTATCTTTGTTGGTGAAGTCCCCTTTATATTTTGTTAACCTTCACATATTTTTGTTGGTTAAACTTAAAGCCACCATTTTTTGTGGATGGCTCCAGATCCATCACGACGACCCCGTCCGAACCGAACCTCACGAGGCTGCGGAGAGTTTCGATGCCGTGCTGGCCATGACAGTGACACCAGGCTTTGGGGGACAAGCTTTCATGCACGAGGTGCCGATCTGAGAGCAAGGTACCCTCTGGTTATGTCAAAATAGCTATTGAACATGGCCATAGAAATAGTTGATTTTCCCATTAAACATGGTGATTTTCAATAGTCATGTTAGTTTACCAGAGGGTACATTGGGAAGATGTCGGGTGATTTCTAGAACCACTATATGTTTTTTTTTGTGTAAAACCACCATGACCTTCAAGGGAAGATCCAAAAAAGTCTATTTGACATGTGGATAGGATTCAATATTCATCTTGTATGAAACACTTTTGTTCATGAGAAGATCATGGATAAACTGGTAACGAGGGAATTCACGGTGAGAAATCCCGTTCGAAATGGCAATCCCTTTAGTATATATTTTGATATTAGATAATACTGTATTACTTGAATATTAGATAATTATTTTTACTATTTGAATATTTTATAAGAACGAATATAACACCCTAATGCAGACACTGGATTTTTTCTCAATGAAAACATGGGCCTTTAAAGGGGCGGTTCTTTTTAAAAGACCATGTAGAATTGTGGCCGTCCATCCCTATTTTGGGGCAGCGTAGCCTGAGGTTTTGCCGAAGGTACACCAACTGCGAGAAGCCTTTCCCCACAAATCCCTGGAGGCGGAGATCCAGAGCTGACTACGGAAAATTTTTTCAGGACCCCGGTTGAACTATGGTTTAACTATATGAACATCTATGAACATCAAAATTAACATACAACATCCAGAGATGTGATGAGATTAGATGATTTATAGATATTTATAGGATATTTTTGATGTCTAGATGATAAAAATAGATGATTTATAGATGACAACTCGACAACTCGTGGATTTTTCCAGACTTCGAAAGGTGGATGGTGGCATCACGGTGCGCACCGCCGCGCTGGCGGCGGCGGCCGGAGCCAATGAGGCCGTGGCAGGCACGGCGGTCTTCGGCGCCAAAGATTTGCGCAGGGCCATCAGGTGGGGCCCCAGCGATGTTTTGATCGTTTCTGTTAGGATTTGCCGAGAAAAAACGATGGATTTATGATATTTATGGGGATTGACCTTGGAAAACTGAAGATTTATGGGGATTTAGCTATGAAACAAGGGATTCAATGGAATCAACTGGGATTCAATGGATTGAAACAGTGCTTAGTAAGTTAGGTCCTAGGAATCGGGGGACTTCATTTTCAGAGGGTTACTAACCACTTACCAACTGGTTTTTTTTTGGGTGGACAAGGCATTGGGATGCACAATTCATACATATTTTTGTAATAGTATATAGTATATATATATATATGTATTATAATGTATATAGTTTATATATTTATATTATATATATATAGTATTATATAGTTATAGTTTGGGATCGGGATTGGTCTATGTTTATTGGGGGTTAAGTGGGGTTATATATATATATGTAAATCTGGGATCTTTGCAAGCGTTGCGGATAGCTTGTAGATGGGTGGTGGTCATGGGGGCCTTTTTTGGAGTTTTCAAGGCCAATATTTGACCAACCTGAGGGGGGCGTGTCTGGATGTCACCCAGTTTTTTTTGGATGTCACCCACCATTCTTTGCAAAGAGGACTTGGGATTGGCTGCTTGGATGTGCATCCTAGATATAACTGTTATCCATATCTCATCTACCCTCTGGTAAACGTTTACATAGCTAAAATCACCATCTGGAAATGTTCGGTTTTTATCAACGATTTCTATAGGTGCCAGCTATTCAATAGCTATGTAACAGTCATTACCAGGCCGGGTACATCTAAGTGGGCTGTAAAAAACTGGTGAGAAAGTCACCTGTTTCGATTGGGATGATCTTCCCGTGGAAGTTTGGACATGTTTGGACTGCCGACTTCTCTATCCGACTATTGAGGTTATTTCAGAATATAGTGATAGAATTTGCCACGGAATTCAAGGAACTTCTACTGAGAACCTGAAGTTATTTTTGACATTATCCTTATTTGGACTGCCATTTGAACAATTCCTTATACGGTTAGGGTAGTTTGCCAACCTCGGAATTCATAAGGAACCAACCTCGGTTTGGATGTTTGGATAGTCTGGAAGATCCAGAGTAATTGGGTCGACCACCATAAATCCAGGGGCCTTTTAGTGGGGTTGGTGGTTGGGGATAGGGCGTTGGGATACAAAAAAACTGATCAAATCATTATGGGTTCTGCGAAACTGACATTTCAACACTTGAGGATGATCATTCACCTGCAAAGAAATGGGGGATAAACATTCTGGCATAGGATTTTGCTGGCCTTATTGGCCTTGGTTTGGAATAATCCCTATCCATCCCTATCCCCAATACCACATTCATGTCCTATTTTTATCCTTCATAAACATTCACCAATACCATGGCATAGGATTGTTCCAAACCCAATGCCATGAAGTGACCAAAATTGGGGCACCAACATTTCGGATCTTCAGATTTTATGGCTTTCCAAGGGATTTTGCCAGAAACATGTGGCAGATATGGAGAATTTTCCATGTTTGTTGGGGTTGGATCCCAAAAAACATGGAACATTGAATATTCCAAATGTCATTTGACATGTTTTTTGGGATCCAGCCAGCCGCATTGGAAGTCTAGAAATTGGCAAAGTACGTACCGGGCAAGTCGTTGGGGATCCCATCAGCAAAAGAAGGATTGGAGGCAACGTGAGAATCATTTGACATTAACTGCTTGGTGGTGACTGGAACCATGGAATTTTATGATCAGTTTATGACTTTCCAGAAACAGTTGGGAAGAATCATCATCCCAACTGACGAAGTCAGTCCATCATTTTTCAGAGGGAATCATATCTCAACCACCAACCAGCTACTGTAATGTCGGTGAAACCATTTAGGCCAACAACTTTTGGCACGGGATATTCATCCCTCCAGGTGGTTTCCCGGAACTTCTCGCTTCTCGCCGCCGGCCAGGGATCTTCGAAAGAGCCTAGAGCGAAGTTGAAAAACACAGATGGTGACTTTCGGGATTTGGGTGTATCTGCATAGGAAAAATATGGAAAATCTGATTTGAAGCACTGAATATTTTGGGGTACTCTATTTTTAGACCAACACATTTGGTGATTTGGTTCCCAACAGCAAGAGCGCGATACGCCGGCGAGGATTGATGATGAAACTCACTCAAAACAGCTGTGTTTTGCCAACAAGACATCGGGTCAAGAGGTATTTAGATTTACCTACCCGTTCTATGGGATATAGCCTCTGGTAAATCAACAGTTGGACCCTGAAAATGACAAATTTATAGTGGAAACTAGTCTTCCAAGCCCGATGACTGCCAGGGTCTATGTTAATTTACTGGAGGGTAAAAGGTCAATGTGGATGACGGCAACCCGCAGGAACGACTGGTATACGCTGATGTGACAGTGGATCGCAGCGTCTCCATGTGGCTCAGAACGCAGCCCTGAAATGCAACCGGAAAGCGGCTTGTTCATGGAACATCATGATAGCTGACCCTCCAAATTTTATTGACAGCCAACAGATGTCCCACAGAAAGACCCTCTAGAAGCGATTCTTCAGGCAATTCTTTTGGGCATATTATAATGATCTTAGCTGTGACACATAATTCACCCAACTTTTTTTCCAAGATGGTCTCAAATCAGCCAAGACTTTTCACTAAGCCAAGACTTTTCACCCAATTTTGGCGAAAGAAATAGTTAAGTCACCATGATAACCCCATTAACTAGTTCGTTATATTTACAGCCATAGAATTCAGCCATAGTTGAGCCATATCTCAACGGTTCACGCTATAAGGCAACTGAACGCTAGAGGTCCTGATCCAGGCACCGCAAGTGACGAAAAAAGGGGGAACCTCCGATGATCCCGCCCTGCCGGCGTCGCGACCAGCGTCGCGAAGGCTTCGAAAGTGGATGGCTTTTTTGGGTGAAAGCGCGCCAGCTGAAAAGCCCAAAGAAACATGATGATGATGGTAATTTTGATATTATAATGACAAACAAGTTAAATTGTCATAGTCATAATAGTCATAATACTAGTGATATTATAGTGATGATGATGATGATGATGATGACAATAATGATAAGTAGTAATAGTAAATATCTATTGTCAGTGGATAATTCTTTAAATATCTATCCACATACGCTGACAGGGAAGACGACCTTCTCAGGCCATGGCCACCATCGCGCTGCTGGCGCTATGGCCGTGGCCGCATCCGGTTCGGGAGCTCAGCCGCTGAAGCCGCTGGAGGTGCCAGCGAATAGTAAGTGGTGAACATAAACAGATAGATATATCAGATATATATGTATATATCTAGTATATATATATACATAATATGTGTACAATATATATATATATATGCACACACACACATTTTAGGTTGTTTTGAATATGTATGACCCTCTGGCAATCAACCTATTTATATTTATATTCATGTACCAGTCAAACGTGGCTGGAAAATCTGTCCCCCCAAAAAGATAGAACACAGTAAAATCCCACCAAAAAAATCAAACAGTGACCAAGAACTGTCTATTTTCTTTATAGAATATAGAACTGAGAATAGCAAACTAGGATGATACTTTCAATGGATGTGTGGGATGGCAGAATCCCTTTTTCATGATTCAGCCACAGTGAATTTCCCTAAATAATGATGAGCCTGAAATAATGATTATATAGTGAAGTAAAAAAATCCTAACTAGCCTGAAATAAAGTTTTTCTTTGGTGAAGTAAAATTTCAGGCTCTTGATTGTTTTGTTTTTGTTTTGATTCAGCCAGATTGGTTTTTTAGTGGGGGATTCAATGGGCATATAATGGGGACACTGGGGACGAGTCATCCGAGAAACATGGATGACATGGGTTGAATGGCCATGAGCAACGTGGGAAAGCTGTGTTCAAATCCTGAAGCGTGGAATGGAATGGGCTTCCAAATATCGAGACAACCCCATATGAGCCAAAACCAAAGCCACCAAAATCTGGAACATCCCCAACTGGACCAATAGAGGCTACCTCTGCCATTTTTCACCAGGTAAATGATGGCGCGTGGCTTATCAGTCATCGCCAAAATATATTTCCCAAAAGGACTCCATTGGCAGAATCGTTTAGATCCCCATTTTTGCAGGTTTTTTATCCACTGTTTCCTCCTGCTATATCACATTTTGCACGTTTTTTATCCCCCGTTTTTCTTGGTTAAATCCACATTCTTGTGAAATTCGACATTTTTTGCAGGTTAAATCCACAGTTGTTAAATCGCCAGTCAGTTCATCCAGCAGGTGCTGGGTGCATACTTCCCCTCGCTGGGATGCCTAACTTGGGGGGCTCGATAGTGAAATCCCAAAGTTTTTCCAAGTTTTTAGAGTGAAGTTCACCATGCGCTGATTCATGGAATTTGAGATCATTTTATCAAAATTTTTATAGAATCTCATTTTTATAGAATATCAATATCAACTTATATTCATTTAGATCCTAGATCCTTTTTTTTGGAGGATTTTAGGGTGAAACATGACCAACATGAGCAGCTCCAACTTGCCGATGTTTTTTTTTCCCGTCAGATGAGGTTTTTCACCCATGGTATGGCACTGGTCAGGTACAACATCGAAGAAACCTGGCATTCGCCCCTGATGCAGCCGCAGCCTTAACGGGATTACGGGATTCAATTCTGTCAGAGTTTCTGTCAGAGTCTGAATGATCTTCCCCAAAAGTTCGAAAAATCGGACTCTGACAGTTTCTAGAGTCCAAATGGGTTCTGTCAGAAAAGAGGGTACCATTGCTTGACCAGATTTTCCCTATCAAATGGTCATGAAAATGGGCCCCATTTGCAGACAAATCCAACCAAATATGACTGGTTGGTGGTTTGAAACATTTGGATTATTTTCCCATTCAGATGGGAATTTCATCATCGCTGACTTTCACTCCATCATTTTTCGGGGTAGGCTCAACCGCCAACCAGATAACCATTGTGAATCACTATTAACCACTATTAACGTTGGTAGATCTAGTGGTAATGGTTTATTGGCCATTATCAACCATTATCATTCACTATTAACCATCATTAGCCATGAAAAAAAACAGCAGAAAAACCACCATGAAAACAGATGTTTTTACCATGATTTTCATCAACCATTAACATTCACTATTAACCAACCAGATGATATTGATATATTCCAGGATTATTATTAACCATCATTAACCATATAATAACCATATAATAACCATATAATAACCATATAGTAACAATTATTAACAGCATATTAACCACATATTAGCTATAGATATGATATATCACCTATTAAATGATGATATTGATATATCTATTGTTCATATCTTAACCATTATATTAACCATTATATTAACCACACATATTAACCATGAAATCGATATATTCCAAACCTTGATCCCATGTCGAAAAACCTCGAGGCCTTGGGATCCGATGAGGGCCATGGAGCCGCTCAGCTCAGACATGGGATCCATATGGGAGCTATCGGAGATTTTTTTTGCCCACAAAACTGCTGGGGACGAAGATGTAAAACATGACCCATCATAAGAATTCCAAGTTTTTGAGCCATAGATGGAATGGGAAGCATGAATTTTGCCCTAAAAATAAAACTATAGCTATGTTCATGTGAAAAGCAGAATAACATTCCAAGCTTTTGACCCATAGATACCCATAGCCATGAACTGGCACCGGATCACTGATTTTCCGGGCTCAGCGGCTCAGCGACGGCAGTTCTTAGCTTGACCATCCCATCCCATTCGAATCTGAATGAAAAAGCGACAAGTTTCTATTTGGTGTACCAGCTATAATATAATCATATAGAATCTACATTTGATAAATGTAGATTCTATATGATCATATTGATTTCTACATTCGATATATCATCTGCAGTTTTTCACTCGTGACATTTCCATGGCTTCACCGAGAAAATCATCTGCTTGCGAGGGGAAGCATCATGGTGACCTGGAGCCCGGGCGTTGGGGATGCCCGGTGATGTCCTGGTGATGTAAAAAAGCGGCGCCGGTGAATTGGGAGGCTACCAGGCTAGCAAGGTACCCGACCTGGTTATGGGTTTTTAATGGGACTTTATAGTGATTTATGGTGATTTAATGGGATTTACTGATAATTTAATGGGATTTACCCTCTGGTAAATTAACATAGCTATTGAAAATGGCCATAGAAATAGTGGATTTACCCATTAATAGCATGGTGATTTTCCATAGTTTTTTGTTAACGTTTACCAGAGGGTACCTGTGGTTTATGGTGATCATGACTCTTGGAGGAGTACCCCCCCAAAAATCACAAAAATAAACCATGGTTTTTTGCAAAATCTGGGGTTGACATGATCTGCAAAAATGCGCTGGGTGTGGTTTTCTGGGACTGTGAGGTTTTTTACCATGAGATAAATAGGGTTGCCTATTTTCAAATCCCAAAGATGTTGTCCCAACAATATCCCATGGAATATCCCCATTGCCATCCCGATTGCTGGTTCGTATATATAAATATAATTCATTGTTAAAACTTTGTCTTAGATGTTTTAATCCCCAATTACAACATTGAAGGATATGAAACAAAGTATCTTTGGGTAACAAAATACCAACTTCGTTTTCTCCCCATTGTATCAATCACCCCCAAAATATAGTGTTGGTGACATTCCATGAAATCCCATCGAATTCCATTACATCCCACTAATCCCCAGTTATTAATTGGTTAAATCCCATTAAATCCAAATAATATCCCAATTTTGATGCTTCGTCCCCAGTTATATCCCCACTATATTGGGATATCAGGTGGCTTAATTGCTATTACATCCCCCTACATTGCTATGAAATCCCCTTAAATTGCCATTAAATGCCACTAATTTGCCATCAATTTCCCATCAATTCCCCATCAATTCCCCATACATTTCCCCATCAATTTGCCATACATTTCCCATAAATTTGCCATAAAATTGCCATAAATTTGCCATACATTTCCCATAAATTGCCATTGAAATCCCACCGATCCCCCCAGTTGCGTCCCCATGTTTTGGTCAATGTCGACCCAACTGCTCAGTGGAATCCCTGGTGCGCCGTGGACCGCTACGAGCTCCAGGCTGCGGGTGGAAACATCTCTATCCATTTGGGTAATATGTAATATATATATATATTATAATATAATATATATATATATGTATATAATACATAATATGTACATATATCTATATATTACATATATATATACACACATTCTTCTCTCTGCTGTGCCTATTTGGGGGCAGTTCAGATCAAAGTTCACCAAAAAAAACATACACACATTCTTCTATATCCCTCTAACATCCCCATTCTATTCCGATCTTCGTTGGTTCACCACCAAAAAAAGGCCCCCTTCCTTCGGCCAGGTGCGAAGGCCACGAGGACCCCCGATGCGCTTTGCTGACATGGAGTCATTGAGGTGCCGCGGAAGCGATGGATTTGACCAGAAAAATATGTCATTGGATTGATTTAAGGGAAAATCTGCAGGAAACCTTGGTTTTTACCATCAAATATAGGGCTTTCCTGTAAATTTTCCCATCATCAAATTCTATGAATATGGGGATCGAAGTGAAAAATGATGGTTGGTTGATGAAAAAACCGTAGGGAAAACCATGGGAAAAAGATATGATTCACCTGTGAAAATTAAGCCTCTGGTAAATTAACTAACATAACTATGGAAAGATCCACCATGCTATTAATGGGTAAATAGGCCATTTTCAACAGCTATGTTAGTTTACCAGAGGGTAAGTGGTCTAAAACACGAATTCTTTAGATTGGGATCATCATGTTCCATGGGCCAGTTGCGAATTTCTGATGTTTTCTCGCTTTGACATGATTGATTTTGGATGTTACTTCCGACATGAATCATGACCAGTCCCCCGATTTGACAAGGGTTTGTACCCTCTGACAAATATGGGAGGATGGAAAATCACCTAGGATATTTGTAGAGCATCTATCTGTTGAACAAAGGGCATTTCTACTTGACACATTTGTTTACCGGAGAGGCTTCACTTGAAATCCACCATAGAACGGTTTGGACAATGATTTCACTCTTGGCCGGCTATGGTTGGGCCGGATGCCTGATTTTTAAGTATGTACCAGCAATAAACGGAGGAAGAAAACAAGCCAAGGTTACGGTGCTACGGCGCTAAGCATGTGACCCGACCAGGTTTTGGGCTCGACCATTTTTTCATAGCTGTTTTCATCAAATCGGCGACAATTGGAGATGACAGGGCTCGCAAAAACACGAACGCGCGACACTTCAGAGCCATGCGTTATGGGGAGTGACTTTGACGCGTGCAAATAGCTTTGTCCGAAAATAGGCCACCCCTAAATTTGGTAGTCAATCATCGTTTTCCCAATTTAAGTGGCGATTTTTGGGGGGGTGTAGATTGCCCAATGTGTTTGTGGGTCAGGTATAGGGAGACCGATACCGATGAGCAGGAGGCTCGCACGACGCTGTGATGGGTGGTTTGGGGGTTCAAAAAGGCATCACTCCCGGAGGGTCCCAGAGGATCCCTTGGAAACCCATGTCTCAATTTTGGGTCAATACCTATAGATACCATTTTTAGTGGGATGAACATCCATAAATCCCAGCTATTTTGATGTGAACAAAAAAGGGGTACCAGGGTTTTGACCCATCATGTCTCCATTTGATGGGTTTCCAAGGCTCAAATTCCAAGGGCCCCCCCGCCGGACCTGCGTTTGAAGGTAGAAACTTGGCCCGGCGACGGCGAATGGGGCGTTTGGCAGACCACTTATGTGGGCGTAGGTGGGGAGTTCGGGACGACGGGAGGTCCTGGCGAAAGAGGTGAGGAGTTTCACGCCACGGGCCTTTACAGATATTATATTGTTTTATTATCAGTATCATGATCATTCTCATTCTTCTTCCTTCAATTTCTTTTCTTTTCGTGTTCTTGTTCATTTTCTTTTCCTTCTTCTTCTTCTTCTTTTCCGTGTTCTTGTTCATTTTCTTCTTCTTCTTCTTCTTGTTCATTTTCGCGTTCTTGTTCATCTTCATCTTCTTCTTCTTCTTCTTCTTGTGCTTCTTATATATATATAATATACACGGTATATACACATACAATATATATATATATATCACATACCTTTATATTTGTGTAAGTGGGGTTACGCATGCCGGAACTGAAGATAACCATGAGTCGATCTTTTTTTTGGATGCACGGTTTAGGGTTTTTCTCTTTTTTCGAGACCATCATGGCGAGGGATGGCTTGATATCAGCACTTGACAGGTGCAGTGCATTTGTGAAGTGCTGGTTATCTGTCCAACTGAGCAGCTTGAAAAACACCAGTTGACTGATGATTGGTTCGGCAGGTTCTAAAGTTATAGTACGTATATATATACTCGTATGTATATTGATATTGGGGACTATCATAATTCATTATTGGCATCCCCATTCCTCAACCATTGACAGTGCTCAAATTTCGATTCATCCCGGCATTTGGCCAGGTAGAGCCTACATGCTTTGGGTGCCCAAGCAGACCGCTCACGCAGTGCCTCAGCGCCATCGATGGCTTGTTATAAAATCACAATTTTTCTCGTCGAAACCATACTTGAGCATGAAATTCTGGCGATCACCGTAGATGCTGTCAATTTTTTGATTGCTGTTTTTGGATTCCGAAGAGATCATGACAACGGAAATTGCATCTCTTGGATTATTTTTTTGGGGACCACTACCCTCTGGTTATGTCAAAATAGCTATTGAAAATGGCCATAGAAATAGTGGATTTTCCCATTAAAAATGGTGATTTTCCATACTTATGTTAGTTTTCCAGAGGGTAGTGGTCCCCAAAAAAATAATCCAGAGGGGGAATGACTAGAGTTTTTCAAAAGGGACCCCCTGAGCCCCTGAGCTTTTCCCCTCACCTCGCCATGGAGATTTTCGCCGAGGCACAGTTTCGTGTCCGCGCCTGTGGAAGCTCCGAACGTGCCGCGGCAAGCAACGACCTTTTTTGGGGTTTCAAGTGTTAGTTTTGTTGGTTGAGTTTATATATAGTTATTTATAGTGTCAATCCTTCATGATGATATAGAATATGATAACATATGTTTTTTTTTTTTTAAAACTAGTTTTGCAATGCTAGTGATGACGATGATGATGATGATGATGAGAAGGACAAGGTGAGGTTATTGGGAGGTGCCAGGATTGACATGGTGACTCACCGAATGATGCTTTGGGTCAACCATTTGTCTGCCACCGAAATGCTCTTTTTGCGCTTTGGAGACCAATTTTTCGGTCAATTTCCATGAATTTCCACTCATGGTAAATGATTTAAATGGGACACCTCACAATAGTCAGACATAGTCCGATAATTTTTCATGGCAGTACTCATTTGAGAAATCAGAAGAAGTTGTACCATTAATGTGGGTAAAACAATTTCATAAGCAATCCCCCAGTCAGTACCATAAATATATAGGTGGTATGGTTACCATTCCCAGTCATGGGTGGTGCAAATGGCATTGTTTTACCCACATTAATTATCATTAATTGGTGAATATCTATCATTAATTGGGATAATAATGGGATATACTATTGTGAAAATTGGGATTATTAACCAATACTAACCAGTACTAACCAGTATTAACCATTGTTTTACCCAGAGTATTTCCAAAGTATTTCCACCATCATCCCGGCCAGATGTGGCCATCATAGGCATGGGCTCCGCCACCGGTTGTAGCCCTTGGAGTCCCGTTCAGACGGCGTGCGCAGGGATTGGAAGCGGTGTTCGACCGTCCTGGTTGATCAGCTGGTGGGTCAATCGGGGATTGATATGGATGATTCATGATGAAAATCGTCATTGAAACCGGGTGATCCGGGTTATTATATATCGCAGATGATCATCATTCATATGGATATTAAATGATACTGCTTAGAAAATCATCATTTCTGTAGATCACTCTCGGTCAGTTGAACCGTTAGAAAACCATCGATACCATCGATGGATTTCACTGAGATCTGACCTCCAGGTACACCATGCTCAGTGCTGCCCAAGACAAGGTCAACTTCATGGTGCGGGGCATGGGGATGTCCCTTGGACTTTTTTGAGGGCGAGTTTCAAGAGCTATACATATATAAAGATATATGATGTTTCCGAATAGCTAGTCATGGATACATATATATATAGAATATCATAGTTAACTATATAAGTTATGGATTATATATATATATATAAATATGATCTAAATCTGGAGGTTTCCGAAAATGGGATCCCCAATAATTGGATTTATGATGGCATATCCTATTAAAATGGATGATTTGGGGGTACCCCTATTTGAGGAAACTACCATATATGAACACGGATCCAGTTAGAACAGCAGATTTTTGTGAATCTGGATCCAATAGTTAATATATCCAATAGTGAAAGTGGAGAACATGAATATCTCCAATACTTAATATGTCCCAATAGTTAGTATATCCCAATATATCCAATAGTTAATATACCCAACATATTATCTTGGAGCCGAAAGATATGTAGGCTCCAGATCACTAGAAACTTTGCCTTGGGCCCACACCCGTCATCATGAAGCCTTGGGATGGGCAGTCTGCTGTCGTTGTGCCATGATCAAACCTTGGGGCAGCATCTTTCAGGATGGCTGATTCATTGGAAAACCATAGGAAAACCATAGGAAAATGGTGGTTTAATGGGATTTAATGGGATTTAATGGGATATACCCTCTGGTAAACATAGAAAAAGCTATTGAAAATGGCCATTTCTAGTGGATTTACCCATTAATAGCATGGTGGACTAACAGTTTGCGAACTGGAACATGGCCATAGACAGTTCGTGGATTTACCCAGCTACATAGCATGGTGGATCTTTCCAGTTCGTTTTATGTAAACGTTTACCAGGCCGGGTAATGGCCATAGCACCATTCAGTTCGTGGTCAATTTACCCACAGGGAATCTCTGATGCTGGGATTTGCCAGCTACCCGGGGATATCATCCACTGCATCGTCCTCTTCCCCTTTGAGTATTTGAATGGCCATGTATTGGTGGTTTTTGTCTCCATGTTGAGACACCCCCCAATAGAGAATCTTAAGTTGGTTATCTATCCCAATTATATACCCCAATAATATCCCCATATCGGTTGGTGGGGTCTCCATTAAATCAGCATTAAATCCATATATCCCCAACTATGTGACTATACATGTATATTCCAAAAGGATATACCCAATTATGGTTCAAATTTCGCCGTAGTTGTTGGTTTTTCCGCCGTATGTTTTTTTTTTTTTTTTCCCAGTTATATTATGCTCATCATATTCCCAAGTTGGCTAATTACTAGGTAACTTCCTACCAAAATTAACATCCACATGGTTTTTTGATCTGATTATATGTGGATTATTCCCATATGATATTTTCTAGCCCCAGTTCTTGAAAATCTATGATATCTATTCTCAAATATGATTATCATATATGATACCATCTGGTTATTTTTTACATAGCCATGGTATAGATGGCCCATAGAAATAGATGGTTTACCTATTAAAAAATGGGGATTTCCATTGCAAACTGTTAAATAACCAGATGGTAAATCCCATTAAATCACCATTAAACACATGCTAATCATATCCCCCAAAGGTGTTTCTCCCCCCGAGGAATGCGCCGGACTACGTTCACATCGAGGTGAATCGCCACGTGGTCTACAGGTGGGTGACCGTTTTCAAAGCTGCAGATGGATGGAACATGGATGACCGTTGTGACCAGTAAATGTAGAGGTTATAGAGATGTTATATGATTTTATATAGAATGCTACTGTAATGTAGATGGTATTTTAACTGATATTTAAAAAAATAGAACACTTCTTTTACCATCCATGAATCACAATAGGTGGAAGAAAATATCGCTAATGAATCGAGTTAGATCATGAATTATCCATTGATAGCTATTAGACAAAGGAATGATCGGATCCAAACATATTGAATTCATTTACATCCATTTATACAAATGGATGGAACACATGCACACACACACACATATATATATATATAGAGCCTATATAGTTCATGCAAAATTTAGATCGTGATAGTTTTTGATTGGGCTTTGTCAATAGTGCCCATTGGTTCATCCATGGTAACTCCATTGGTTTATCACCCCAGGCGTCGAGATGAGACGGGCCTGGTGCTGGCAGTCTTCCGGCGGATGGATTTCTCCCTGCAGTGGCTGAGGCGCAAAAAAACGGGTGCGGGGTGCCTTAAGGCCAGGACATCATGAGATAACTCACTGATGATTTAAGAAGAAATGGGATTTTCATAGTGATTTCATAGTGATTTAGTGGGATTTTTCATGGTGATTTCGTGGGAATTTAGGCAACACACATGGGGATGGATAGTAATGGGAATTTACCCTCTGGTTATTTAACATAGCCATGGAAAATCACCATCTTTAATAGGTAAACCATCTACAAATGGGCCATTTTTAATAGCTATGTTAAATAACCAGAGGGTAATGGGAATTTAAGCAACAAACATGGGGATAGTAATGGGAAGTTACCCTCTGGTTATGTCAAAATAGCTATGGAAATAAGAGTAATAACCATTCCATAATGTAATAATGGGGTAATAACATGGAATATACCAGGATGTACGCTCTGGTAATTTGTTACATAGCTATGGAAAATGGCCATTTAGTTCATTGCTTTACCTATTAAACATGGTGATTTTCCATAGCTATGTTAAATTACCAGAGGGTAGACGTAGATTTTGATGATGTGAAATCTTCAATTTTAGGGAAATGAAGAATTCGAGCTTTGATTTATGATTGGAAAGGACATCAGAGATTCGAATGTCAAACAGATTCCAATTGAGACAATATTCATATGAGGTCCAATGGGTTCTCCTATACAATATTTCTAGGTTGACTTCCCTTCACAAACATTAGGAACATGATCGATGTTATGCGATGGAAGATGTGGTAATGTGGCCATCCGATTGCGATGGAGGATTGAATATATACTTTGTCAACATATATCTCAATCATATCCATTATGACATTCCGACTTGGTGGTTTAGATCACGTTCGAAGAAAAAAACAGGTGCCTTACACGTTTGTGGCAACACACAGTGTTGTTGAGCTCTGTGTCAGCAATTGGAAAATTTTGTGTCTCCAGTCATGACTGCGAATGGGCAATACGAGCAATGAAGATGTACCCAGCAAGATTATATAGGCAGAAACAGTTTGGCTGGTTTGATCAAATTTTCAGAGCACCCAATGTTGACCGTTATACCCTCCAATGTTGGTAATGCAATGTCATAAACCACCCATATTTCGATGGTTTGCAGTTCATCTAGCACCATCTAGCAGCCATCAAGCAATGGGAACATAGTTAGGATGTTGGATCCCAACATTACCCAGTTGTGTTATCGGGATGGATGTTAAAACCCTGTTTAGCACCAGGGTTTTTGTTGCTTATTTTCTGTGTGCCGCCGCGGTTGGCAGGACCTATGATACCCATCGGAATCGCACCGAGGTGGGAGCCCGGCAGTTTTTGGGGCTTTGGAGCCCGATTTTCACTGGGGCTTTCGTTGAAAGGACAAGCGTAGCTTGGAAATGATCAAGTACTTGGGGTTTGGTGGCACAAATCGAGGTCCCTCCGAAAAAAGGTCGTGACAGGGAACAGACCATGGATTTTTCCAAGGATTCATCCAGTCGACGTATTGCTTCAAAAACGATGGTTTATCGATAGACAACCATGGGATTTTCCATAACCATCTAGTGATATTACCTAGATTGCCTTTCCGTTATGAATAATCATGATCAATAGACCACTTACCATTACCATTTGTGATCATCATTGCTGCATGTTAATGAATTCAATATCATTATCACAATGATTAACTATATCAATATTTTGATTGTATTATCGTTGTAAACAGTTGTGATCAATATCATTTCCAGCCACCCACCCGGAACGCCTTCAGCGCGGTTCGCGATGCGAACTCTGGACAGAGGCCCTGCAGATGGCTGAACACATCCGCTTTTACAACGCCTCCTATTTTGTTCCTACACTCAGCCGTTGTGCAAAAGGTGGCAGAGATGCGAATTCCATTTTGGATAGGGATTTGAATGAAGAGAACATCACTTTTTTATTTATTTATTTTTTTTTGGGTATTTGGAATTCAACATTTTTTGGTGCATCGAAGGAATCGGAAAGGGAGAATCAGCCATCAATGACGGTGTAAGAATACCATGAGAAAAGCCAAGAAAAGCCACCGGAAGATATCAAAACGGATACCGTGAGATAGGTGTGTCGGAACCGATGGATCCGTCATGTCGGTGGGTCACCCATGTTGCCATTTTTTATGCCAAGGTTTTCTGAATCCGGCAGGTCCATGATATGCGTATGGGTTAAGCTCCAAAGAGTTGGGATTGATGGATGTGATTTTCGCCAGAAATCAGATGCAAAATCTGATAGGTAATCTGATCACCTGATCCATCTCCATAGATTGTCATAGATTGCCCAGTTTCCCATGATATTTCCATGATATTCCTATGATGGGTAGATCCTGTTCACCTTTTCAGATGGGTTCTGGGGGCTTCCCCGGCGCTGAGATTGTGGTGGCCTCCAGCATAGCCTGGGAGTGGCAAGCGCCACGGACGCGTGGTGGCTCTGTGGGACGGGGGTTCCGCAATTTCAGCGAAAAATCCCTGGGGGGTTTTCCAAAAATCCCATGGAGATCTGGAAAACTATATAGGTGAATCTTATATGGATACTTTAATCCTTCAGTCTTTTGGTATTAATGGAATATCTACGTTCACCAGCAAAGAATTTAATTTTTTGTAGGGTATCTAAGATTGGCAATGAAAACCCAAAACAAACGTTTGGATGAATTCTTGTTGGATACTGTGTAAGATAGACATTGGACTGGATTTCACGTGAAGTGGAATAGGGGTGTGAGGACCGCCCACAGATTTGGGTCCTTTTTGTACTGTCCTTTCTTATTTCTCATTTTTTGGGTACGCAATCGCGACAAATACGGATTTCGTGAAGTCTTAACCGTCTTAACCCTTGACCAGCCACCCAGTTTACAGAAGTCTGCCTCTGTCAGAAACAGATGAGCAATCTGATTTGTTGGAACGAGATCCATGTTTTTTTTTTTCCCCGCAAGTTTTCTTTTAATTAGGAGACCTCCACACGGGGTAAACCTTGGTTGGGTAGGCGCCTGGCTTAATCTTTAGCTACAGGTGTGGTATATACGGTTTTTTCAGTGTACAGCAAACTTAGTCGTCTTGGAGATGAAAGCCGCAATTTCGTGGCAGACCTGGTGTGGCCCAGAATTCCCCATTTGGGCCCTGATGGGAAATGATGGGAATATGGATGTGCCTGATGGGGGACGGTCGTGAGTTCTTGAACTCAACAGGGACGGCTATGGAAATCACAAGCTATAGCAATCGGTTAATCATGGTAAATTCTGGTAAATCGTCGAGTGGGCAATGGCTTCCATAGCAAAGTGTTGAATTACCGGAGGGTAATATATGATGTGGGAGAAAACATCAATTGCCTGACAAACCGGATGTTTAGCATTTTTCTACTTTATATACATCCGCCGGATTTGTTTTCGCTGTACCCACAGTCAAAGAATTCGGGACATGGCAACGGCTAAGGTTGGTTCAGACCATGGAATTCTGCGGAGCCTATCACTTCGGGCAGCTTGGTCAGGAAGAGTTTGAAATTCAGACAAAATGATCATCATCTCATCATTTCAAACAACTGTAACACAGCTGGCTCACCCACACGGGAATCATCGTAACACAATCTGACATATTTCTTTATCGAGCCACATACATGGTGGTAAATTAGGGGAACTGACTAGGATTGCCTCAATTTTTCGGTTGCGACATACTTTTTCCCGTAGAGTAGCAAGGCGACCAGGGAGGGATTTTCTGTATTTATCATAATCACAGTATCAGCACAGTATCAGATCAAAGCCCCTCGCTGATAAAAAGCATGTTGCTTGATAGAAAGTGTTACGAACATCGCAGTCAGAAATACAGGTGAACTGCCAATCTTCCTGCAGTAGCTCAAATCATTTGGGCACCAGTTTGCAGTCAACCTTTTCAGAGCTTTTCCTATATTTGTTTTGCTGAGTCGATTGAATTTTTGGCTTAATGTCAACGTGGTAAACCCATTTTTAAACCCAATGTCATAAACATTCATAAAGCATCCCCCCAAATCCGTCATTTTTATGGGTGCAATGTTTACCATCCCCAGTCATGGTCGGTTTATGGCAAATCTACCTCTGGAGAAGTCAGGCAATGGGCCTATACCTTTGCGGAGCAGGCACGGTTGCACGGTTGCACGCCCATTCTGTATCGGGGATATTAATCACACAATTATGGCAAATATTGTATAATTTTAGATGACATTTTTGAGGATATTGATTGTTTTAGATCATATTTTGATATATTATGATATGATCCCTATGATCATATTCCCATTATCATGAAAATCACGGAGATTTTCATGGGGAAGGGTTAGTCGGGATAGGCTCATGGGAGTTCAGATACCACCGGTGTCTGCGTCCCGTGGGGACGACTTAGCTTTTCCCCAATGATCCACCATTGAGGGGTTCCAGCATCCGCTGGTCACCCGCAATGGCTTTCACGAGTTTTTGGAGGTTCATCCTATGGAAAAAAGGGGTGAACATTAAAGAGCTGGGGGACCAGAGATCTACCCTCTGGTTATGACTAACATAGCCATGGTATAGATGGCCCATTTATAGATGGTCTACCCATTAAAAATGGTGATTTTCCATAGTTTTTTGTAAACGTGTATCAGAGGGAAAGTCTGTTTATGTCTATTTTTCGTATTATCCATCCAATAATTGGGGTACTCAACTTTGACTGATGCATGCTGATGCTGTTTCATGGGTAACTTGATCCATCTTGATCCATAGCCATGGGAGATTTTGAACATCCAACCCCTCTGGACGCCGAAGCCAGAGGTGCATTATCGCTCGAATACCTCGGACCTGCAGCAGACAGCGCACGACGTCTCAGGGATAGGGTGGCACGGTGGAGAATCTGCCTGAAATCGAATCCAATTTGAACAGAATTTGTTGGTCCAAGGTGAAATCACCATAAATCAGCAATTTGATCAGACAAATCACCAGCCATTGTTGGCCCAAAAAAGGTGACCCTCCCGCGAATCGAGGTCCCAGGAGCAATTCGGGCATCCCTATGCCTTTGTGCTGGACTGAATGGGGAGATGTCGAGATGCCAATGATGCAGATTTTGCTGGCGCAAAATCTGAAGAGATGTTTGTTTATTGATGTTGATTTTTTTCAATCCCTCCATAACTCTGGGATGATGCAAAAAAAAGACATTTTTCATTCTGAGCACCAGCCAATCCAGACTTGGCTTCGCCACTAAGATTGGCATTCCGGGCATCGGCACAGCTATGGGCTTTGAGTGCGGCAGCCAGCGTTAACTGGAGGAGCTGCAGCGGAGTTGAAGGGAGATATTGGAAGGCATCCCAATTGGCATATGGAGGTTTCCTAAAATGGGGATCCCCAAAATGGATGGTTTATAATGGAACATCCTATTAAAATGGATGATGTAGGGGTACCCCTATTTTACGAAACTCCATATGAATCACAAGGTGAGGCCCTATAGATAGCTGAGTTGACGCACATTTTTTTAACTTCGTTAACGATGATTTTTGGGGACAACGAACAAGTCTTCATGGGCTTAATAAACCAACATCACTCTGGCTCACCAAACGTAAACAGATGGTGGATTTTCTCCTGCCAGGTTTGGATTTTCAACAGAGGGTGATCGTCCAGTCGTCCAGATATCACTGCCATTTCTTGTAGGATATATCCCACAAGAATATGGTTATATATTACCAACCAGGTCCTGGGGTACACATATTAGGGTCAGAATATGACATCGGTGAACTCCCCGGCAGATTTGACCATTTGACCTGTCGTCTTCAAGCCGATTCATCCGTGTCTTTTTTAAGTGAAATGCCATTTTTGGGTTTGATGAAACCCTCCATTTGGCTGAATTAGAACGACCTCACTGCGACGTCACAGAAAATTGATGATGCATGATGAGGAACCCTATTCCAACATCGCCTTACTTTAGGCGGGTGAATTGCAGTTTATCCGCAACACTGTTGAACAAATGTAATTGAACAATCATTTTACACATATTATGATTCTTACATATTACATCATATTTAGATATATATATATAAATAATATTGAACAGATCTCGAACATCATTTTTCACCATTCTTCGGCCATAAATTGGTGGCCCCTTAGCGCGCCCCGCCCAGGTCGTTGATGTACAACACAGGGCACTACTTAGCGCGATCCGTGAAACCGCAACAGGTGAGGGTCCAAACCGGGAAACGGTGGTGCCGCAAAGCTAAACTATTACTGTCCCATACTGTCCCATTGTATCCAGGAATATCCAGAAATGAAGAATTGTCGCTGTTATGAGGTAATCGCACTTATAACTTCCTCATGGCATTAGAAGGGGGATGGCACGGGGATGGTGAAGTTATTCGGGTACCCCAAATGGACCCACATGGACTCCGATTCTTGGCCAGTAAAAGGGGGAATTTATGATAAACAATGGGTTGGAATGGGCTTCAGAATGCTGCAAAGCCTGATTTACATCCATAAACCGGCCTAAAATAGGGTGTACCCATGACTAGCGTTGCAGGAACCTTCAATCATTTGGTTTTGTGAATTACCGTAATTTTCCGACATTCACAGCAAAAACCCACGCATGAATAGGATTCGATCATACAATAGGGGCATAAAAAATCAGAGGCTTCCAGAAAGATGATTTTTATATATTTTTATCTGATAGTTCCAGGTTTACAACTCTTTCCCTCTAAAAAATAGGCCTGGTAAAGAGTTTTTTGATTTCCCCCCGTAAAAAATCTATGCACCAAAAGTGATAGCCAACAATATTTCGAGTTGTGATAGGTGAACCTGGGACACGAAATTGGTTTCACCAGGATTATTTTGCTTCACCAACTATTGATGCGATCTGCTGTATATTCTACTGATTTCGTAACCAACCTAGCATTGAGTGATACTCGTACAATTTCAAAGTTTTTGAAGAAATCCCTAAAATTGAGGGTACCCTCTGGCAATTTAACATGGCTATGGAAAATGGCCCATTTACAGTTGATTTGCCTATTAAAGATGGTGATTTTCCATAGCTATGTTAAATTACCAGAGGGTAACAACAATGGTTTCAGCATGTTTCGTCGTTAAATTTCTTCACCCATTGATTTCACCGGAGCAGAAAGGCCATCATCAGAGGCGTGGCCTACTATGATTATGTGGCCCGGTGCTTGGCTCGATTTGGAGGTCGATTTTCCATATTTTTAGATTCAAACGTATCACCGTATCCAGATTATTCCAGATTACATGGTGACGTAAGACGTATCAATTTTATGTGATATGTAGAATGTAGATATTATTCGTGGTGAAGTATCTTTTATGTGATTTTTCTTTGCTGGGTGAAACATCATGGAGGCATGTGCCATTTTAAATCATTTATCCATCTGCTTGCCATGAATTTGCATCGCAATAAAGCTGGTTAAGCCATGGCTGGGGCCATGGCCGATGGCGAGCCAAGGCACGTCTCTATCGTCTGCAAGATGTCACTGCGACAAAGGCAGCATTTATGCCGTGGCTTTGCACAGAATTGAGAATCAGTTTGCATCTTCAGCTGTTGTAGCCGTGTAGCCTCTGGTCATTTCACAGTTTGATGAATCAGTTTGCATACTGCAAGTCGTCCTTCAGGATGACCCTGCGACTGTGAAAAGTCTTCCGGAGATAGGGTTTCTCACTATGAAATCTATGAAACTTTTTTTTAAGAGATCCTATTTTCAGGATATCACAGTATGAACATACTCTTCATAGTTTATCGCACATTTTCATGAATCCCTCATGGTTTATCCCACATTTTGATCCCATGACTTTCAGTGGCAACCCTCGTTGTCAGCGCCGCGTAGGCCACCTTTTTTGCCAAAGGCCAACCGCCTTTGCCTGAGACCTTTCACAATCCTGTGCGCCTTTGACGAAGGGCTTCCCGCTAGTCACATGGAAATCCCCTATCAAGAATGGAGCGTGGGAAATTGTTGGGAAATTCTTGGAAGTAAATGTTGTATTTTCCATTTATCCTCTTGACCTAATCTCTCTGTGCAGTAAAAATACTAATCCTCAGCATTTTCATCACCATTTTCATATCTGTGCAAGCTTTCTCTTTGTGTTTTTCTATCAACAGATGTATTTCGATGATTCTCAACTAGTGACTCCTGTGGCTGGTGTGGCTTTCAACGAGCTGTGCCCGAAATAGCTGTTATGGATATGGATAGCGGTTATGGATACGCAGCATGTATTTATGTGTGTAGACGCAGGTCTGATTCAATATACTGTGACAGACTATATTAGTAGATTTATGCTCCACGCGTATGAATACATGTAATAATAATAATTAATAATAATCATATTAATAATAATGATAATAATAATATTAATAATAATACCAATAGTAATAATAATAATAATAACAATAATAATAATATAATATATATATATATATGGTGGTCGATCTAAAGGTCCTTGTAAGGAGTTTTAATTGCGAAAGCCGTGCGTGTTATGTTGGAAACCCTCGCGAAAGTGTTTTTTTTTCGAGTTCGCAAAAGTAACATTTTGTTTCGCGAAAGTTTCGCGAAAGTTGGATATCATGATTGCCTAACATAGGTTCCGCGAAAGATATAAGCATGGAGTTCGCGAAAGTTTCGCGAAAGTAACATTTTTATTCGCGAAGAATGGCCGTTCCCGGATAAAGGAATTTTGATCAACAACCATATACATACATGCATACACATATGCACATCTTGTTTCTACGAAGGATCCAATTGACAAAACCCAAACAGGTACCATCGCGGAAGAGTCCGACGTCTGAAGCCAAAGAGGGGCAACAATTTCAAAGCTGTGGGACCAACAGAATTGAGTCATTTTGGGTGAATCCCATTTTGGGTACCAAAATTGATGTATAAGTCAATTCAAACATATTGGCCTGGGTCAATTCAAATCTGAGTTCAGCTGTGGGTGTATTTTTTTGGATACGTGGCTGCATAGGTGGATGTAGCCGATGCAGCTATGTCAGCTATGTACCCAGTACGCATGGCCCTGTTGGGTAAGAGTGTGAAGCCACTGACGATCAGTTGATCAAATGGGTCCCTCAAAAACAACCCCAAACCCCCAGTGATTTGACCGTTTGAAACCATCAAAAACCCATCATTTTCAGCAGCATTTTGAAATGCCAAATTGAAGCACCATAAAGGTAACATTTGTCAAGCCATCATCAGAAACCAGTGGCAATTGCAGCATTTTGAATGGTTACTATGGTTACTATGGTTACTATCATTCCATTGAAGCACCATTTTCATCCATTTTCAGCAGCATTGCCACTGGTCACTGGTTGCCAACCAGGCTGGATTTCTTCACCTTGGCCTCAATGGCGCCTGCATACGTGCCGTACGTGGGACACTTGGGACTTAACCCCAGGCCAGGTGTGAAGTCCCCAGGATTTTAGACCAAGTGCCAAGTGCCGAAAAGTCGCGCGTGCTTAATTCCGGGTTTGGATTCTACTCTTTGAAACCAAGCTTAATGAGAAAGTCAGAGACCTGGAAATAGCTGGTTGATGTGAATAGTCATCGTTCATCATCGTTCCAGATTCTGCAAGGCGGCTGGTTTTTTTTTCTTATTTGACATCCCAACTCCTAAAGCTTCGATGGTCCCAATATGGGAATTCCGAGATTGGCACTCTGCGGGAGCACATCACCAAGCTCTTGGAGGCGAGGTCACCCTCTGGAAGTTGCCAGAAAGCTATGGAAATCCATGGCTTTCGCTGGGAACTGATCATAACTGTTATAACTTATCTACAAATGGTGGATTGGAGAAAGAAAGGATTCTTCGTGACTCCCAGATTTTGCAAGTTGACACCACGACTTCATGGAAGATTGGGTTTGGAATGGCAGTTCCATCTTGTTCCATGGTTTTTTACCACCCCCAGAATAATATCCAATACATTCCACCATAGTTTTTGTTGTTGGGGGAGACAGAGGCAATTGCTGAAATGGGATTCATCATTGTCTAACCAATGGCATGAGGCCAATGGCACGGTGATGCCGTACAACTTGGCCTTCTACTTGCAGACCGACGCCAAAGTTCGAAAGGTTCCGGATTGGGGGAGGAATCCGCTGGGAGGTGGAAAAATTGTATGGAAATCATCGAGCTTTGAAGGGAGATTGCACCTCTGCTTTTGACGATTGCGATCCGAGGCATTTTGTGATCCTAAAACTCATCAGATTCCACCATTTTGATCCATTTCCTGCATGTTTGATGCTACCAGAAGCACCAGATTTCCACCCATTTCCAGCATCTTTGATTATGAAAATACCATCCACTTTCGATGGAAAATCCACATTTACCCTCTCGTAATCAAATGTGGCAACGGACAATTTCCTATAAATGGAGATTTTAGTGGGACAATCATCTAAACACGGGAGATTTTCAATTGCGACGTTTGATGACACCGGATGGTAAATGCTGAAAATGGATGCACACACATATATATATAATTATATATATATAATTATATATATATATACATACCTGGAAAGCCATAATCCCATTTTTTTTGGTCAAACGGCCTTGACCATTTTTTTTGGTCATTACGGCTTTGATCGTCTGGAGCCACTTGTGTGAGAGTTGCTACGGCTTTTTACGGTCTTTTTTCAACAAAATGTCGAAAAAATACGGTTTTGCCACGGGTAGGCTTGCGTGAGAGCTGCGACGGTTTTTTTAGACGGTTTTTTTCAACAAAATGTTGAAAAAATACGGTTTTGCTACGGGTAGGACTGCAATGTTCTTTGATTTGACAATTTTTTTTGGTCATTACGGGTAAAAACAATATTTTACCAAAAAAAATGTTCATTACGGCTTTTTCCCATAATGACCAGAACATTTTGTGTTTTTGGCTTTCCAGGTACATATACACACATGGCTTTCCACCTGTGGATTTTCCAAAAATGCACACGGAGAGGCTGACCATTCACATTCAGATGCACATCTTTCCATTTTCATCAGATTTCTGGAAGTGCCATCAGCCATCATAGGGGCCCCATATCCCCCCATGAGCCCCAACAAACATGGGGGGGTTCGGGGCACCTCGGGGCACCCCAAGCAGACCGAGTCCGCCGAGGTAGATCCGCGGCCAAAAAGCTGGTGGGTCACGGAATTGGAGCGCCTTTGGGGTGGGTTCGGGAGCCCAATTCGAAACGGGGCGTTTTTTTTTGTGTCTGGGACAGTTGGAATGTCTGGAATTTCTGTACTGAAGTGGGTGGGACTTCGAATTTCTGGATTTTCTGGACTTTCCGATATTGAGTTAGTTTGATTGATGTTGATTTTCAATGATTTTCATGATTTTGAGGGAATAGAATCACAGGTTTGACACGCAGAAAAAACACGATGGCAATTACGGTTCGGGTTTCCTCTGATTTTCCCATTATCCAATAGCTCAACAGCCACAACCAATGGGACCAATCTGAGATCGGTTGATGACTTGATGATTTTTTGGTTGCCACACACGGACTTCAGTCAGTATCCTGAGATCTGTGATCACTGTGATCTTTGATCCTGAGAAAACAGACCTGGCATACTGGGTGGATACACGTTGTGTGGCTGGGGATGCTTAATAGTGCTGGGAGGAAAACAGCCCCAATCACTTTGTAGCAAATCTGCGAGTCACGCGTCTCTGCACCGGCTCCGCAACTGAGGCACAGCATGCGATTTTGGCATCACAATGCCACGATCCTCAATCATGGCCTTCAGTTTGAAGAGAGGACCGGGACAAAATCTCAGCCGCCCGCTTTTTTCAGCACGCAGCCGCAGGAGTTGTCCCAGCTTCGTGAAACACAGCCACCTCTTTGCGGATCCCATGTCCTGTGGACATCTTTTCCAGGAGACCGGAGACCCGGGTTGGTTGGAAGGGGAGGAGTTCAACAATTGACACGGTGCTAGATGAAAATGATGAGGATGCGATATGGATATGGAATGGATGACATCCAAGTGGGGTCCGTATCACGATGGGGAAAACACCACCAATTCTCCCAACTCCGAGAAAAGCTGAAAAGGGAACGTGGCTACTGAAAAAAAAGACGCCCATCCAGATCTGGTATAGCCCCAATATTGTGGGTGACTCGATTCCAGAATCCTCCGGAGAAGGGCTTATACTAGGATAGATGTTTTAGATATTTGGCACTCCCCCTCCCGGCCCTCCCCCAGCCAAAATCACAACACGATCGCAAACACTGATTTATTTCCGCTGAAAATTATCAAGTCTGTGCCAACCTGCACTGGCTTTCTTGCTGGACAAGATCAACTTCAAAAGAAGGTGTGCCCGGCCAGTTTTGCAGATATCACTGCAAGTGACTTCGTCAAGCAGTCTGCAAAGAATGCCAGTTGGAATTTGATGAATTTGGCACTATGTATCTATTAACAATTATATATGTATATATATCATTGTATATCAGCCATTATTAAGCACTATTAACCATTAATTATGTTGTCAGAGTTTGAAGCAATTCTGAGGAAGGTTTTGTCACTCGTAAATTGCGTGCTCCATTCAAGCCTTTTGGCACAAACTGCCCCCTATCAAAAAAACGCTTTTCAGATAGAGAGCATCATTGAGACATGTTGATGTTTCTTGCCCTCCTCGTGTTTTCAAGGGCATTCGCTGCGCTGGGAGTGATGTGCAACTCAGGGTCGAGCTTGAATTACACTGGCGACTGTGGAACAATGAGCAACTCTGTCAGTTTTACAACAGCACAATGCTCAGGAAATTGCTACACCGAATCAATGAAGCAGGGTATTACACCCAATGGTGTTTGTGATGTCACCTTCGTGACTGCTGGATGTGTAGTCACAGGCTCCGACTGTGCAACCCTTCAGACTGAATACGATGCAATGGACCCCAGTGCTGGCAACTTTGGATTTGCCTGCGAAGAGTGTTCCTCAGACGGTTGCAATCCAACAACTCCTCTGGCATTGACGCTCTCAGCGGTTGCCTCTAAGGGGATGAGCTTCAGTTTCGCCGCGTTGTTTCTTGTTGCTTCTGCGTACGTGTAATCTCCCGTCGAGTGGATGTAGAACCAGGTATGGGTCAAACATAGGATAGCGAACAAGCCACGCAGTTGGTGATTCTCAGATATTTTCAGTAGATATAGATCTAAAGGTTATCAACCCACAAAAATGGTGATTCTTTCGATCGGTAGATATCTTTTCTTGGATCAGTTAGATGTTTGGCCAATACCCAAACGCCCAGAGCGTCAGCCACATTTGCTGACGTGGACCGTTTCATGCACGCCAAAAGCGTCGTCAAGAGAATCGTCAGGTTGGAGCCGCTGAGAGCGGAATGAAGAGCATGAAATCCAATGGTTGTAACATTGAACAACGAAACTGGGTTGGTTGGACAAATGGCTACGGATCAAAACCTATAGATACCTTTTTTAGGGCAATGAACACCCATTTACAAGCTATTCTGATGTCCACCAGGGGTATAGGGTTTTGACCTATACCCAAATGCAACAACAAATTACCAAACAAGCAGATTTTCCATGGATTTCCTGTATGTTTTCTTTGAAAGCTGAGACCTTGGCTGGTTGGCTTCTGTTCAGCAAAGTCTCCAAGATCCCTTTCCAATCCCAGCTTGGAAGGGGTAACGAGAAGGTCAATCCCGGATTCATGATCTGACCGTCATGACTCGGTTACTTCTAAAAATTAGAATTGGCACCCCTCCTACTAGTACACTGGTGGTTTCTTACTCCTGGGCCACAGTCAATTGCCAAAAAATATTCGCAAAACTTGATTGCCAATCGAGTGAGGGCGAGCCACCGCCACATGTCCATCGAGAAACGGCGGCTTATTCAACGGCTTTGGGTTATATATGAGCTACAGGGACAGAAACCATCAGAAACCACTATTTCAGATGGATTGAAACCACTGAGCTGAAGTGTTTTGACAGATCTTTCCTGGCTCTGCAGTATATCATTTTAAGCCATTTGTGAAATGCAGTTAAATGCAGCAGTGTCAACCACAAAGAGGCATACCTTTCAACTCAATTGACAAAACAACGCTGAGTGAGTGTCTATCACTTTGGGAACTTTGGTGAGGTATCGCACAGAGTAGACAAGACTATGAGCACAACAAAATGATTCCAAGGTTTTTCTGTTTCCGGGAATTCCCACACCGGTTCCAACGTTCAAAACGACGCATTTTTCGTCGGAAATCCGCAGGATTGTTGCGATCGCGTGGACGTTCCGGACTTCCCATTGACCGAGTCGGGGGACCAGCGGCACGGTCTGGAGAGGTGGCTACAGAGATTGGCTGAAAAAACGATGGTTTATGGATGTTTATGGTAGATGTAACGAACTCGTTTATGATGTTTTTTTTTTTTTTTAAATATAATAAACCAACAAAAAACATATTAAATTTATAATATCATATATAATAAACCAACAAACATCATTTAACATAATTGGGGGGTACCATCCTGTGGGTGTTTTGCTTTGACATTTTCAGACGGGATGGGTCTCCACCAGGTTGATCCATCGGTCCTCTGTTTCTGACATGTGATTGGTTTATACCCTCTGGTTATGTCAAAATAGCTATTGAAAATGGCCATTTATAGTGGATTTTCCCATTGAAAATGGTGATTTTCCATAGTTATGTTAGTTTACCGGAGGGTAAATATTACCACATGGTTTACCATATGATTAGCTATAAGCAACGGAAATCAATGATATATTAATGATATCTCTCCAAACCATTTTGTTGGTGATGCCGGATGCCTGTCTTTTTTGAACCAACCGTTGCTTCAAAAAACCACCAAGGTGTGGCGTGGGCGTCTCCCCCACACTCTGCCGAAGTGCTGAAATTCTCCAGGACGTGACTGGGTGACTGGGGCAATGGCTGTGGGGTACATATGTATATACATATATAATATACTGTATATTATATACGTATGTCTAGTCGTTTCCGTAGATAAACATGAGAACAACCCATCTTTATATGCAGCCTTGGCTTCAAAAGGTAAATGTGGGGGCATCTTTATACGTATATATATATATATATGTATCTATTTTACTATATATGATTTAACAATACTAATGGCCTATGTAACGTGGTTACAATCAATAGGATGAGAACGAACCAGAATAAGAATGTGACGGGAATATATATATATATATATTATATTATATATATTATATTATATATATTATATTATATATATTATATTATATATATTATATGTATATTATATATATATATTATATTGTATATTATATAATATATATATATATATTATATTATATTATATTATATTATATTATATTATATAATATATATAATATAATATAATATAATATAATATATATACTATATTATATAATAGATATATTATACAATATATATATATTATATAATAATATTATATATATATATTAATTAAAAAGTAGATTTATATAAGTATTCGGGATATGGGATTTTGGGTAAATTCTAACAATGTCACTGGCCGACATTACTAGAAATGAGGGTGAATGGAAACAAATCAGCCAGAGATGTGGTGATCACTGGGATAGATGGCAACATTACGACGTGGGATATAGGATTAACCACCCTGGGATAGTTGCGTTCTGGGACGAAAAAAATCTGGGCAGAATTAGCCAGCAATTGGATGGGCTTCAGTCTCTGAGGTCCCAGAATTGGATAAATCCAAATATCCCTAGTGGTATGGATTAAAAAAACAATTTCATCCCATTTCCAATAGAAGACACATGAAGAAACCATATGAAACCACCGGTTTCGTGTCATTTTTCCCCCCCAAAAAAGAACCTGCAATGGTCTTTCCAGGATGACTGTCCGGGCCCCTTCGAGCTCATCAACAGGACTGGGCGATTTTCCATCGCACTCGGCTCAATGTGATTCAATATGCCCCTTTTAGATATATTGACTGAAGCATGGAAGTTGTCACACCGACTTCAAGATGGGGAAATCATCTTCTAGCGGCTAGCATTTTTTGATTTACCCTCTGGTAAACATACAAAAAACTATGGAAAATCACCATTTTTAATGGGAGAACTCACTATTTCTATGGCCATTTTCAATAGCTATTTTGACATAACCAGAGGGTAAACTCCATTGGCGCGTTGCCGAAAACTCGCGGCAGATCGTCCCCTTCCCAGTTCCGAAGAAAATTCCGACAGATTTCGCGAGGACCTCCTACGTGAAGTGGCCCTGCGCATTTCGCGTCATCGATTGGCGGTCCTAAAAAAACACCTTGGAAGAACGAAGGAATCATGACCTGCCATGGAATCCATGGTAGCTGAGATTTTTTTTGGACTTTGATACGAAATGAGGCCCATGTTTCTGGAGATAAATTGTAGGCTCCTGTTGCTGTTACCTGTTCCTGTTGCTGTGCAACAGCCTTCTGTTACCGTCCTTTTTTGGAACATGTCATTTGGTACAGAATTCAACCAGATCCTATTTTCGTCGTAAACAACCAAATCCACCTTGCAAGCACTCGCGCACAGCCATGGTAGCTGCAGCTATCTGTGAGTTTTTTGGTGATCCATGGTGATCCTGATCATCGGCAGCCGATCGATCAACGAACCAACGGCACCATGGCGGCTCCCGAACGGGACCGTTGCCGGATTGCAGCTCAGTTCCAGGGACGACCCGCAGAACCCGGTGTTGATGGTTGGAAGGTCGCCCCGTTTTTTTTTTTGGCGACAGTAAAGGGGATTCAACATGATTCAATCAACAAATCTTGGGATATTCTTTACCTTTTCTATTTTGGATATACTTGTATTTTTGTTGAATGGAATCTGTTTTTACCGGAGTTCGCGCCGTCTCTGCGCAAAGCATCACCAGTCAAAGGTGTTTTCAAAATGATGGCGTCACGGGCATGGGGGAAGTGCCATGGGGCAAGCTTTCTTGGCAGAGGCGGGTGTCCTTTTTGTTGCAGTGTTTTGTTTGCTGCGTTTTGGGTTTCACTCCCTTCCCTTTGAACGTGAATTCAGATGGTCGGATCTGTTTGCATCTGCGTTACCGTGCTGGTGGCCCACAGATCAAGTCAGACCATGGTACACCTTTGGAGCAACATGTGATTTTTAGGATCTGAAACAACTTTATGATACAAAAATACTGGTTCTTCTTATTTTCTATGACAAACAAGGCGTCCGTTTTTTTCGGGGTTGATCACGGTGATCCGTAGCTATCCAGCTGTCAGTTTCACAGCCATGGCGGGCGATAGCTTCGCGCCAGAACGAGGAGCAATGACTGCGGGGAACTCACGCAGGACCAAGGTAGATCTCAGCACATAGAGTAAACGAAGCCATGGATTGAAAGATACTTGTCCATGATTTTCCATGATTTTCCATGATTTTCCATGCATCCAGCATGATGAGGGTCTACCTTTAACATCCTTTAACTTTACTATGTTTTTATTTGTTTGGAGAAGCTGGGACTAAACTTCCGGCTGCAGGAGACACCATTCTTCCAGAGATCACCGATGAGGCGGGAGTTTTCATGAAAAACGGTTGGTGTTTTTTTTGTTGGAAAAAACATCAGTGAAACCCATAGGATCCATGGTGCTGGTATATATATGCTAACATTGGGGGTATAGTGATGGTAAATGTTACCATATATGGCATACATGGATCCTATGGGAAAGAACATCCTCAAGAAAACGAAAGGGCAGAAAAACACTTTCAGCATGGAGAAGAATTCAGAAGAATTGTGTTTCTTAGGCAAAGATAGGTGCAAAAATCTTTGCTGGGTAGCATTTTGAATGATTTTGCTTTGCCAGGTCATAGAAAGCGCAGGTCTAGCCGTCTAGCTTCGAAGCTTTAAAGGGGATGGGAAGAATTTGATCGGCAGCTCCTGGTCTATTGCGGTGAAAGCACATCGTTTTCCGATCCCTGCAGGTGGCAGATCGTCTCTTCCGCAGTCTGGAACTCATTGAGGCGCGGATCTGTTCACCTCTGTGAATTCACCAGGATAGGGCTAGCAGTAGCAACAAGGGGATTTTGATCTCCAACTGGGCATTTTCCAAGCTGATGATCGATCGCCTCCGCGCTGTTACCAAAAAGGGCGAGCGAGCCGCCAGGCGGACTACCAGCGGACGTTAGCTGCTGAGCCGCCAGGGGCTCGATCGATGATTTTGCGGTAAAGCCATGTAAAGCCATGTAAAGCCAATCAACCGGACGTAAAAACCAGGGATGTAAAAACAAGATATACCAAAGAACCCCCTGTAGATTTCATGTACAAAATGAGGACCCTAAAAAGCATTCGCCATAGTGGGCCATGGGCCATCATTTTAAACACAGTGTTTTTTTAGGTTTTGGGTGTTTAAGTTTTTCTTGGCGGGGCATAGGTCATCATTTTAAGCAAGATACCTGGGCAATCTTGGGTTCTAGTATATGGTCATAGGCCTTCATTTTATACAGGGGTTGGGTGAAAGACATGTTTTCATAAAGGGCCAGAGGCTGTGATTTCATGCTAGCCTTTGCTAAAAGCCACGGCTCAAGACAGGTCCTGGGACCATACCTGTTAGAAGGATACGATCCATACCCATACCATCCCATACCTCCGTTCCATACCTTCTTCTCCACTAACATGAAATTTAAATGTTCCTGCGCCAATTTTGGCATTGGAATCCATGCTTTGTGAGCAGTGGATGCCATTAAAAGCGAGAAACATGCAAAAAGGAACCCCGAGATCACTTCTGCATGGTTTTCAGATAGGTTTTTCAAAATTTATCAAAAACAACTCGAACGTTGTCTTCACCATGTCTCCTGATGGCTGACCGGCTTTGTGTGCGACTGGTCCGCAGTTTTCCTCACATACAATGTTCATTTCTTTCGCGTTCTCATTTCATTTGGTTGAAGCAGTCTGCAGACTTCTGTTCTTTGTATCCAGTGGTCAACTTCTGCGATCGGTTCTTTTTTAAAGAATCGACAGCCCTCACATTCAAAAGCCTTCAGATCCTTGCCTCCTACAAGTTTGGCTCCGCAGACGCTGACATCCACAGCCAAGACCCCTTCATTTGCAGTACCGATTTGTACAGGCACTGCCTGGGAGAGCCCCAAGGGGCCACCATTTTGTACAGGCTGCTTTGGTTTTTTTTTGGGTACCTCTGCCTGCAGGAGCCACGAGAAGCCCCCTAACCAGAGCAAACACCTGGAAGATGCGACCAAGTGGCCACACAAGCTAGACAGGAAGATCTTGGACTGGCCTGGCAGCAGCAAAGCTACACAAGCCATCCCAAGGCTGGTAGGTGGCTCTTGCTGCTTCCAGCCTTGGGATGGCTTGTGTAGCTTTGCTGCTACCAGGCCAGTCCAAGATCTTTCTGTCTACCTTGTGTGGCCACTTGGTCGCATCTTCCAAGTGTTTGGTCCGGTTACAAAATGGTGGCCCCTGGGGCTCTCCGAGGCAGTACCTGTACAAAATGGTGGCCCTTGGGGGTGTGTGACAAGGCTGGTAGGTGGCTCTTGTCACGCCCCCAAGGGCCACCATCTTTGCTGGGTCCCCTGGAGGCTCACATTTTGTAGACAGCCTGGGTTATAGCTGGGGTCATAGGATTTCATTTTGTAGATAGGAATAACCCAGCGGCTTCATTTTAAGCCCACAAAATGGGGGCCACTGGGTGACAGGGGGTAATCTACAGGGGGATTACCAAAGCATACCAAAGCATATTTTCAAAGAGCTATCCCAAGCAGGCAGCATGGTAACTTTAGTACAGGAGCATGGTATACCCAGTCAAACTAGAAGCAGTAAGGCGGCAGCGAGAGACGGACGAAGAGGAGGACCACAAGTTGTACTCTTCTTGGGGTTACAGGCTTTGGCTTTAGTCTCTGAATGGCGATTTAACATGATTTGACCAGTACTATAATGATCGAGGATTTTAAAAAAGCACAAATGGGGATTTTTACTCCCCGATGGAGAAATCTGGCAATGAACCATGGTCAGATTGGTAGGGTATTTCTGATTGGTTGCTTTATTTAGTGGTACCGCCGAAGCTGCGTATGAGAGATCTATGTATGACATGACAATATCTGGTTGGTGGTTTGGATCAAGTTTTTTTTTTCCATAATATATGGGATAATCCTTCCCATTGACGAACTCATATTTTTCAGAGGGGTAGGCTCAACCACCAACCAGATATGTTATGTGGGCAGCAAGAGTGGCTGTTTCAATGTTGGGATGCACATGATGACTATCCCAAAAGTACCTGAGACGAGCAAGTGGATGCTACTGTTTACCACTGAATCAGCATCCTCTGGGTCTGGGGAATCTCCCATCTGCCTGAGTCGGAATCATAGGAAACTTGGGACACCTGAAAAAGTAAGATATGGATAGATATGGGGTGTCTCAGAATTTCAACCCCCAAACGGAGCCATTTTTGTAAAGCATCATTTCAACATTGCCTCACTCAGATGACCAGAAATTGGGGTGCCCCTGGTATCATCCAAACCCCAGCCGCTAGGATGAGGATGAGCCCGGCGCCGGATATGCAGCCCTGGGTTCCGATGATGGAGGCCTTGCAGTCGGATGTTTCATGGGATACCCGAGGGGGTAATCTAACATAAGCTGGCAACGAAAAACAGCGGAAAGCTGTAACGACATTCTGAAAGATGATTTACAGTGTATGTATATATATATATTATATGTATCTCTATGTATATATATATACTGTATATATATATATATCTCTATAATGGAGTGTTTTCCGTTGCCAGGTGAGATTGCCGAAGGGTATATCCATTCTTCTGATTGTTGGATGAATCTCAAGTTCTGCTGGTGAAATTCCCATGCCCACCTTGGTTGGCAGGCAGCGAAGAGGAGGCGTAGTTTGGGGCGGGATGGCAGGATGGAAGTGTAAACATGACTTTCTGTCATCTACCCTCTGGTAAACTAACATAACTATGGAAAATCACCATTTTTAATGGGAAAATCCACTATAAATGGTCATTTTCAATAGCTATGTTAGTTTACCAGAGGGTACAGGTTGTTTTGTTTCGAGATTTTTCTGTTTCGACTAACCTTGACAAAAATAAAAGTGCGAAATCACTCTCTCCTTTTCTGATGGGTTTCTAGAGCTCTCTGTCCCGATTTCCAGTGCAAGTGACACCATTTTCGATGAAGCTAGAGAGCAGGCCGGACAGATGGACATTGCTCTTCAGTCCTCTTCTGGTAGATTACCAATATGGGGATTGGGTCAAAACCCTGGTACCTAGTGAACCCCAAGTCATAGCTGGGATTTATGGATGTTCATCCCACTAAAAATGTATCTATAGGTATTGACCCATACCCATATTACGGGATTTTTTGTTATCCAGAGATATCTACAGAGTATCCATTTGGGATCTCTATTTTGGATGGCTTTGATCGGCATTTTTTGCACCTTGAACCTGATTCCTGTCCCCGTGACAGGCTGCAGATGCAGGCCCAAATCTGGCGCCCTTTTATGCGGGAAAATGGTAACTCTCCCCGAAGCAGAAGCCTATTTTTTGCTTTTAGATCTGGCTCACATATGGAAGATTTTCTTGAAGATCTGATGGTTGAACTGGTTGAACCTCGGCCATTTGCTGGAATTTCTATGGATTTATCATTTGAATTTCAGCTCCCAAGTCTCGGAGATCTTTTTCAGCATCCCATGATTCGTGGGACATCTGTGAACCTTGGAATGCTAGTTTACTTCGCCAGCTTTAAACATGGCACATGTCCCTGGCAGATTGGGGCGCCTTCCAACAATCCGAGGACCCGAATCCGGACGTGGTGTCGATTGAAGCTGTGCATCCACTGAGATCAACAGCTGCCTGTTGCGTCCACGTTGATCCAATGATCATTAGTGATCCAGTTCTATGCAATCCTCAATTTTGAGTTGTACAAGTTGTACTCAATTTTCTCAAGAACAAGATGAACAAGTGCAAAAGACCAGTGTTTCTTGGACCTTTCAGGATGTCTGGACAGCGACATCAGACCCGGACAGCCAGGCCCACTGGGACCGCAGATTGTAGAGGAAGCTTTTCTGCTCCAAAAACAGTGGATGGCTGTCCAAGTATTTGTCAAAACGAGTTGAAGCTTTCTCCGAACCTGGACATCAGAACATCGGCATGTTGATCAGTCAGGTGGATCGAAGAACTTTCATAGACCAAAACGATGGAGATGGGATGATATCTCCCATCGGGCGGTGTTTGTTGAGGCACATCCCTGTCCCAGAACTCCCAGAACTGCCACCTTGACTTACCCCAGCCTCCACCTCCCGTCAGTTGGAAAGTTTCGCTGACTTTGGGGCGACGAACCCGGCAAGGTCCCAGGTGGAGGAGTCACAGATTACGGCTGAGAGTCATAGAAGTGTAACGAACTGTGGCTTTGGCGGAAACTTGCCCCCAAATTCTGTGGTTTATCATCATGTTTTCTAGTGTGATAAATACATATAATATAAATACATATTGATCAATCCCAAATCAATGTTTGATGCTATGAAGTTTAACCCAATATTGATTAAATACATGTTAACAATTGATGTTAAACTTCAATTTTTGATGCACCAATGGTTAACCCATTATTCCCCAAATTTCTTGGTATCCTCCATTTGCAGACAGCAATGAATCGAGGCCCTACCGGCTCCTCCGGAGATCAGCCTGTTGCAGGCGCTTCTTGCGCGCAAGCGCAAGGGGGGGGAACGAAAATATGTTGTTCTTAAATGCCATTGGAAATCTCAGATCACTAGTTTACTGTGCTTGGATATGCTTGATCTATCATTTTGTTCACATCATTAGTTAGCAGCTAAATATCGTGATTGCTGTTCTATCAGATCATTATCATTGGTATTAGTGTGGTTGTTATGATTGATTATGATGATTATCAGTGATATGATGTTTATCATCATTATCAGATCATTAGTGACCGAAAGCATATCATCATTATCTAATATCAATGATTATCATTGGTATCAGATCATTTGGTATCATTATCAGTGATATGTGATTATGACCTATCATTACCACTGTTACCCTCTGGTAAACTAACATAGCTATGGAAAATCACCATTTTAAAGGGGAAAATCCACTATAAATGGCCATTTTCAATAGCTATGTTTGTCATTACCAGAGAGTATTCTATCAAACAGATGTTTTTTTCACCGACCAATCGGGGAGACAACTTGGTCCCCAAGACCGTCTTCGTTGAATCCACGGTGATTCAGCCATTGAGAAGTGCATCTTGAATCTTACAATGTGGCCACACCCCAGTTATAAGTTACCTGGGTAACTATAATAGTTATTATAAGTTTCATAGTTATAAGTTATAAGCATCATCAACCATAGTTATTACTGTTGAAGCAACTTAGCTATCGTTTTTTGGGCGCCCGTTTTGTATTGGTTCTTGGGCGCCCGTTGTTGGTTACTGCACATCCGAGGCCAAACTGCTGTCGCGAGATGAGATCCGGCTGATCAAAGAGACCATGCAGCAGGCCCCTGGGGATGGCGATCATGAGGGTACCCTCTGGTAATGACAAACCATTAACCAATAACTGTTACTGGTAACCATCAACCAATGGGATATTAAGGGATTTTTCCATGGCTAATGATGGTTAATAGTGGTTAATACCCTCTGGTAATGACAAACATAGCTATTGACAATGGACATTTATAGTGGATTTACCAATTGATAGCAGAGTGATTTTCCATAGTTTTTTGTATGTTTACCAGAGGGTACAAAGTTCCGATTGATCAATTGGACATCCACCATATAAAAGAATGGAAATCCATTGTGGTACACGCCGAAACGCTGCCAGGGATGGTTGCCCGGTGCATAGCAAACGTTTTCAGGAAGCCCCTGATTTTGATGGGAAAACTCGTGGGTTTCCAGCCGATTTCGCCAGATTCAGCTGCCAACACCTTCTTGGGCTCAGCGATTGCCCGGGCCCAAGGGCAAACCACTGCCTGAAAAGCAACATGGAACCGTCAGAAATGAGGTTGGAAAGTGATTTTCACTGGTTCCAGTCCTGTCTGAAACTTTGGGTTCTTTGGTGTATCCCGAATTTCAGGGAATCAGAGACCTAAATTCGGATCTTCAAACTGTTGCCATGGAAACTTGCTGATTGCAATCAAATTCAAGGGATCTCAGGGCAACTCACCCTTTGGTCCCATCACCGCTGAAAAACATTAAAACCTCATTTCAAGTAGTGGGCTATATCCCCATCTATGGCAGTTGTTTTTGGGGAAAATGAATGAAACTGATCATTAATCAGTGGATAGATTTGGGCCTAATTATTTCCAGACAAGCCCGTGAATGGTAATTTGGCTCATGATGATGAAATCAATGGCTATAAAACACATGTTTGTAATTATGACAATAGAAAAAACATGATGATAATAGAAAAAACATGATGATAATTGAAATCAATGGCTATAAAACACATGTAACATAATTATGATAATAGAAAAAACATTGATGATTGATATGATCCCTTAACCTTGGATTTTACTTGGTCGGTTCACCCATGGGATGTCGCAGGGACCCAGGAATGGAGTAGCCGCGTAGCCGAAAATCGACGCCTCAGGTCTGATCGCGACTTCCAACGAATGGTCCAGGAGCGTTTGAATCAAAGATCGCTGGAACTTACCCGTTGAGAATCTACAAATATAGGCTGCTTGGTGGTTTGAAACAGTTGGATTATTTTTCCATTTCATATATGGGATAATCATCATCCCAACTGACGAACTCCATCATTTTTTAAGATGGTTAAAACCACCAACCACTAGGGGAACATCGTACAGTAAATGGATCTAATTCAAAGCTGTTTCCAGCTGGGGTAGAGTGGATGTCCCAGGAAACACGAGAGGATGACAACCATTTTTTTTGGTTTTCCCGGCTACAGGTATACATGTGTATATAATCACACATTTACATTTAATTGCAATTAAATCTCTCTCTCTCTCTATTATATGTATGATTATATATATATATATTTGTATGTATGCATACAAACACGTAGAATATTCCACTGTTATGAGAGGTTTCTGGGCCGTCAGGGGGATGCACATCCGAGATTCCACCAGGATTCTCTGCGAAGTGCTCCAACAAGCTGAGCGTCAGGGTCCACATCGTGTGGGGCGCAATAGGTTGTGAATTAATGGTTTGAAGTACCCTCTGGTAATTTAACATAGCGAACTGGAAAATCACAATTTTTAATGGGAAAATCCACTATAAATGGCCATTTTCAATAGCTATGTTAGTTTACCAGAGGGTAAATTAGACAAGACACTTGATGGATATGATTCTGCGATAGCTCTGGATGTCGGCGGTCAAACAATGTGCAGGCTGACACGAGCTGGCAACATCCGCAGCCATGAAAAGCCATGGCCGTCTGCTACAAGTCCTGGTTGACAAGTAAGGGTGTCACTCAAATCAGTGATTTCAACCACGGGTTAGAAAGAATCAGGGGTTCATATTGATTGACAGTAGCGTTGAAACCAGTATTCGGGTTGCTATGGCTTTCCACAGATGCCAAGGGTAGCTCCCTGCAGTCAGTTCGTGCAAGTGGACTGATGTCACAAGAAAGAAATATCTGGCTTATCTTTGCGTGTTGAGTTTGGTCCTGTTGTAGAGTGAGATACTATGTTTTTTTTTGAATTTCCACCCAACTTCATATTGCTTCATGTTTCTTGCCCAGCTTATTTGGCTGGAAGGCGGAGACATGCCCAGCTTGAGAGGGCGGCAACATGCCAAACATCTCCAAACTGTCTCCGTTTTTACCAACTCAACAGATGCTTCCCACTCCAGCGACCTGGAACCGGAGGTATGATCCCCGAGATCAAGAAGCTGATATCAAGATTTTGTTCACGCAGCCTCCCAGAATTCAAGCAGAACTTCTCAGGACCCCACGAATGATGGGCATTTTACCCTAAGTTTTATGATAGAAAAGTCATTTTTACCAGTAATTTATCACCGTTGTAGCAGGATTTTACCAATTTCTATCCTTTTGGGGCTGACTGCGGTCTTATCCCCCGTTTTTCCTTGGTGTTCCCACCCCAACTCCTCAGCAGCCCCTGCCTCACTGCATTGTCGCACGACACACTGGGACGGCTCCCGAGATGTCGTCATGCGCGGCTGGGGCTTTAACTCCCCTGGAAGAGGCCGAAAAGTCAGGGCAGTTTGAAACTGTGAGGGAGTCAAGACCTATTGAAAATTGGATCTGAACCAGCCAAAATCGGGGGGAGAGGACCAAGATATACCAAGATAAAATATGATTTCAGTGGTCTGTGCCTGGTGCAGATACCGAGGATCTTAAATGTTACATTGGGAAACCAGGTACAGTATGGTGAAACAACCGAATTCAAGGTAAACAAATACCATGACTCGTCAAACAGATATTAGATATTATTATATATATATGGGACGATCCTCCACGTACAATGTGCCTTATTTTTTTGGGATCCTTAAAAAACTCACTGCGAGTTAGTGGTTGATTCTAGAAGGTGAGGGCCCTTCAGAAGTAGCGGGTGGATAGCAGGCCTGGGCTCTCCAATTGAGTCATCTTTCGAAGACTTGTTGAGATATTTCCCGCAACTGAGGCAATGACAGGATCATTTTGGGGAAATATCAGGATGTACCTATGATTTACCGGGGGGGACATACAAAGAGATGTGGAAAGCCATGGTTTCCCTTGGACACTGATCTAGCAAAGGAGGGTTTTCCAGGACATGGTTGGTGGACATGTATGAACTGGGGACCACTTAAATGTCATGTCCATTCAACTGGGTACCCAGTTGTGACCCATACTCCAAATAGCCAGAAAGTCATGCTTTTTTTATGATCCAGAAAGTCATGAAATGATTCGGAACTCCCTTATTATCCATCCCATAGGATCCATGTATGCCATATATGGTAACATTTACCATCATTATACCCCCAATGTTAGCATATATATATATCATACATGGATCCTATGGGCATAACCAGAGCAGTCATGTTTGGAGATACTTTGCGCCACGAGTTATGTGACATTTTTAAGTCCAATCACTTCCATCAGCCAGAGGAACACCAGGAGCCCCTGGGGCCCCTCGCCCAAAGACTCGAGCCAAAGCCCTCGAAGCGAGTGGGGCAGCCCTGGATGATTTTTTTTTTGATCCTGGATTTTCGAGAAAATCCATAGTTGGTGAGTTATATGTCCTTTATATCCCATCAAAACCTCCATTTATGTCATTTATATTCATTTAGAATTAGTAGATTTTCCCAGTCAAACCTGTCCATGGACACACTCACGAGATCTTCAGTCAAAACGCTGCGACTACGAACATTTTTATCGCCCTTCCAACGAACGTTGTGAGTTCGACATGTGCCGTTAAAAACGGATCTTCTCGGTACGGAATTTTTGGCCGCCTCCCTGTAGATGCTGTCTGATTTAGGAATCACAGCCATCACCTTTCTTGGATAATGTCAACCCTGGATTAATAAACCGCTGGGCTGTTTGACTGGGAGGGTACCATAAAAAAGTATTATATAGATGAAATGACTATTGGAGGAGTAGCCTCCTAATTAATAAACCATGGTTGAGCAAAATCCGGGGTTGACATTACCATGAGTCATCCCATTCTTCCCCCCAAAATATTCCTTCGGTGGATGGAAGAAATCCTGCACCAGTTGATAGGTGATTTATCCCATTATTCATAGGGTTTCAACCATCCAAGGTGATGCAGGATTTCTTCCATCCACAGTTAGTCTGCATTTATATATATATATATATATTTATATCTAGCATATCTCAAATTTATTCCCATGGTGAAATCTTTGTGAAATCCCCAAGCCCAAGCGGTTGCTCAGCAAGGCCTAGCACCGCTTTCTGAGAAGGAACCAGATGCGGAGCTAGAGGAGCCAAAAGCGAGGCAGGGATGGTTGGACTATGATTTTCCCATATGGAAATGCTAACCAATACATATATATACATCATATATATATACAAGTATATGTATATATATATATGTATATATATATATATACATGTATAAAAACATGTATGTATACACATATATACTATATATATGCAAGTAAATATATGTATGTACATATGCACAATGTTTTATTTAGTTCTTAATACTTGGTGATTCATCCTAGCAATCGCAAGTAGATTTTCGTTCACCCCAGTGATACATGGACGATCGGTGGTTCATCCTGTAGATGGCTAGTTCCCTGTTTGCGGTAGCCGAAACCAATGTGTGTTCCTGAGGAGGGGAAAATGATGATGCCGCTATTGATGCTCCCAAACAGAGACTGAAACTGAAGCCATCTGCATACACCTATATAATTCCAAGATTCCAAGCTGTTTTTTTTCCTCACAGCATTTCCCACAGAAGTGATTCAACTGTACTATTCCTTGGCCCTTCAAGTTCCCGGGTTCTTGGTTGATATCCCCAACTATTGTTGATTAAGCTGTCAAACACCGAAACACCCATTTTCATTTCTTGCGTGATCTCTTCATGATGAATTTCCACTCAAAAGTATTAATGAACTAAGATATTGAGATATGGATCATTAATGAATAATTTCCACTACCATCAATAATTAATAGCTGTATAGCTGCATCCATCTCTTCATTATTGAAAAAAGATATGCTTTGGATGCAATGGAGTACCCCGAAATTTGATTGTTGATCATCGATGTCCCAATCAACGAACGTTAAATTTGGGGATATACCCCATTTTCAGACACACCCATATATATATATATATATGTATATATATAATAATAATAATAATAACAATAATAATAATAACAATAATATCAATATCAATAATAATCATACTATATCATAAGATATCATCGCAATGATCATGAAACAATGATGATAATTAATTTTCGAATCATCATCATATTGAATAGAGGTGTACTTTTTTAATATATATATAGTTTCTATGGCAGGTACACCTCCCAAGACCTACCTCTTTTGGCCATTTTGGCCCAGCTTGACGAGGCGAAGGAGGCGCAGGAAGTCCAAGAAAACCAAAGTGGAGGCGCGGAGCCTTTGGGAGCTTCGATGCAGAGGTATAGAATGGTATAGAGATAGATATGCAAGTGCTCTATATGTATTATACAGAAATTATACATGTGAAAAAATGCAAGATGGACATATCTGACATAACTTTGTGATATTCACAGATATGTTCATATAATGTATATATATATATATACATATATATATATACACATGTATATGCATATTCATACAGGAGGTACATTTGAGTAGGTTTGAGGTATAAACCAATCCCCCAAGTTCAAGTCTTAGGTTGAGTTTCGTCTTGGGGATGGTCCATGGTTGTGGCTAGCAATGATTGATCCTCCAAAATGTTTTTTTTTTTTTTAACCTGGCACACAGTTTAGATATTCTTGAGTTGTCCCTGTGTTGGTTCAATGACCTCCATGTTCGCTAGAGGAAGGGCCCAGTTGGTTTGCAACTAGGCAAACTGTTGGATCTATGCCTCCGGTCCTCAAAGGCGGCAATGGAACATCTACCATTCCACCATTTACCCTACATAACTATGGAAAATCACCATGATTAATGGGAAAATCCACTATAAATGCCATTTTCAATAGCTATGTTAAATTACCGGAGGGTAGTTCCAGCTGTTTCCGATGAAAACCTCCATTTCTATAGGGGATTTGCCAGCCAAGTTCGATGGGTCCCCTGTACAGATCCCGGCCCAAGGCTGCCTCCAAGTCGGCATCTGAGGTGCCATCGATTCCTATACACAGTGTATCATTCAGAAATCTGAGAAAATTTAAAATTTTCATGGATTGGTAGTACCTTTACCATTTTCTAACCATGGACTGCTGAATTTTTCTTCAAAACGAGCAGCAGAAGGCGTTTCCATTCGCAGAACTGGGAATCTCGCAGCTCGGTTTCTCCCAAAAACCCTGGGCTGGGAACCTCGGTTCAGGAGCAAAACCAGGAGCCGAAAGACGCCGAGAAGCCGAACGACGGCGCAAGGCCCGCCGAGTCCGGTGACGGTTCGGCCACCGAGATCGCCCCCGAGAGCGACGAGGGCGACGCGGTCGCGGAGGTCGCGGAGGTCGCGGAGGTCGCGGAGGTCGCGGCAGCGGACGCGGTGGTCGAAGCGGCCGAAGGTGGCGAGGCGGTGAACGGGGAGACCCAGGAGGACTGCTGGGGGCATGGTATCCTGGGTGGTTTTTTATGCCAGGATCAGCTAGGGTTGTCAACCTCTCAGGGCTTATTGCAGACCATGTGCTGGGAGTCCCCATGAAAACCCAGCCGTTTGGAATTTCCAAAAGGCCCTTGAGGTCTTGCGGTGGAATTTCTCAGCTGTAGGAGCCGAAGGCAAAGAAAAGAAAGGGCGAGAAGAAGGATCCACACCGGCTGCTACACTGAACTCACCAATACTGCCAATACTGTATATTTTCATTATCCATCAGAATTATCATGAATCTCAATATATCTCAATGACTCAAAAATCAGAGGGGTTTAGTTTGGAACCACGCGCCCTAGTGTGGTCAATTCTCTCGTGGTCCCCATGGAGGGTCCCGTTATGTTGTGCCAGGAGAGGAAATCCAAAAAGAGACGGAAGCTGCCGCTGGAGGCGGCAACGGTTTTGCCTTGCAAAATGCCTCGGTTTCGCCTGGTTCTGGGAGTAAAATGTCCTGCAACATCTCCTCCTAGGCTTGGGTAGTACGCACCCCTCAGGAGGAAGGTGAAGATGCGAAGGTGGAGACGAAGGCAAATTCGCATGGGGAGGAATTCAAGGCTTCAAGACTCAGCAATGGGTGACTTCACCAGCCATCTTTTTCTGGTTTTTAGCCACCAAAACCTGTCATCTCATCATCAAAAGACCAGGGTTTTGGCATGTTTCTGGTAAAATGAATCATGAAAATCACGGGGCGTGTCTGAAAATCGGGGCTCCCAATTCCCCGCTGGCCATGGCCATAACTTATGGGACTACGTAGCTCCCCAAACCTTGGATGGTGGATACGAAACGTTCGAAGATTCTTCCGACCCTAACAGGTCTATACCTTTCACCCAAGCTCTATAGGGTGGGGTAGGGGAAATTGAGTTCCATCTCTTTGCAGGAAAGTGAAGAGAGGCCTGGTGGCATGAAAGATGGGCCAAAATTCAACCAGAAATTGGTGATAAAATCAAAGAACATGGGGAGAAATGCGTCTGAAAATGGGCTATATCTCCAAATGACCATTTTAATGGGGAAAATGATCATAAATCCATTGGATTTATTGCCAATCTATTTTCAGACAAACCTTTATGATACAACTGGTGTAACACCGATGACCAGTAGAAATTTGAAAACAACAACCATTGACTGGCGCTATTTTGATGTATGAACCACCATTCTTTTTTGGATATTGGGTTCAGCTGGCTTTGGTAGGTCACAGTGTTTCGCCTTCGCCATCTACTAAAGGTGACCCTGAAACAATGCGGGTGTCGCGGTTGATGCATAGCAACTCCCCAACGAAAAGTCCATGATGATCGGTGAATCCCTAATTTAAACTGATTTTCATGATCAATTTACCCTCTGGTAAACTAACATAGCTATTGAACATGGTCATTTATAGTGGATTTTCCCATTAGAAATTGTGATTTTCCATAGTTATGTTAGTTTACCAGAGTGTATGTCATAGTGATGATATTAAGTCATATATTTTGCCTTGCAAGCCAAGATTTAACCATTCTTGCTGGGTCCCTTTTTTTTCGCTCGAAAAACGTGGCTCAGGGAAGCTGAGAAGCCGAAGGAGAAGAAAAAAAGGAAGAAGAAGAAGGAGCGCAAAGAAGGTTGGAGCTGACTGTTTGGTTTCACCATCAAACATGGCGATTCTATGGGATTTTCTCAGGAAATTGGGATTTATAACCAACCGTTATGGGGATATAATGATTGCTCATTATTGAATCCTTCATGACTGTTGATTTGGATCCAGAAGCTTGCGAAGAAACTGTTCAAGTGATGGCCGCAGCGGCCTTTGATTTCGGTTGGTTTTGGGAGTTCTAGGGCTGTACTGGTATTTTAACAGTTTGCCATGGAACATCACCGTTTTTCAGTGAATCATCCCTCGATGGCAATTTTCCATCACTGAGCACATCCCCATTTCCCTCGCGCTCTCAGGGAAGGTCAAAGCTGTGGCGGAGGAGGCTGGGTGGCTGGATCTAAAATGGCGATTTTCAATGGTTGCTTAGCATTTGTATGATCCGAGAATTAGTGTAAAGAATTCATCTACCCTCTGGTAAACTAACATAGCAATGGAAAATCACCATTTTTCATGGGAAAATCCACTATAAATGGCCATTTTCCATTGCTATGTTAGTTCACCAGAGGGTAACTAGTTTTTGGCACTAGTTCTTTAGACTCATTCTGAAACTGTGGGATAGGTGGACGAGCCGATGCAGGTGGGAGACCAGGGATAGCGGCAGGAAGCACCAGTTGTAGACATGGGAGATTTATACACGTGGCTGAAATGGGGATTTTACGCATGTTTGACGAAGCACAATTGTTTTGTTTTTTTTTCAAAAAAATAGTCAGCAACCAATAGATCTTCAACAATCAACAACAAGGCTTCAATAGGGATTTGAGCAATGAATTCGAATGCGGATGAGTCTGAATATTGCTGCATTCCCCCAATTTACCCTCTGGTAATTTAACATAGCTATTGAACATGACCATTTATATATAGTGGATTTTCCCATTGAAAATGGTGATTTTCCATAGTTTTTTGTATGTTTACCAGAGGGTATGTTGTTTTTCTTCAAATGGAGCAGCTCGAATGACCTATATAATTCGGGTCATTTGTCAGATCAGACTTGAGAGTTGAGAGAGGATTGTAGAGTTCGAGGCTCCTAAATAATAGGCAAGTTGGTTTGTAACTAGTGGAGATTGATCTACTATTGGATGGACTTAAAGAAATCTACAATACACATACATTTAAGATTTATTTCCAACTTATAAACTAGAATCTGGAAATCTACATAGAATCTGGAATTCCAATTGATATATATATATATATATGTATATATATATATTATATATAACACCTACAGATGTAACTAGTTGAGTTCATCAAAGCACTTTATACCTGCGTGGCCTCTTCTTGTAGCTCACTCCCACCGTCCAACAACACGACCTGCTGGAAGCTTTTTTCTTTTGATCAGGGGGCCCCGCGACCCAAAGCTGCGGCCGCTTGGCGCGTTTGACCTTTTTGGGCCTGAAAGAGGGTTTTTTTTTGGCTGAAGGAATAGGGTCGCCCCAATTTATGGGCCATTAAAGATCCAGAAAAATGATTCAAATGGGGTAAATTTGATGTTGAAATCTGCCTGGAATTGAGGGTGCCGAAGCCTCAAAGGAAAACTGGTTTGACTTGTTTGAATGGAAGACATATTTCATGGGAAAGACTGGAGGTTTGGTGTCGTTCACAACATCCTTGGTGGTGAATCTGAACTCTCTGAGGATGTTGAACATTCTGATTTTCAGCGATCCCACCTCCAGGATAATTCAGGTGGCAAACCTTGGGTAAACCCAACAATGAAATACGTATAATGGTACCATTTGGTACCAATGTTTACCCCATGTTTACCGTTTACCCATATTTGGCCAGGACATCATGTGCTATTTATGGTAAACAATGAAAATTTGGCCCAACTTTGGAAATTAAAAATTGGCCAAGCAGCTCCTCAGTTTGCCTAGGCTCGACGCCGCACTGGGGATGATCGGATGGAGGCGAATTCGCGGTGTCGTTGTTCGACGGATGTCGTGATCTAAAAGGATGACTTGATGACTTCCAAATTCACCAAGAAGAACACGCAAATTCATCATCAACAAAAATAATGAATGATGTTTGTTCAGCAACATAAAGTTTGTTGAATGATGTTTATCATCAACAAAAATAGTGACAATTCAGCAACGTTTCCATCGGGGGAAACATGGATGATCCATGATGATCCCTTATGGCCCATAGCTAGGCCAAAGGGACAGCAGATGACAAGACCTCGCCGGGGTCGCTTGGCTTGGAGCGTCCGGGTGTTGGCTGAGCCGAAAAAATGGAGGGCCCCTTAAGGGGTCCCCTTGGGATGGCATTTTTTGTTTTTTCTTCGAAGAAATGGACGTTTTTGGGATTTTTTTCTGATTTTTCTGGATTTTTTTGAGATGAATTCTGGACGTGTTAATGGAATGACGATGAGTTTGGAACTGGTTGATGTCATGGAATCATCCCCAGTAGCCACCATGAATAACAGCATTTTTTGGTGAATTCTGGTTGAGCCATATTCTTGTTGGGGGATCATGCTACAGAATGATTTGATCCCGTTTCACTTGGGGATCCCCGAATTTTTTTTGCGCACAGAATCGGCATCCAAACGTGTGGTGATTGGTGATGTGGCCTATATTTCGTTGGTAAATTCCAAGAGTTTTGTCCAAAATTCGTCCAAATCCAATACCGCAGTTTTTCGTTGTGTGGATCAAACTCTTCCAAGTCAAGATATATTGGAAGAATATTGTATATCACATCTGGGCAATATATAATCCTCACAATCTATCTACTCCAGAATGAATGAATATGTATATATATATACATATTAACACACACATAAATAATCATCCTGAAGTAAATAGAACATGGGATTTTCAATGATATTTCCCTCCTATCTTGCGAGGTCAGCTGCTGAGGAAGCCGCAGAGGTCCCCTACCTGTGTTGATGATTGGGCAACCATTGGGGCTACCCTCTGGTAAACATACAAAAAGCGATGGACAACTGTAAGTGAATAGATTTCACCATAGGGGCCATAGGGGTTATATCTGCCAATTCATAGTGGTTTTCACCATTGATATACCTATGAATACCATCTAAACTAACAAAAAGCTATGGAAAATCACCATTTCCAAGTTCGGTAAATCAACCAGAAATGACAATTTTTAACAGCAAACTGTTAAATGACCAGAGGGTATTGGATATGAAAAACCATAGGTGCTGAGAATAGGTGGTCAATATTGGGCATGGCTATGTTTAGACCATTTTTGGCGATATTGGGGATTGTTTATGACATTAGTTTTTTTATCATCCAAAAACCAAGAAGAACACGCAAATTCATCATCAACAAAAATAGAGACTAGTTTTTATCATCCAAAAATGACTTACCATCAACAGAACACGTTTTTATCAACAAAAATAGTGACAATTCAGCAACAAACATCGGGGGAAACATGGATGATGATCCCCCATAGCGAGGCCAAAGGGACAGCAGATGACAAGACCTCGCCGGGGTCGCTTGGCTTGGAGCGTCCGCCGGGTGTTGGCTGAGCCGAACAAATGGAGGGCCCCTTGGTGTTACACTTGGGGTCCCCTTGGGATGGCATTTTTCGTTTTTTTTGTTCGAACAAATGGAGGTTTTTGGATTTTTTTCTGATTTTTCTGGATTTTGAGATGAATTCTGGAAGTGTTTTCATGGAATGACGATGAGTTTGGAACTGGTTGATGCTGAATGGAATCATCCCCAGTAGCCACCATGAATCACAGCATTTTTTGGTGAATTCTGGTTGAGCCATATTCTTGTTGGGGGATCATGCTACAGAATGATTTGATGGAGTCCGTTTCACTTGGGGATCCCCGAATTTTTTTTGCGCACAGAATCGGCATCCAAACGTGTGGTGATTGGTGATGTGGCCTATATTTCGTTGGTAAATTCCAAGAGTTTTGTCCAAAATTCGTCCAAATCCAATACCGCAGTTTTTCGTTGTTCTGGATCAAACTCTTCCAAGTCAAGATATATTGGAAGAATATTGTATATCACATCTGGGCAATATATAATCCTCACAATCTATCTACTCCAGAATGAATGAATATGTATATATATATATGTATATATACATATTAACACACACACACATAAATAATCATCCTGAAGTAAATAGAACATGGGATTTTCAATGATATTTCCCTCCTATCTTGCGAGGTCAGCTGCTGAGGAAGCCGCAGAGGTCCCCTACCTGTGTTGATGATTGGGCAACCATTGGGGCTACCCTCTGGTAACCATACAAAAAGCGATGGACAACTGTAAGCGAATAGATTTCACCATAGGGGCCATAGGGGTTATATCTGCCAATTCATAGTGGAATTCACCATTGATATACCTATGAATACCATCTAAACTAACAAAAAGCTATGGAAAATCACCATTTCCAAGTTCGGTAAATCAACCAGAAATGGCCATTTTTAACAGCACACTGTTAAATGACCAGAGGGTATTGGATATGCAAAACCATAGGTGCTGAGAATAGGTGGTCAATATTGGGCATGGCTATGTTTAGACCATTTTTGGCGATATTGGGGATTGTTTATGACATTAGTTTTTTATCATCCAAAAATGACTTACCATCAACAGAACACGTTTTTATCAACAAAAATAGAGACAATTCAGCAACAAACATCGGGGAAACATGATGATGATCCTCCATGGCTAGGCCAAAGGGACAGCAGATGACAAGACCTCGCCGGGGTCGCTTGGCTTGGAGCGTCCGGGTGTTGGCTGAGCCGAACAAATGGAGGGCCCCTTGAATTGGGGTCCCCTTGGGATGGCAAGCCATTCGTTTTTTGTTCGAACAAATGGACGATTTTGGATTTTTTTCTGATTTTTCTGGATTTTGAGATGAATTCTGGAAGTGTTTTCATGGAATGACGATGAGTTTGGAACTGGTTGATGCTGAATGGAATCATCCCCAGTAGCCACCATGAATAACAGCATTTTTTGGTGAATTCTGGTTGAGCCATATTCTTGTTGGGGGATCATGCTACAGAATGATTTGATCCCGTTTCACTTGGGGATCCCCGAATTTTTTTTGCGCACAGAATCGGCATCCAAACGTGTGGTGATTGGTGATCTGGCCTATATTTCGTTGGTAAATTCCAAGAGTTTTGTCCAAAATTCGTCCAAATCCAATACCGCAGTTTTTCGTTGTTCTGGATCAAACTCTTCCAAGTCAAGATATATTGGAAGAATATTGTATATCACATCTGGGCAATGTATACAATCCTCACAATCTATCTACTCCAGAATGAATGAATATGTATATATATATATTCAATGCAGCAATTTCGAGATCGAAGGATGATGTGAAAGTCGTGGCTACTGCAGCCACTGCTTTGCTGGACAATTTCAGGACAGCTGACACTGGTCAATTGATCAAAGAGCTTGCCATCCAGTTTGAGTACTATGCTACTGCAACACCTTTGGCGCATCGAGCGATTGGAGGTGGGCCAGCGTTTTGTCATCCAAATGATGTAGAGCGCAGGGCTGCAAAAGCTGCTCCTCAACCTTGCACAATGGCTGGAGCTGGTGGGCCGAATGGCAATGGGCCTTTACAGGTACTGACACCTGATGAAAGAGTGCAACGAACAAGGTTGTACGTCAGTCAGAATCCTGAAGTGATGGATATGAGTGTGACACCGTATGGATGTGAAGTGCATCGACAGCTCATGATGCGATCTGGTGTGGAGTTAGGGCCAGTGCTCCTTGCAACCTTGAAGATGAATGCTGATGGTGCAAGCGGCTTTGGATTGAATGCTTCGCCGTATGAGTTGTTGTTGCATGATGATGTCTTTGTGAGTGGATTGGCTGGAAGTTCTTGCGTGCAAGCATTTCCGAGCGCTGCTGTTGGTACTTTTGGTCCAGGCGCTGACAGAATTGATCGAAGCACAGACTTATTGTTTGGTGGCGAGCTCGGATCTGCGATTGTGTACTGCAGAGAGCATGTTGATGCTGGGGAACTGCCGTTGCCTGCAAAAGACGTGCTTGAAAATCAAGGGATGGTGGAACCATATGTTGGAGTTGATGGACAAGCTTCAGTGCTGGGAAGTGGCATTCTTGGTTCTGTGGAGCCGCAGCTTGACATTTTGGTGAGGAAAGATGCTACACGTATCGGAATCCCTGATTTTCGAAGGCAAATACAAGCTTACTATAGCAGTTGCTTGTTTGCGCACCATTTGGTGCCATTGTTGTTCCCAGCAGTGGATCACAATTTGCAGCGTGGAACAATCCCATACCTTGACAAAGTGACCATTGAACAATTCAACGCACTCAACAATTCGAGGAAGATCTATGGTCACTTCATTCGCAATCCTCAAGAAGCCACTGCTACTCGCCTTTTGCAAGAGAGGCAGAACAGTCGTGTGCAGGTGTACTTTGTGCCTGGGTCAGCGAAGACTGGCATCAAGCGCAAGAAGTGCTCTATTGATGACATGGTCTTGGGCATCGAAGATGGATCGGAAGGATCTGGAGTTGGTGCTTCCAAGGCTTGACTATCGGGCCTACCTCGTTTCAGCTTCAATGTTCTCAATTATGCTCAGCGGAGATTGTTTAGCCGCATCTTTGATGAGTGGAATGGTGAGGTTGTTGGAGCGAAAAGCGAGGTGAATGGCCGTATGCAAATCATGGTTGGGAAGCAAATGATGAGATTGAAGGATGCTCCGAGTTGGTATCTGTTTGAACAAGTTTGTGTTGCGCCTGATGATTATTCGTTGGCTGCAGTGCAAAGGTACTTGTTTGGAGCGTATTGCAAGTACGAATTCATTGATGAGCAGCTGTTCAACTACATGGCTGGAACTGCTCTACAACAAGTTGCACAGAAGGTTGAGCTGTTTGTGCGTGCTAGTCGTGAGGATGGCATGCACGATCATCTCGACATGACCTTTACAGATTTTCAGGCATGTGTGGCAGGCAAGAGTGAGCAGAATGTGAGAAAGGTGCTACCGAGTGATTCAGAGCTTGGACAGTATGAATTCTTTCCAATCGAAGTGGTGGATAGCGCTTTGATGAGTTTGCATGAAGATGACGACAGGTATCAGTGCTGGTGGCAAGTGAAGCTGCGGGCTTGGCAATTTCCAAAGTGTTGGCCTGTAGCTCGGTTAACATGTGCTGGCTTGCGAGTGTTGTTGAATCCTGTGGCTGTGGATGACTTCAATTGGGAAGTTTCTTTGAAGCTACAACAAGTGGATTTGCAAACAGCAGGCAAGTGTCATGATATCATTCAAGGTGTTGAGCGGGTGTTGAGGCGGCCTCTAAGGCTTGGACCTGAGCAACCTTTGGATTTAGAATTGCTCGCTCATCACCTGTATCGACGAACTGGCATGGGCAGAGAGGATTGGGGCTTTGACATTGTTGATGAGATCGTGACACGCTGGAAGCCTATAGCAAAGAGGCGGACAGTCGATGATGATCTGGAAATCACTGAAGAAGCCTACACTGTGATGGAAGCTGAAACGATTCGTGAGTGTTGGGAACATGCTTTCGTTGGTTGCAATCCAGATGCTTTCGTGGATTATGATGGAATGCGTCCTTTTTTGCAGCAGACAGTTGCTCATGGTTATGGAAGATGTGAAAAGCCCAGATGCAAAGCCAACAATTGAGTTGGTGAAGAACATGAAGGAGAGTGGAGAATGGGAAGAGTTCGCACATCCAAATCGGCGTGCTCGATTAGAATATGCTGATTATCATGAGGAGAGACGTGCTGCACAGAAGGAAAGCTCACGCATTGGCAAACTGTTCAAGAAACTACTCAGAGGAGTGGGTGCCATGGTTGTCATCTTGGTATCTTATTTCTTGAAGAGAGAAAGCGGCAAGGACAGGCCGTTGTTCCAAGTGGGACCTGAGTATGATAGCCCCGCGACTGTGGCTTTCTTGCCGTACATGGTGTCGATGTACAATCATCCAAACATTTGTGTCGGTGCTTCTGGTGAGAAAGTTTTCGGTGACATTGCTGTGAGAATGCGGAATTTCAAACGCTACAAAGGCAATGTTTGTCAGGATCATGCTGCATACAATGAGAATAAGGTTTCGGCTTCAGCCCCCACGAACCGTTGCCGTCAACCTTAGCGGCGCGATTGGTGATCGTTGCCGCGGGCACAGCTTTGCACAGCGCTGTTGCCTTGAGCTCTGTTAGTCCAGAGCAGGCTAACACCTCCTTCGCTTTCAATACTGCTCTTTTTCGAACCTGATCTACCTGGACAAGCTTATCCGCGGCAGCTGACATCGTCGCTGCTTGGGATTCCTTTTCCACTGATTTTGGTTTCGATTTTCCCCAGACAAAGCGATCTGGGACGGGTTACCAATTCACTGCCTTAAATTGGGTTTTGCACTTTTTGCGGGACTTTGCCATTCCGGTCGGGCTTGCACTGCGTTTGCACTGCTCCCCTTCTCGGACTTGTTCCTGATTATTGTGTATGAGTAGGTGTTTCAGGATCTTCACGTTCCTCATTTGGTTCTTGGGCTTCGAGCTTGTTGACCTGGTTACATTAGACTTTGAGCTTCCTGAACTTTGTCATCATTTTACCTTCAGCGAGAAGAGCACTCAGAAGAAAGCGCGCTGCTGCACGCTTTCGTTGGCATCTTCATCGCCTTGGGATCAGGACATTGTCAGCTGTTCAATTGGCCTCCATACACAATACCTTGGCATCACACCACAGCAAGGACCCCCTGCTCCTTCGACGCATCAGTGTCGCGATGTCGGGCCGAAATCCAGACAATGCTGGGTGGATGTGTGGCAACTGCAAGAAACTCAGGGCCAAGAACGCCTGGTTTTGCGATCTCTGTGGCTCGGCTTGGGAGGACTGTATCATCTACCCGAAGTCGAAAGCGCCGCAGTCAAGATCGTCCTCAAGGAGGTCATATTGGACCGCACCAGATCTTCAACCCTGGGGAGGCCAACATGGAGAAGAAAGCCCGAGGCAGCAGCCCAAGAAAAACAGAAGCAGAGGCAAAGGCAAGGGCAAGGGACGCAGCGCTCCCCAGCAGACACCACTTGCACCCCCTCCTCCACCGCCGCTTTCTGGCCCGGAAGGGCAACAGCAGCCGCCATGGATGAGCATGCCTCTACCTCCTGGAGCATCGACATCTTCAACGACAACATTGTCGCCAGCCGAGCAGAAATTGAGGGAGGTTTCCAACCTACTCAAAAAGGCGAATCAAGAAACGCTCACACCGGAGCTACAGCAGTTTGTGGTAGAGGAAACCAAAGCTGCCAGCAAGAAGGATGCCAAGACCCTCTTCTCAGCTGTGGGAGCCTTGACAAAGGCAAGAGAGGAGCTCGACACGGCGATCCTGGCCAAGAGCAACCTGATGGCGCAATGGAGAGCTTTCCTCACCATGTCCCTGGAGCGGTTTCGTCAATATACAGACCACTTCCAAAACCAAGAACAGGCGCATCAGGAAAACATCAAGCTGGCAAAGGAAAGACTGCACAAGGCCAAGGAGGATTTCAGCTCCAAAGAGGAAGCAGCAACTGTGATCTCCGACGACGAGGTGGAGTCCAAAGCCACAACCACCAAAGAATCAGCTGCCCAGATTTTGAAAGGGCTGAGCCATATGACAGAGAGCCTCCAAAAGCTGTCAGACCAAGCAGCAGAAGAGCAAGCAGAGGAAGAACGCAAAGCGAAACGCCCTCGGCAGAAGGAAGGCGACCCACCAGATGCCGCCATGCCTGCAGAAAGCTTGCCATCTATGCAGCCTTTTGGTGTGCCCGGTCACTGATGACTTTAGAGTACTTTGACCGATGGGCTGCTTGGCCTCCCACTGCAATTGCTGCTGAAGTGGCCGGGATGCAATGGTCCCACTCGATCCTGCAAGAGCCTTGCTACAAGTCGCCTTGGCAGGCCAGTGAAGACGCCCTGCACCTGGCATTCACTCTGCAGCCGGATAGTCTCGTTCGGTACTGTGAGAAACGAGAATGGGGCTTCTCGGTACCTCACAAAAGATGCAAGAAGGGACTCAAGGTCTCTTTCAATCCTCTTGCACATGTCCATTTCGGACCAGAATTCAATTCCTCATGGACTACCCGCAGAGTTCCTACTGCTGGAGTCTCAAAACGAGATTGGTTGCCGAAGAGCAGTACATTCTCGCAATCCCTTTGCAATGGCAGTGATGAAAATTTTTCTTCACAACCGATTTTGGCACTGTCAAGTCCGCAGCCCATTGAATGCAGACCCGACTTGACTGAAAACCCAAACCTTCCTGACCCGCCCAGTTCCTCAGAAGGGTCCGAAGGAAGAGGAAGGCCCAGAAGAGTTCCCATTAGACATCTTCCTGCCTGGGTCGCAACATTATGGAACATCTTGCAAGATGAAGGGGCCACCGAGCTTCTCGAAGAAGGGCCGGTGATCTACCTCAGCACTTTTTATTTGAGCCATCGAAATTGCATTCGCCAAGCAGTTAGCAGACCAATACGACTGACGAGAAGATATGAGGAGTGGATCGACGAGTTCAAGCAGGTTTGGGGCGACCTATTTGACCATGACTCTGACTTCAGCCTCTTCCTCGTTCAGCCGGAACCGCCAATCTCCATCACAAGAGGTATTGTTGGGATTGTGCTCATTGTTCAACATGAACAACCTGACAACGGCACTTTTCGATGAAATTCCAACACCACGCATGCTTGAGATCGCCCATGTCATCGACACATGGACGGATTACACAGCGGTACTACATCGTGCTGAAGCCTATGAAGCCTGCACTGAAGCCCAGCGTCAAGGCCTACGACCTTGTGTTCTACGTGCGGGCCGACATGTCTTTCCTCGAGAACGACCAGTGCGGGTGACAGATGGACTTGGAATTGTCATCGATGTGCCATTGCTCTTCAATGACGAAGAATGGAACACTTATGTACGGCCACGCATTGAACAATGGCCTGAGTTTGTCCAACAACCACAACCAGATGCAGAGAATGACGATGATCATGTGGCTCTCATGGCACGTCGTCCGCGTGCACGTGGCCTCACGTCCTCTGGCTCTTCCCGCTCTACATCAAGTACAGACACAAGCACAGCCAGCGTGCCCTCACACATTGACACTGCCGCATGGCGTCGCACAGTTGTCTTTCCCTTCGATGGAGCAGCTATTTCATGCCTTTTACCTGATGAACCAGGGCCAGAACAGCTTTATCAAATTGGCCTTGCACTTCCCGGTTCACAGGGCGATGTTGCCACTGCCCACATTGTCTCTGAGAAACCGGAAGATCTTGTTGCAATGGACTTGGACTGTATGCTGGTCACCAAGGCTCACCAGATGAGACCCAACCCATTTATGCGGCTGGTTCTCTTGGATTTAGAGATCTTTGAGGAAAACGACATCCTACCTGGAGCATTCCAACGTTCCGCGAAGTGGATGCCCCACACCGCAACCAGGCTATCACTGTTTCGCATCTTATGCCTCGAGAACATCTTCATGCTCCATGCAGACAAGACTAGTCTCTGGATTAACAATATCCTCATCGATTCAGCTGCAAATGACGCACTCACCATCGAAGATGGTGATTATATCAAGATCTTCATTGGCAACGACGAGTACTGCTTCCAATGCACTGAGGACCAAGACACCATGGCACTCCTGCAGACAGCCATCACACAGGCAATCTCAGTGATGCAGGACCAGGGACATCAGGCAGCCAGCTTTGCTGAATGCAAGACACATACTCCCACCTCAGTCTGCCAAATAGATGATCGACCTGAAACAATCTCCCTCAGCTTCACGGATGAATTCTTGAGAGCTGTCGAAGCAATGCGTACTGCGGCTGACGCCATGCCGGAGTTCCCAGAAGATGACCCAGGCGACATCACTGCCTATGATCCGTGGGTGCAACGATTGCATGAGGCTTGGACTCGCGCAGCTACCATCGGGCCAGGAGGCATGGAACGCCTGGGTAGAGTGGAAACCTGGTTCACCGACCATGCGAACTTTCAAAGGTGCCACCATACGAGAATCGCAGTTCTTGGACCAGATGCCCACCGCTGGGAAGAACAACTGCGTCACCTTTGGCGTCAATATCTTCTCCTTGGTGCGCCGCTTGAATTTCACATGGTCGAGCCCACACCAGAGGATGCATCAGGACAAATTATTGGCCAGCTGCTACTTGTCCAGCGACCTCATGTCTATCAACGCTCAGTTGTCATTTCAACCTATGACAACGAGTACGATCAGGGTCGTGCCCATTCCACAGCTGTGGTTATGGGCACTCGTGTCGACCTCCACTCTGTTTGCACCATGATGCAGGCCCACGAAGATTGTCCTCCAGAAAACCCCGAGAACAGGTGCACTCTCTGGTCAGGACTGCGGCCCATGGAGCCACGAGAACGAGTTTATGCTAGGCATGGCAGCCTCTTCAAATTGGTTATCCAGCGGGCCTTACACGCCAATGTGGCTGCTGCATCTGGCACCAACTTGCGAGAACGAATGAGAGCAATTGATGCTAGAGTGATCTCTGGCCACATGATCTCTGGCCACACACCACTATGGTTGCAAGCACTACACCGAGTCTTTCAAGATCTTGCCGAAACAGAGCGCACTGATGAAGGTCCAGTAGCATATGTTGCCACCTGGTATCTCCATGCATCTTATGCTCCACGTTGTGAACCAGGACGCACCGTGCGCTTGCGTGATGATCCCTTGAATTGGCAACGCGCTCTCAGTGAAGCTTGGGGCGATCGGTATGACTCCAGCAGACCAGCTGATCTTTTCTGGATCTCACCAGCCCCACCGTCCTCTTTGACAGATCATGTTTTGGGCCACATCTTGATTGTCCAAGCGCTGCCAGCACACTCCGTTGCAACACTGTTGACTGCCAGAGTCCGTGACCAAGAAGGACAAACCCTGCGTAGGGTTGCAGCATGCATCCCACAGGCCTCCTCCGCTGAGGACATCGTAGCTGCATTTCCCATTCCAGGACCTTTGCTGAGATACCCTAGAAGAGTTGGACGTGGCCAAACCTTCTTCGATCCCAACACGCCGACGCAGGTTGCTTCTGGTGAGGGCCTTGTGATTGACATCATTAACACAACGCTCACACCTCCACTAGACACCAATACTGAAGGCATCAATCTCCTACAAACACATGTGCACCGCACTCGGCAGCCAATTTACAGCTCTTTGCGGGACAAACATGCAATTGACGAGCGAAGGTGCCTAACAGTTGGGCAGGTGGCTCATACCCAACGACCTTCCTCGCAGGATGCAAAGCAGATCATTTGTCTTGAGGAGACCATCCCTGTATCCCCGAAGATTCAGGTCGACTTCAAGTCAGTCCAACAGGTCCTAGAGGTCATCCATGCGGCAGTGAATGAGTTCCTGCAAGCCTGGCCCGACGAACTTGAGTTGCCACAGGTCACTCAGGACGCTCTCTCTGGACTCATTTCAGCTCCAGATGAGGTCCCCCTTGCCCTGCATTTTTACACTGATGGATCAAAAATTCCTGAAGGAGCTGTTGGTGCAGGCATTGTTCTACTCACTGAGTCACAGCAGGGTCTGTCTTATGGAGGTGCACTCTGCAAAGTGATCACACCAGAAGGCCATGCAGGTGCAGGTGAAAACGGTGCAGTCATCTGGGCTCTTCTTTGGGCGCTTCAACTTGGCAACCATTTGTGGACGCATTATGGAGCTGCGGACATTCATTTCTACTTCCATTTCGATGCATTGAATGCCGGCTACTTGGCGGGCGGCTACTTTCGCACAAAACAATTTCCGCACCATCGCGCCCTGATGCGCAGTCTTGCTCACATTCTTCAGGGTAGGCACGGCCTTTCCAGAATGCACTGGCGACATGTCAAGGCACATGCAGGCAACCCATGGAATGAGCTTGCCGACACGATCGCCAAGTTTGCCTCGCAGCACCCTGAGCAAGTACCACATAGCGAACTGTGGCACGCTTGGCTTCAAGATCCGGTGCAGCTGCTTGCTGTCCAGTGGGTCTGGTATCTGGAACAAATGCAAGCCGAGTGCCCGCATGCTCCTCAACTACGAAATGGCTTTCTTGAGTGCAATCTCACACAAGTACCCCAAGCCCCGCCAGAAGACCCTGTGCACCAGACTCCAGATGCTCACCTTGACTCTGCGCTTGAGCTGACTCAGATTGACATCACAATCGCTACAGCAAATGTCTTGACGCTTCGCACTGAAGACTGTCCACAGCAAGGCACTAGCATTTCGCGACAATTTGTCATCATGCAGCAATTTAATGACGCAGGTTGTATTTTCGTTGGCATCCAAGAGACGAGGCACAAGCATCTTGCCGGAATCAACAATCCCTGGTATCACGTCCTGGGTCACCCAGCGACGCCTCAAGGACAAGATGGAATACAACTTTGGATTTCATCCTGTATTCCTCTCAGTACCACCAATGCCCTCATCCGACGAGAGCACATCCGCATTGTCTATTCCTGCCCCACTACACTCATTGCCAAGGTCAACATTGGTACCTGGAAATGTGTAGTTGTTACCAGCAGGGCGCCTCATTCCGGTCGACCACGACATGAAGCATTGTCCCATTGGAGTGCCATCACCACAGCGTTACATCGCAAAGCGGCCGGATGGCCTATTTTCTTCTGTGGAGATGCCAATGCGCATGTTGGAGGGTGCCCCACTACGGCAGTTGGTGACCTTGCCCTTGCCCAGGAGAATCAGGCGGGTGAATTATTCCATCACTGGCTACTGGCCCACAACTTGAAGTTGCCAGCCACCTTTGCGGAGTCACACTATGGACTTGCCCATCACTCTTACCATTCACCTGATGGTAAGCATGGGACCAGGATCGACTATGTTGCAGTGCCACAGGAGACTCAGTATGACACGCTGAACTCTTGGATTGCAGAGGACATTGATCTCAGTGTGCTACGAACTGATCATCATGCGGTTCTATGTCACTGTTCTTTCGCTGTGCCTGCACCCTCACAAAGACGCATGAGGAAGAAACCTGTATGGGATTCTCACTTTCTCAGCCAGCAGCTCTTGCAGGAAGATGTTTTGTACACACTGCACTCTGCGGTACCCTCGATCCCATGGTATGTGGATCCTCATGTTGCGGCCTCCCAACTTGCCCATTACACCACAGTCGCCCTGCAACAAGTTGCACGCCCTCGGAAGACATGGAGGAGGAAGAGCCACATTTCCGACAACACCTGGGCACTCATTGAACACAAGAAGTTTCACTTCAAGCATCTCAGGCAATTGACACGTACCTGGCGACTTACTACATTGCAGGCCTGCTTCCTGTCCTGGAAAAAACCAACATCGACAGGCACAAGTGGTACTTCGACAGTTTGCCAAGATCTACAACGTGATCTACCCCACTGGAAGAAACTGCATGACTTTGCTGTTGCCCAGACGACCAGGCAGTATCGACAGGCCGCACAGCAAGCCAAGCAAGCGATACAAGAAGAAGATTTGGCCTACTACCAGAATTTGGCTTGTCAGGCGACACACACCTATTCGGTTGAAGGTCTCGCAGGCGTTTGGAAGCACTTCCGTGCCATCCTCCCCAAGAACAAAAGCAAAAGACACATGATTCAGCACGATCTCGGACCATCACTACTTCAACACTTTCAGACCCTGGAAGCAGGAGTCTCATTCGAATGCCAGCAGCTTCGACACCAATGTATCCAGCGCAACAACAAAGAGATCGGAGCACGTCCCCTCGTGCAGCAGATCGATTTACAAGAGCTTCCTACTCTGGTTGAAATTGAAGATCATTGCCTGAAGCAACGCCCACACAAGGCGACTGGACCAGATGGAGTTCCTTCCTCGCTTTGTCGGACAGGCTCCGTCGCCATTGCCCCGCATCTTCATTCGTTGGTATGCAAAAGCTTTTTGCTGGGCATTGAGCCTTTTCCACACAAAGGCGGGCATCTTTGCGCACTTTTCAAGCACAAAGGAAGCCGTGACGATGCAGCAGCTTATCGGGGCATTTTATTGTCCGATTCCTTCGCTAAGATCACACACGCGTGGACCCGTCAAAAGCTGCTTCTGACTCTGCAAGCAAGACGCACAATCGGCCAACTAGGAGGTTTACCTTCCCAACAAACGTTAACAGGTATCCAAATCCTCCGGCTCCATGGCAGTGTCAGCCATGCAGCACAGTTATCGACTTGTACGATCTTCCTGGACCTGAGATCTGCATTTCATCATCTACTCAGGGAGTTGGTATTTCTGACTTCAGACGGCTTGACTGAGCGAGACCTGGAGCAGATCTTCCATCAAGATGACTTTGACATTCCTGCCCTGGCCACAAAGATTGCAACGCTCACAGCCACGCACCGAGATGACATCCCGCCTGGACTTCAGCGTTTCCTGCATGATATACATCATCAGACATGGTTTCAGTTGCGAGACGCCTCTGATCTCCACTCTGGGACGTGCACTCACACACGTCGAGGTTCTCGGCCAAAGAGTCCACTTGCCGACATCGCGTTCAACCTCTTGATGGCAGAACTTCTCCAAGATCTACACGAGGCCCTATTGAGCAATGAACACTATGTAGAAGGTAGCAATGCGCTTGGTGTCACCGTGCCCCCTGTTGCGTGGATGGATGATGTGGCCATCCCATTGACCACCACTACACCTGAAGCTCTTGTGCCCCTTGCCCAACAAGTTACCGCGGTAGTCCACGGCCTTTTCCGGGCCCGGGGGCTTACGCTCAATTTGGACAAAGGGAAAACCGAAGCAGTACTTTGCTTCAGAGGACAGGGCTCAGATGCGCAGAGATTGAAGATTTTCGACACTGGGCGACAGCCAGTGATCGTCGTCGACACGGACAGCCACATTCTCACACTACGTGTTGTGCCGTCCTACAAACATTTAGGCGCCCAATACTCCATGAACATCGACGTTGGCCGTGAGATCCGTGCTAGGCTTGGAGCTGCACGCCAAGCCTTTGAGGAAATGAAAAAGCCGCTCTTTCTCAACAAACGACTTCCTGTTGCGGCAAGGATGCAGTTGTTTCAGAGCCTTATTCTTTCCAGGTTGCTTTACGGCTGTGCGGTCTGGACTGATGTTCCCAACGCTCTCCTCAAGAAGTTGGAGACAACGCTCATGGCCTACTATCGACAAATACATGATGTGGGATTTTGGAATCAAGACCACATCACAGATGACACATTTCGCCGCGCTCAGCGGCTACCGACTTTCAGACAATTCTGGGCACGTCACAAGCTGACCTACTTGCAGCATGTTGCGCAGTTTGGAGCAGTCTTTCACAAGAGCTTGCTTTTTCGTGAACTTTGCACTGGGCGAGGCTGGCTTTTCGAAATGCGAGATGACTTAGAATGGCTCAGCACTTTCCGCCAGCTCCCTTTTGAGCTGCCTCATGATCGACCCTCATGGGTCCTTGCATGGGATGCCCTTCGTAGCTGCCGCCCATGGAAAGGATGGATACGGAAAGCTTGTGCCAAACATCTTATCCAAGAGCACATTGCCTGGGAAGTCAGCCACCAACATACTGCCATCTTGGATGAGATGCGTTCCATTGGGCTGCAGCTGTTGAGTGACACCCCAGAGGAACCAGAACTGAAATCCTATGTTTGCCAGCAGTGCCATGCAACCTTTGCGACTCATCATCAACGAGCTCTTCATTAATTTCGAGTTCACGAAGTACTCGCAGAGGAGCGCTACTATGTACAGTCCACTGTCTGCAGTGGATGCCTGAAGGACTTCCACACCACCTTCAGAGTGACGCAGCATTTGCGTTACCGACCGAACAAATGTTGGGACAGAATTCATGGGGTCAAGCAACCAGACGAACCTGTCACCATTCATTTGCCAGCTCATCTGCAAGGTGTATGCCGACTACCTGCTGTGCGTCGACATCAAGGACCCTTGAGGCCTACGTCACATCATCGTGAACGCCAACGAGTTCGACAAGCTCTCCTTCAGCTTCAAGAAGAAGGGGCACCGGACTATGCATGGTGGGAGCCGGATCTGGATGATCCCATGGTCACAACATGCTTCGCCAGGTTTGGCAACTGTCTTCAACAATGGAAGCAGCATCCCACTGAGGCAGCATTTCACAATGACTTTTTCAATTTGCTCTTTAGCATGAACATCCCGGAGTTTCAAGCGGCGAGGATCTTCATCGCCTGGATCGAGACTGAGTTCCAAGATTTGCACTCAGCCTGCGACCCCGAGCTCTATGACATTTTGGAATGCAGCCACATGTCCATGCTTGAAGACATCCATATTTGGCAACTGCGTGCGAGAAGGAAATTATTGCAGAGCTGTTGGGAAAAACTCGAACAAGGGGAACCAAAGCCCTCTCGAGCAGTGCAGCCGCAACCCACTCCTCATCAACGCAATCATCAGGTCTCCTCAACTTATAGGATGATGTCGTCTGATGAAGCTGGAAGAAGACAATGGACCATTCTGCAGCCACCGAAAGTCGTCAAGACACCAGGTGCTGGCCCATATTATGTGGTCCACCTGTACTCAGGCAGGCGTCGAGACGAAGACTTTCACTATTTCATGCAGAAGTTCTTGGAGAAGGGACCTCAGCAGATCTCGCAATCAGTGCTGGTCATCTCCATTGACACGGCTATTGACGCATCCATGAACGTCCATGACACACGCCTTTGGGATTTCTTGATGGAGGCGGCACGGAATGGGCAGATTCTGGCTCTCCTACTAGGCCCACCGTGTGAAACATGGAGTGGTGCCAGGTTTGAAGAGCAGTTCGATGAGGAGGGAAAGCCATTGAAAGGTCCGCGACCATTGAGGGGAGCGCCTGATTGTCCTTGGGGCCTGGAGCAACTAAGTCTCAAGGAGCTCCAGCAGATCCTGATTGGGAATGGCCTACTCCTGAAAGGGCTTCACCTTGGAGCTTGCGTAGCGGGTCAAGGAGGAGCCGTTGCCCTTGAACATCCTGCACCGCCCTACCAAATCGAACGCCCATCGATTTGGCGTACCGCAATCATCAAACTCCTTTGCAGCGCAGGAATGCCATTTCGGCAATATACATTTCAGCAATGGCGACACGGCGCCCAAGGAGTCAAACCAACCACGTTGCTCTACGCCCATGCAGCGATCCCCAGCATCTTTGCGGCGAACGAGCAACGTCATTTGGAGCGGCCGACTGTTCCACTCATCGGCAGAGCTGCCGATGGCAGCTTCAAAACTGCTGTGGCAAAAGAATACCCAGCAGGAATGAATTTTTGCTTTGCTGAGTCGTTTTGGCAGCACATCAAGGCCCGACTCACCCAACACCCGATTCTGGTCCCTGTCCCAGAATTCCCGGTGTATGTAAAGGAATTGGCATTGATCTCGGCCTGCGTGGATCGCGACCGATTGATCATGCCTGATTATCAACCAATCTTGCAGATTGGCTGTTTTGCATGACCGCCGCAGGCTAGACCTAAAAGGCCGAGAAAAAAAAAAGTATATATATACATATTAACACACACACACATAAATAATCATCCTGAAGTAAATAGAACATGGGATTTTCAATGATATTTCCCTCCTATCTTGCGAGGTCAGCTGCTGAGGAAGCCGCAGAGGTCCCCTACCTGTGTTGATGATTGGGCAACCATTGGGGCTACCCTCTGGTAAACATACAAAAAGCGATGGACAACTGTAAGTGAATAGATTTCACCATAGGGGCCATAGGGGTTATATCTGCCAATTCATAGTGGTTTTCACCATTGATATACCTATGAATACCATCTAAACTAACAAAAAGCTATGGAAAATCACCATTTCCAAGTTCGGTAAATCAACCAGAAATGGTCATTTTTAACAGCACACTGTTAAATGACCAGAGGGTATTGGATATGAAAAACCATAGGTGCTGAGAATAGGTGGTCAATATTGGTCATGGCCATGTTTAGACCATTTTTGGTGATATTGGGGATTGTTTTTTTGACATTAGTTTTACCACTGCATTCTGATTCCTAAAACGTTGAATTTTCTGGGGTGAATTTTGAGGCACGTGAGTGGATGTTTTTCACAAAGATGGTCGGAACCATTCTTAAGCCTTTTTCCTTCTGGCTTCCCGAATTCCCGGCTTTCAAGGTGGTGCCCCAGATATAAGTTGGTTTACAAACCATAGTAACTATACGCGCAAACACCCCGTTTCGCCCACACCCTGCTTGACTTGGGACGGACGATCAATAAGGGTAGTAGGGAATATAAAGGTCCCACCCCGTTAAACTTTATATTCATTGAAGATCTTCAATAAGGGTTTAATTCTCCCACCCCCTGTTAAACTTTACATTCATTGAAGATCTTCAATAAGGGTTTGATTCTCCCACCCCTGTTAAACTTCTGCATTCATTGAGGATCTTCAATAAGGGTTTAATTCTCCCACCCCTGTTAAACTTCTACATTCATTGAAGATCTTCAAAAAGGGTTTAATCCCCCCACCCCCTGTTAAACTTCTGCATTCATTGAAGATCTTCAAAAAGGGTTTAATTCCCCCACCCCCGTTAAACTTCTACATTCATTGAAGATCTTCAAGAAGGGTTTAATTCCCCCACCCCCGTTAAACTTTTACATTCGTTGAAGATCTTCAATAAGGGTTTAATTCTCCAACCCCCGTTGAACTTCTACACTCATTCAAAATCTTCATTGATAATGATGATGATGATGATGATGGTGATTGTGATGGTGATTGTGATGGTTATGATGATGATGATGATGATGATGATGATGATGAAATGATGATGATGATGATGATGATGATGAGAATGATGGTGATGGTGATGACGATGATGATGATGATGATGACGACGGCGGTGACGACAGCGACGACGACGACGACGACGATGACTATGACGACGACGTTGACGACGACGATGATGATAATGATGATGATGATGGTGATGATGATGGTGATGATGATGAGCACGATGATGAGGATGAGGATGAGGATGAGGATGAGGATGATGATGATGATGATGATGATGATGTGGAACGAACCCGCACAGGTCCCTATGCTGCGCGTTCTGATGTAGAACATCAAGTTAGCCATAATGCTAGAATATCCCATTTTTACCATGTTTTCAGCTCATATGAAGAAGGTGGGCCAACAGGCGCGGGCAAATCGAGGTGTTTGGCCGTAACTATACATATATACATATAATATCATAATATATATATATGTATATATATATGTATATATATATATATGTATATATATATATATGTATATATATATGTATATATATATGTATAGATATGTATTTATATATATATATATGTATAGATATATATATATGTGTACATACATAAATAAATATATATATATACACATATATACATATATACATAATATATAATAAATTAAATAAAGAAATAACTATATACATAAATAAATATATATATACATCTACCATAAACCATAGTTAGAGTTATAAATTAACTTAGCTAGCTATGGGGAACCACCCTGGGTGTTGCCCATCGTCGCGTCGCCATCAGGAGTCTTCCGAGAAACCGCCGGACGATGGCACTGAAGGTGGGGTTATAACATGTTACGGCTATCCATGATATAGGGGATAATCTAACATTATGTGGGAAGGCCACAATTATTTGGTATTTTTTCAAAATCCAATATACACAACTATAATTAGTACATACAACTATGTAATTATGTGATTATATCTGGTGAAAATTTTCTCGGCTGGCGTTTTGCGGATTTTTCCACCCCAGTGGCCTGATGGAAGCAGAGCGAAGACACCAGGAGAAGCGCAGACAGAGGCTGCGAAGTCAGAGGAACGACCACTGAAACAGGGCTGGGACCTATCAGATGACTATCCTTTGGTAGTTGAACGCTTTGCGAAAAACAAAATGGTCCATTTAGTTTCCACAGTCAATTATATGTTTGTTTGGGATATCCAGGCTTTTTGGGATTGGTACCTGGCGATTCAAGAAGCGAAGAGCCAACTCAAGGCCTTCTGTACCGATCTTTCCAACTTGGACATTTCGCAGGGTATACCCACTACGGCCAACAAGAAGTGCTGTACTCCAGTTAAACCCCCCTTTTCAGTGGGACCCTACAGTGAGATCCACTGAAAAACCCACCAAGCCTGGTGACCCTGGTGAAGTCGTCAGTTACACCCAATTCCTCAATCGAGAAGATGCCGCGATCACTGAAACATTTTTTTCCATGGTGCCAGTCGGGGCTGTTCTTATCATTTCCCCATACATCCCTATAGCATTACAAGGTGGGCCCCCCGTTTACGAAATCGCAAGTTGACACTTGGTGAACGGTTGGGTTTTCACGGAGGATGCGATATAAGTCAACAGTTATCCAAGTTGTAAGTCAACTTAGCATATACTCAATGATATGATATGATATGATATGATATGATACATACTCCATGGGGTTTATAAACCAACTTACAACTGTGGGGTCCCACCATTATCATCGCCTACAGGAGCCTGGTGAAAACCGCCATGATGAGCTCAAGCGCCTCATTCGTACGGGAAGCCCAGAAAGTGGGGGGGAACTGAAGCATCCCCAAGTGGTTTACGGCGTCGGGTTTGCAACAATAAATTATCAAATCTTTTCTGGATTTTACAGAGGGTTTTTCAAGAAAGTGGTTTGTAATGGTTTGTATTAGCATCTTTTTTTCTGGGCGCGTTGTAGCGGTTTCGAATGCGTTGTACCTGTCCGAAGTTGATTATTGCTTCCGCTATACTGATTTTTGATGGATTGCATCTAGCTTGAGGCTATGCTTTATAGTTGTGCTTCCTACTAGTAGAATTCTTGAGGCGCTCGGTAAATCCACAAGAATTTCCGGAAGTGCGCACGCAAGAGGAATTTGTCGAAAATGGGGTAGCCGTAAATTTTTCAATTCGCTTGTTTATCATTGTTTATCATCATTTTCACAGAATACTACACTTTTGGATCATCCCTGAAACAGATCATTTGTTGCTTGTATTCCATAGAATTTCAGGTTTCCATCCCCATAAAATGGTGGCTCTTCAAACAAATATGTAGGTTTCCCAAAATAGGGGCACCCCCAGTTCTCATCCATTTATAGATGGTTTTTCCATGAAAGAAACCAACCATAAATGGGGTACCCCCATTGATGGAACCCCCCAGCAATGTAGGTGTTTTTATGGAACCCCCACACGAGTTGGGGGTCACCTCTCTTCGTCCCAGGTGATGTCTATGAGCGGAAAAAACCAGAGAAACTGGTGGAGCTCGATGATCTACTGGTGAAATATGCTGATAACTTGGAGGAGGTGGGCGAGAAAAAACCATGGAAAACGAGGCTTTCAAATGCGAACAAAAAACACAAAAGGCTTCGATATCTCATCTGGATCTGGAAAGTTGGAATCGGTGGTGAATAAGACTCTTTGGTTTGGGGTCATGAACCCATGGTTGGTTTGTTTCGCTAAACGATAGAATGATTAGAACGCCGCCTGCGATGCAGGCCTACAAATACGTCTGCCAGAAGTATGGCGAGTCTGCAGGGTTTCCCCAGTTGGTCCGGCCACGGTCGCGGCTTGACGCCATCTCCCGGGACATGGGGGTCCGGCTTGAAAAGTGACAGCCGATTTTTCGAACGTAAGGGCTGTAGCAAGATTTGGAAGCCCACTCTCCCGGGCTGGAGAAAACTGTCATCAAAGTTACCATCTGGTTATTTAACATAGCCATGGAAAATGGCCCATTTATAGATGGTTTACCTATTAAAAATGGTGATTTTCCATGGCTATGTTAAATAACCAGATGGTACATTGTCATTCAAATCGGGTTGCGATCTCCTGATGGCTTTCTTTGCAGCCGGATACAATCATGTTGCTTAAAGAGAAATTTTACCATTTATACCACCATGGTTGGTTCATCAAACCCACATATCTACAAGGTGGTGCCCCCTAGTTATAAATTTGTTTATAAACCCCATCAGCTATAGATATATCAGCTGTAAACCATAGTTATTAGAGTTATGTTCACCAACTTAGCTATCACAAATCAACTATAAATCAGTTATATTAATATGTTAAATATCTATTAACATCTATCAACTATAGATATATTTATATCATTTTATATCACCTGTTAAATATCTATTATCTGGTTGGTGGTTTGGAACAGCCATTTTATTTTCCCATATATTGGGAATGTCATCATCCCAACTGACTTTCATATTTTTCAGAGGGGTAGGTATACCACCAACCAGATTTATATCTTCACTTTATCCCAATGGATCCACTTTGGGCACCCATTTTGGAAAGAACACCATTAACTATAGATATATCACCTATTAAATATATTAGATATCTATTCATATCTTTGTTGAGACAACCACCGTGCGTCGTTTTTTTGAGAACAGTGAGGAAAACAAATTCAAATGCTGCCCAACTCTTGGGGCTGACAGACAGCAACTCACGGTAAAATTTGCCATTCCCATTAAATCAATAGATATATATATATAATGCATTGTAATGATATATATATAGATATGATATGATATGTATTGACTCTATTCAGAATAGGTATTCCGAGAACAGAATTCCCATGCCTGTTTTTTTTGTCCATTTCCATGGAATACCACCATGTTAGCATGGTGTTACCATGGTCAAATTCCAAGCAATGGTCATTTTGGGACCATTGGACCACGCTGCGGCTCCAGATGGATCGATACAAGGTGGCTATTTGTTGGTTTCTAAGCCCAGTGAACATTGACGAGGTCAATCTGAAACATGGATACAAACTAATCCTAACTAGTCTGACTTGGTATTTTCATATATTTTCTAATGGGAATATCTACTAACTCACCGGTCACCAGAATTTTTGTCTCATTTTTTGCAGGGTATCTGGCAGATTGGCAATGTTGATACCTCGGCCATAAAGGCTACATGGGTATGGGTCACGACTTAAGACCGCCGGGGACCACAGATTTTCGTCACTTTTAGTATCAACCATCCAATCTAGCCGAACTAAGCCATTTTCCCCGGGAAAGCCGTTGAAAAAATTGAAAAAACATCCCACTTGTTCCATGGCATCATATCTTTCAAGAGGGCATTGCTCACAACCCGTGTGACCTGTGATTGCTGCCATGGCCACGGATGTCTGGTTTCCATGTCCCTCCTGCGACTTGATGGTGACTGGAAGGGTCCGAGAGGGACATCCTCATCCAGAGAAACATGAAGCGCCTTGGCTCGAGCTATCCACTTTCATAGGGAATGGGGTGGATTGCGAAATCCTGCAGGCAGGGTAGCTATGAAGGCAACTGTGAAACATGGCAAATTTAATGGGCTTAGAATGGGATAAATCGTGATAAATCATCTACCAACTGGTACAGGATTTCGCAACCATCCACAGCATGTTTTTTTTTGGCGGTCCGAAATATGGATTTGACCATCAACAAAAAGGATTTCACCAACGAATAGTCGGTATATGTGGGTGTGTCTGTGTGTCTGAAAACTGGGTATACCCCGAAATAGGCATTTCAATAGGGAACATAATGACAAACCATCAGCTACAAATTTAGTTTCCAGTTTCCAGTTTGCAGATGATAGCAATAGAAACAACTGCCGTATAAAAATCTTGAAAATGTTATGAGCAATGAACGATGTAAATCCACTGTCTTTGTCGTTGTTTCTGCTTCAACACCACCCGCGTGACGCCGGCGTCGTCGTTTTGCCAGGTTTACAGCTACACGCACTGCTGCTTGCTCTGCGAGAAAGGCCTTGGCCACGGCGATGAATGGAGCTGTGCGGGGGTGCCGTCTGCGCTGTTTCGACGTGTGACGGTGGATGGGAAAGCACAACACTATTTGCTCCATGACCCAGGTGGGGTCAGACGTTTTGAACATTTACCTCATGTGTTTTTGTTTTTTTTGCCAAAAAAAGGCTTTCGTTGAATCATGTTGAAGAAACATGGCCTTTTTTCCCTCTCCAAATGGTTATCAACCAAGACCACCTTGTTACGAAAAATAGGGGTTTGACCCAACATGGGATGGTGAGGAGAAGCTTCCGAGAGCCGACCAGTGCTTCTTTTCCTGCACGGTGCACACACCCACATCTATCCAGAGTTTCTCTGGTGGCCTCGCTTTGTCTAAGCTGACTTTTTTTTTCAGAATGGAACGTCCACCCAACATGGGGAATCTATATGTGGATATATACACCAATAAATACTTGTATAATCATATATACACATACGATTATATACGTACATATATATATATATAATTGTCTCTATCTCCCTCTCTCTCTCTCTACATATATATATATATCTATCTCTATCTCTGTATCTACCTACATCTACATCTACATCTATACCTGTATGTGTATATCCATATCTACATCTATATCTCTATCTTGTAACCCTCTATCTTGTAACATTTGTAACCCTATATCTATATATCTACATCTATTTCTAGGTATATCTATAGACTATTGGCATTTTTTCTGCATGGGACCTTTCTAGACAAATGTGACGTCCAAGGGGTGATCTTCGAGACTTGGTCAAAAAGAACCCCGTGGCGCGGGAGTTCATCATCTTGGCCCCGTTCGGTTCGTTTGGCGAAGCCATCGCCACGCTGTCTGAGACGAAGAGGAAGTCGGACCGCTTCTATAACAAGGCCGGGATCAAGGTGACCCCTTGGTGATTTCCACGTCATGGGGATCAAACATATGAAAACATCCAAGATTTTATGTGAAAATTTGTGGGACATGTTCATCCAGAACTGGTGATTTTAAGATTTGGAACTCATCTACAAATGTTTTTTTTCTATGACTGATGTTTTAACATGTTTTAAGCATCAAGAATGTGGGGATTGATAAATGATAGTTGGTTGATGAAAAAAGTTGGGGGCTATACTACCCTGTGAAAAATCCTTGTTCTATGGGGCAAAACATCACCATCCATGAACTGGGATTCCTGTTCTCAAAGCAACCGGTACAATGTCCCTATTGAAATTGGTACCTCCCAAGCGAATCAACCGGGGGCCCATCAAATGCTCAGGTGCCAAACATCAAGTGTTTCGATCCAGACAAGACCTGGAAATTCTTCATGCAAGCGCTCCAAGAGCTGGAGACCCGATTTGATGCTGCCCGCTTGCACGTCACTGGCTACAGCATGGGTGGCTGGATGCAGACGGCACGGCTGGGAGATGGATTCAGATCGATTTACCATGGTTTAGGTCATCTGTTTGACCTTATTGATCCCACTATGGTGGTTCAACTACCTTCTGGTAAACATAGAAGAAGCTATTGAACATGGCCATTTATAGTGAGTTTTCCCATTAAAAATGGTGATTTTCCATAGTTATGTTAGTGTACCAGAGGGTAACTTGGGAGATCAACAAACCAAGGTGGTGATCATTTGATTTTCGACTCACATGGCTTATTTTCCCATAAGTTTGGGGATAGCCGTCCCCAACCATTTTTCGTCGAGATTTCCCCCCAAGCACCTTCAGTCTGCGGAATTGCTTGAAGGGGAAATCTGTAGGAAGCTTTACATTATTTGAAGGTAAAAAAATGTCAAACAACGATGGTTTCCTGTAGATTTTCCACTCCATTGATCCAGATCCAAATCCAGATGGATAAGGGGATGTATTTAGCCATATTCATCCCTCTCAGTTCAACCAACTTCGATTTCGATTCAGATGAATTTCATCATTCCCCCAGTTTTGTTAAGCCTCAGCTCTTGACTTCGGGGAATTTCCCATGATTTCCAAGAAATTAGCCATATTTCCAGGTAAAAACCCATGATTTCCCATGATTTCCAGGGTTTCCGTTTCCAGGTGGTGAAACCACATGGGCCCTGGGCAACTTCTTTGGTTCCCAAATGGCCTCCATCGCCCCTATGGCCGCGGTGGCCCTCTGGGAGGAGGACAGCTGGGGGGAGGAGGCCAAAATCGCCAAGGAGCTCCAGGGCTTGGCGTTGTGGGCCTACGCCTGCAAGTGGGACTTCAAGGCGGCTGGGTTGATATGGGTGTGTCTGAAAATGGTGGTTAAAAACCATAGGAAAATGGTGGTTTAATGGGTTTTAATGGGATTTAATAGTTGTCTGAAAATAGGCTAAACCCCTTTTTACCCAATGGTTTTGCTGATCATTATCCCTATTAAATGGCTAGTTCATTGGGAATATACCCTATTTTCAGACAAACCCATATGGAGTTGATTTTTGGAGGTTTTAAAAGAGGGACCAAAATCAATGGGAGCTGGGGAAGAGCAAATGGAGAAAATCCATAGATTGGATGCCACAGAATTTTCCAGCTCCATTTTAAGACACCCCGTTCTTGCACTACATTCAACTACCATCTTGTTGATTTCAAGGCCTTCTCCTTCGACGACATGTGGTACGTCTCAGAGAAACACGGCCTGCAGCTAGAAGCCGCCGAAGAATCCGCCGTGACTGCCGGGGAGGTTGTTGCGGACGTCCACACCTGGAGCCCGCGACTCTCCCTGAGTTTACTGGAGAACACACCCACATACCACTGGGTTTCCTGGAGCATATGATGGAATCTGCTGGGAAAGAATTCGTTTACCTTTGTTTGAAAATAGGGTAGTTCATCATTTTCCCCATACAGTATCAACATATGGCCATACGTCCTCCGTTTCTGGACAGCTTCCCTGTTTTTTTCCGCGCATTCTGCAAGGCTTGGACTCCTGTGCTACACAACGAGGCTGAGTTCGGATTGTTCAGCAAGATGTTGTCCGTCCGATGTGCCTGCCCACCGGATGTCGCTTGTGCGCGTGTCGCCCGCTATCCGGCTAGCCCGCCCTCGCCCATCGGATCGGGCCACAGATGAAGAAAAGGGCCACGCTTGCTGCAGTTTGACACTATTTGACCACTTCTATGGGCCCCCCGTAAGCTGGATCTTAGGAGGTTCAAGGTAACAGAAATGTTTCTGGTGTTGAAACATTTCTAGGTCTGAATCCAACGTTTTACCCATGTTGCACCCATTCAGCGACATTGCATCATTTGTTGGGTTCTATCATCTTTTCGTTTCCCATCCAGGATCCACCCCTTTTTTGGGCTCAAAACCCAACTGTTGATGGGTGAAAATGGCTACCGACCCCGGACCTAGGAGTCGGAAGAGGACTGCCCGGACTGCCGCTGGCAGATGGTTGGCAAATGGTTGTGAATGTTCACCAAGAAATATGGCTCTGTAAATGGTGTATGCCATGGTATACGCCCCAAAACTGCCAATTTTAGTACGAAATTTCGCGATTCTCCATGAACATTTTCGTGTCAAAACTGGGGGATACCTGTTCTGAACCCGATTCGGCCCTTGGCAGGTGATTCTTAACGAAACATGGAGGCTACCCGAGACTTCAAATCCACTGGTTCAGTACTCATCACATTTCCAGACATACTTTGCCAGTTTGCGGGGTAAAACAAAGAATTTTCAGGTGGAATCACATTTCTCACTGCTTGACATAATTCTGGATAATAAATTCATATCAATTCACATTTTTCTTGGTTAAAACATGTTAAAACATGGTAAAACCATCATTTTAGCCAATTCAGAGGAGTCCCCGAAGTCTGTGAAGTCTGAGAAGTCCCGTGCTCATCGAGGCAAAGATAGCAATGACGACAACTACTTTGGGTGAATGGGAACTTCACCTATAAAAAATATATGACTAATAGGGATTCATCATGATTTTTCCTGCCTGTAACATCCTGTAACCATGGGGATTTTCCTTTGGAATCTAGCTGATCACTTGACGGGAACCTGTAAACATCGGGATGGAAGTTGAAAAACTGTGGCACAGGGATTTGAAACGGATTCGACCCAGAATCATTGGTGGAAAAAGGGCTGTCGCATCAGCGACAAGTCCAATATGATATCGGGTTGTCTGGCCACTGTTCAGAAGACCCACCAGTGAAATTAGGCACTGGAAGACAAACTCATTGAGCTTTCCAAAGGGAGTTCTATAGGTTCACGGATTTTCAAGTGGAAGCTAAGGTTTACCCTCTGGTAATTTAACATAGCTATTGAAAATGACCATAGAAATAGTGGATTTTCCCATTAAAAATGGTGATTTTCCATAGCTATGTTAGTTTACCAGAGGGTAAACACATCTTGATCATCTTGAGGCACTTTTTCTAGCTCCATGATTGGCATCAGCTGCAGAACAGCTCTCTGATTGGGATGACGATCCCACAGCGCCCCAGGCAAGAAGAAAAGGCCGGAGCTGTGCTGACTGTTTTTCGGTGCCGTTTTCGTCTCCGGGCTTCATGTGCCAATGTTTTGAATAATTGGGGAACTCCAAAACTGCAGGATTGCCAGAGGATTCAAACTACATCAGAATATTTGGGTAGAATCTTGGGTGGAATTTCTAACTCCTTAAGTTGACAAATGATCACATGATTTCTTGAATTTTCTGCAGGAAAGTGGAGGAAAAGGCTTCCAAAAAGGCGGGGCAGTTGAAACAGTTGGGCTTTGTCAACCCCCAGGGCGGGTCGTTCAGTTAGAACTGGGCCATCTCTGAAGGTCAAACGACCTCGATGAGATGTGAATTCTACATGTTTTGCTCAAAAATCTGCATTGGATTGATCCCAGTTTCTGATGGTTGAAGTATGTTGAAGTCACATATTCAATATTCTTTGCCCCGTCAAATCCATGGACTGTGCCTGAAACGCCATGCAGTGCACAGTGCGCTTGGTTCTGGTTGTGGTCACCGCAGGATGCCGAGAAGAAGCGAAGAGAAAAGGCGCTTTAGTGGGTGATTCTGGTTGGGGTCTGGTTTTTTTTACCTTGGTGATTGGTAGGTTGACAATGGGCTTCAATGGTGTTTTTTTTTTGTTCGAAATGGGATTTTCACAGTGATTTCATAGTGATTTAGTGGGATTTAAGTATATATATATATTATATAACTATATCTATATCTAAATCTATATCTATGGTGATTTAATGGTGATTTAATGGTGATTTAGTGGGATTTCATGGTGATTTTTCATGGGAATTTTTCAGCAACAAACATGGGGATAGTTGACGATGGCAGCTATGCGAACTGGACCAAAAAAGCCCACTGAATTCGATGATTTGCCAATGGCCCACCACGTTTTAAACTATCCACAGCAACGTGTTGAATTACCAGAGGGTGCAGTAAATGATGGTCAATGATGGTTAATGATGGTTAATGATGGTTAATAATGACCTATAGTACATGAGTATTGGCATACATGGTGAGGGAATGTGAGACCTTGTTTGGTATCTAAGAATGAGGCATGAGTATTGGCATACAGTAAGTACATGACAACCGAATATGGATACAATCGGTTGGCAAGCAACTGCCGTCGCCGTTTGGCCTCGGGTTATCGCATCCGTTGAAATGTTGATGGGTCATGTCCCTGTTTTGGTTTTATTCCCATCATTGGTTGGAATTGTCACAATCATCACTATTTTTCATGGTGCATACGTATACTTCTATATAATATATTACGTATATACACATGCAGATACATGTAATATTTGGTGATATCATGTGATATCATGTGATATCATGTGATATCATGTGATATCATGTGATATCTGGGTTCCCCACGATGGACCAACAACCTCTTTGAATGTTGCACAGGAACGGGAGAACGATAGGAAGAAGGGCAAGATGCCTGACCCAAGGATGATGATGCGCCAAGCTCAGTGGGGTGATCCTGATAATCGACAAACTAAGTGGCCACTAGCTGCACTAGCTATGTTGAACACCCTATGGTTATGACGTTCACAGTTCGCCATGGTATAGATGGCCCATAGAAATAGATGGTTTACCGTTCTTAAAAATCATGGATCTTTCCATGGCGAACTGGTAAATAACCAGATGGTAACCGGAGGGTATGCAGCAACGGACGAGTCGGCAGATATTGACCCATCCCAACAAGGCCAATGACGACCTTGAATATCCCAAAGGTTCGTTGATAAATCCTTGACAATTGTAGATTATAACTTGTATATAGATACTTATATTATCTTATATTCAAACTTATATCATATCATAACATAGACTACATGTTTCGATCCCCAAATCTTGAGCCGGGTTTTTCAGCCTCGGGTGGCTCTTCAGCGCCGCACTTAAGCGAGGCCTCACATGATGGTGCCTCCAGTGGGCTGGTGCAGCCAGCATGACTTGGAGCAGCTAGACACCGGAAACCTGGAAGTGTCAGTCTTCAGACCCAGGACGTAGAAACATACCCTCTGGTTATTTAAAGGTACCCATGGAAAATCACCATTTTTTTATGGGTAAATCATCATTTTAATATATTTTAATCATCTATTTCTATGGGCCATACCATAACTATGTCAAGTAACCAGAGGGTCAGAAAAAAACATCTTCCGTTCCAGTCATCTCAGCGTTTTGGGTGTTTGCCAGGCCGCATCCGATTCCCATGCATCCAGGGATTCCAATGTTGGGGAAGCTCAGGAAATCAATGTGGATGGATGGCCCACCACATGGCTCAGCATCTGATCTAATTGGCATCCCTTGCCCCGCCTATTTTGGGACCTCATTGATTCCCTGTTTCTACTTTTTCTAGATATAGTTTTCTTGAAAATATTTAGCTCCTCCAAATCTGTTGGTTTTTCAGTGGCACTGGAGCCGCTGAGGCAAGTGCCCATGCACTGGCCAGGGTCTTAGCACTGCGAATGACCAAGAAAGGGAATGGGATGACTGGGAACCGCAAATCTTTACAACCCCCAAAAATAGAACAGCGATTTCCTACAAAAATGGTGAGAACTTGCTTTTCTATGGATTTTTGGGGGGTTACCAGTTACTATGAATGGGATTTGACCAGCACACATGTGGTTAGCAATAAACAGGTATTTACTGGATGATGGAACGTGCACACAGTGGTAGACCCAATAATCAAGCCCACCATTAGAATTTCATACATTTGACAAGCTTAACATTGCAAGATTAACCCCTATCATCAAAATGGTGTTTCAACAGGGCTTTGGTCAAAAAAAAAGGTCATTTCAACAGGGGTTTGGTCATTTTTTTGGTCATGTTTTTGGGTTGTTATCACCAACCCCCTACAAAACAACACCTATCAATCCTATCAGTTCATCATTGGGAAACTCCCAAGGCCCCCATGGGATGGAGGTTTCCAGGCGCCGAACTCCGTTGAAACCGCTAGGGAAAGCTCGGGAATTTCCACGTAGCGAATGGGACCATTTTTTGGCTAAAAAAGGGGGGGTGGAGAAAAGATTAGGATGGGATTTTTGCATGATCTTAGCCCAGCCCCTAGCCGACAATTTAATCACTGTGAAATCGGGGTTCACTCTCCAGTGTCAGTTGCTTCATCAGTCTGAAGGTTGACCTGTTGGGTTGATGGCAACATCTAGGAGAAACAGTGGCCTTCCCAACAGAAACCGGTGGGGTTTCATGTATAGTCTGTGTAGTAACCGCCAAAAAGATAGAAAAGTGCAATCTCTCTAGACTAACATAGTGATAAACTACTTTTCTATCTTTTTGTGGATTACCACATATTTTTTTATGATTTTACCGTAAAGTTCTCGGATCGATAGGCAACAACTTCGTGTTGTGTTGCCGTTGCCGCAGTTTGCAGATCTACCTGTCTTAGATTCAGGCTCAGACTTGGAGTCCCAATCTACATTAAACCAATGTGGTAGTGACCGAAGCCTAGTGACCGGACCCTGGAATCATGGTTAGTGAGGTGAATTATCCCATCAAAAAGCCGCAAGTTTCAGCGTAAAATATTGTGCCCAGATGATCCCAGATGAATGAATTTACCATTCCTATCGAAACTTTAAGTACTCGTGTGCATAAAAAAAAATCAAAACGCGAAAACAAAAAGGATTCGCTTGTTCTCAACTTGGGCCTTCTTTTGTTGTATTTTCTTTTTGCTTTTTGCGTCCTTGGATGCTTGGTAGTTCTGATAAAAAATGCGATGTGATTGTTTGTGTGGCATCACTAGTGGATCATTTCCTTGGTGAACGAAATGGCGACCCATTTCTGGCCAGGCAACGGAAAAGAAAGAGAAGAAGGAGATGTTGCAACGGTTCATGGTTCCAAAATGTTGCACATAGCCCTGGTTATGACGTTCACAGTTCGCCATGGTATAGATGGCCCATAGAAATAGATGGTTTACGGTTCTTAAAAATGGTGGATCTTTCCATGGCTATGTTAAATAACCAGATGATAGAAATAACACTCTCATCCCTACTTGGAAAAAAAGGGCGCGTCATTGACCAATCTTTTTGAGATGGGTTACTGCATCATTGTGCCAGCGAAAGTGCAGAGCTGCCGATTAGATGCCTTGAGGAAGCCAAAGACAAGAAGAAAGAAGCGAAGGAGAAGAAAGAGAAGGCTCTCTCCGGCTATCCGGCTATCCGGTCCTGGACATGTTTAAATGTTTATCCATTTCTTGAACTTCTGCTGTTGGATTTTTTTTTCTCACCCACAACTAGATTTGACAGTGTTGGTGTTTGAGATGTAGTTACTATTATCCCGCTTGAAGGTGAGTGGTGTCACTTAGACCGTTTCACAGCGTAAAAGCAAGTTCGGGGATGGTCCTCCCATTTTCATAGGGATTTCAATATATATATATATACACAGTATAATACATATTATGGTATTGAAATCCCTATAAACATATATGATATAATGGTACATGTGGGGGACCAGATTATTTTCATCATATGAGAAATCCCATGATGGTGGGACCAGAGGCCCCCACTTGCTGGCGATGCATGGTTGGTTCCTACAAGGTGGTTTTCCCCAAGTTCGTTCTGTTTATTCGTTTATAAACCCATTAACTAGTTCGGTATATCACCAACAAAAACCAGAGTGAAATTGGAGCTATGTGGCCCCCAACTGAACGCTATCAGCAGCTATCATAAATCAGCTATAAATCCCATGAACAACCCACCATTTTTCCTATGGTTTCCTATGGTCAAACGGGGACTCACCAGCCCAGCATATTTTTTCTGGTCAGGAGAAGGAGAAATCCGAGAAATCCGTGAAGGTCGAGCCTTCGGTCTCATCCAAAGCAGGCGAACGGATGGATCCAATGGCTATGGCTATGGTTTTTGAATGTCTTTCACCGGACTTTTTTCAAGATTATGGGACTCTTCAGATATAGAAGTTCGTCAAAAATTGAGGGACTTGAGAATCTTAAGGATAGAAGTTCGTCAAAAATTGAGGGACCTCTGAGAATCTTAAGATAGAAGTTCGTATCCAGTGGAGTTTCATGGGAATTTCCACCGCTGTTCAGACCGAACGGAGAAAAAATCGCTGGTGCCCACCGGTCAGGTGCAGACCCCTTGAAGGCGTGGGATCCTGGGACGACAGCAACGTTCACCGAAACAAAGACCAGGAAGGTGCCATAAAAACTGGAAAATCACACCAGGAATGATAGATTTTCAGGGAACAAATATGATCCAATATGATCCAATATGATCCAATTATAGTTGATTTCCCTTGATTTCCCTATTCAAGATGATGATTTTCTCTAGCTATGTTGGTTTCCGAGAGGGTAGACACACTGGGAAAACGCGGAAAATATGACGGTTTTTCCGCTGATTTTGAGCAAAGTGAACATGGGAGATGTTCACAAACCAAAAGGGAGGATGTTAGTCTATGAACATTGGGAATATTAGTCACTAAAGTGAATCATGGCCAGACTGATGGCTCAGTCTGAACAAAGTATGACCATCATTGATGCAAGTCCCAGTTCTCACCAAATCCATTGGTGAACAAAAGCCTCTTTCATCCTCTTTCAAAATGGCATAAAATGATCATTTTTTTTTGGTGGAATTTCTTCATTTTCAGACACTCCCCATATCCATTTTGATTGGTGAAATCCCACCAAATTCTTGGTTAAATCTCGGTGGTTGATTTCACCCTATCGAGGCTGCTCGCTTACGGGAACTGGTTCGCGGCATTTACTTCCGCCCGGATGCCTTGGCGAGGCTAGAGGTACCGAGGTACCACAGTAGCAGCATGACATACTTCCCAAAAAGAAACGAACGCATAGATTTCCACAGACTTAAAATTGAATCTTCCCAAAAGTGGTACTGTACTTCCCAATGAATGTAAGAGGTACTTCCCGGAAATTGAATCATTTTGGGAAGATCTGCAGAAAAAAAACATGGAATATGATACTTCCCAAACATGTTGATGTTTTTCTTTAGATCAACGTGGATCATCTACCTGCTTGTACTGGGTTCATTCATGGAATGGTCGCTGGACACCAAGCTTTTGAGTGGTTTTGACTGGCGCCCATATGCCCACGTTGAACTAAAACCCGCAACATCTTATGGATATGGTGACCTTAGAATCCATCTTATCTACTAGATTCTGCTAGTAAGTTCCTTCACTGAGACCATCGGAACTAAAGTGAAACCCTGACAAACCGGTTAGTTGCTTGAACATGTGGGTCTATTTCTCTTGTTGATAAACTCACTGTATATGTTAATGTGTTCGGTACATCTTTCCAGGTGATCAGCATCTTTCCCATCAGCCTTGATTGGGAGAAGCTCTCCGAAAAAACGCTGACCTTGTTGATCCGCTGAGGTCGAAACCCGGGGAAATTGTCGGAGTTGGACGCCATCTTCGAAAAGTTCCTTGGAGGATTTTTCTCTAAGATAGGGGGTTTCCATCCAGTCATGGGGATCCCCAAGCTCACTGGATAGTTTATTTCATGGAGAATCCGAAAATAACATGGATGATTTGGGGGGACCCCCATGACTTAGGAAACCTCCAGATTGATGAGAAACTCTTGCATCATGAAAAACTGGAAGCCCGATCAGCCAGGATGGGAGAGAACCAGCCCAGTGTGAGGTATCTAGCAAGGTAGGGATTTTACCAACAAAACAAGAGTTTTATGATATGATTTAAGCAGCAAAAAAAGCACATGGGAATTTGACCAACTGGATTCGGGAGAGATTTCATAAAGACGCTTAAATTACCTCACCATTGATGATGAATACTGGGGACAGCATCAATTTTTCAGGGTCATTTAAACCAGGTTTCTGTCAAACTGTGGGCGAGCTGCTGCCAATTTTGGCTGAGGTATGCCGGGGCAGAGGGCGAGGTGTATGCGCACGTTTGCAAGAAATATGGAGAGCCCATGCTGGAGGCAAGGCCATCCATTGGATTTTGGAAGGTTTTTCCGTTCAATTTTCAGTCCCCAGATACTTTAGGTTTGAAAATCCCAATCCCAAAGTGAAAAAGCGAGAAAAAATCTATCCCCCTAACATAATATATATATATATTTTGCCAAAAAACTCCCAATCCCATTTGAGGGAAAAATCCAAGACATTTTCCCCAAGATTTTCCCAACTTGCTCCAGGCTCCTGACAGCAATGGCGAGGTTGGCGAGGTGTCCTCGATAGCCAAGGCCAGCGACGGAACTCCGTCCCCATCCCATGGCATTCTGGATCTTCCCCAGCTAAGGGAACCAAGAAATATGGCTATGTTTTTCCTAGAATTTGAGACTACTGTACTGTAAGACATGGGTATGGGTCAATACCTATAGATACCATTTTTAGGGGGATGAACATCCATTTACCAGCTATTTTGATGTTCACCAGGGGTACCAGGGTTTTGACCCATCCCCAAATATCTAGGTATAGAGTTTATCAACCCGGTGTATCCCATCACTATGGAGGTATGACTCATGACCCAACCAAAACCTCTGAAATTATCATTCCCAAACTTGCACCACTTGAATCAACATCTAAAATCATCATCCCAAAACATTGAACACCACTTGAATCACGTGAATTTGAACGTCTCCCTCTAGGCGGAGATTGAAGGCATGTCCCTGCCAGCCGCAAGGCCGGGGGCTAGCATCAGAGCTTGACCACCGCAGATTGATGGGAAGATGGCAGAATGTCCCATGTTTTGTTTAGTTTTATTTGGTTTTCAGTTTTTTCTTCCATCCCAACCTCTTGAGATCTCTTGAGTTTCACTTTTTGCTGAAGGCTTAAAGAGGGTTTAAAGGGACACAGCCGGCCACATTCTTTGCCTTTCGGCAGGCCTGCTGCAGCTGCCGGGACGCTCAATGCATGGTCGGGCGTTTTCTACTGCATCCATTTGGCACAGCCATGAAACTGAAGATGGGAAGCAAAAACCGGTGGTAAAGTCATTGAATATGATATAATATAGTATAATATAATATAATATAATATAGTAATATAATAATATAATATAACATAATATAATATAATATAATATAATATAATATAATGTAATATAATATAATAATATATATATATATAATATATATATATATCAACTAGATGGGGCGTTTCGGATTTTAGATTCTGCGGTATAGCCGCTATAGCCACGACCTCTTGAGGAGGAAGACATCTCGGGGTGGCCCTTCCAAGAGGACAGTTTGGGATTGGCCGAGATGAGTTTGGTCAAAAATTGGCAGAGACACTGAGAGCAAAAGATTTTAGGTCACTCAATTTTGGGTGTCATATCCATCCACATGAAGAGATAATTACCGCAATTCAGATCAATATTTATATGTCACCCTGGTACATTGAGCAATACGGTAACCGTACATATATTCCCACGAAAGGCGGAGAGTCATGCACTAGATCAGGAATGATTGGAAGAGTTGACCCATATCTCATGTGGGTATGAAATGAGGGTATACCACCAACAGTGGCAATTGTTCAATGAAAACAACAAGTAAGTCACATAACCCAACTTTGATTGAAGGTATATATATATATATCTATATCTATATGTCTATATATCTATATATCTATATATATATACAGTATATATAAACCAACTTTAATAATTGTAACATATTGTACCCCCCTGCAGGAAGGGCCTCCTTCATAAACCAATTCTATTGGACTTTTCCTCCAGGAGTTCGAGGCGAACTCGCCCTCACCCAGTCCGTGGGGAGGCCTAAGCTGTGGGGATGTGGAAAACCAGTGGTTCAGCTCGTGATAAAATTGCAAAGGTGATTTGGGTGATGTATACATGGTTTAAGCCAACAGAAATGGTGAATATGACTTCATGATTGGAACTTCTTCCAAACTGTATAATTACTTTCCGCACTTGTATCTCATCAACGGATGTCGACAGTCGAGATAAGCATTCAAACAGCAGGCAATCAGAAGCAGTGAAAGACCGGATCTTTCCGGCGCAAACACCAATTTCATTTCTACAAATAACTTCTACAAGATAGAACAGTGATCAGTGATCAGTGATCTACTATTCAGAGTGGGATTTCACTTTGCTCAATTTGGTGGTCTTGTTGGGAAAATCTTCACCGGAAACCATGGATTTTCCCATGAAATATGGGGCTTTCCTGCAAATCTTTCGCTCCAGGTCTTGCCAACCGAGGTCCTCGGCCGACGAAAAAAGCCGGCCCGGTTCCACCGCAGCGGCCACCGGTTCTGCCGGTGCGGTGGGAAAGGAAGGGCCCAAGAAGGGCAAAGCCGCAGGCGCGGGGAGGGGGTTTCCAATGGGGATGGGTCAAGCGTTCCCAGTGGGGATGGGTCAAGGGATTTTTCACCAACTTAGACATAGATCGTAAACTAAAATGGGCAGTATGAACCATGACTAACCATTTAGGGTCCCAAGGTTGGCTCGATGGGTGGGGATAATATGGCTGGGAAAAGAGACACCACTCGACTTCGAGACAGCAATCATAGTGATGACCTCGACGTGGAACTTGACGTCAGTCCTGACAAGGACAGCTTCTTGAAGCCCAAGTTTTGCTGCGAACATGCGGCCAACATCTTGTGAGGACATGTCTTTTTGGCTGAGTTTTTTGGAGCTCAATGAAGCTTAATTCTGTTCCATAGTTCAATCCACCTTTATTAAGGTTGTTAACGCAGATTCGGGTATGTTTCCCTTTTGACCGTCTCCAAAGAATCTTAAGTTGATTCCAGGTTGAGGATTACAATCCCAAATTTGCACTGTGAACACATAACTGGTTGGTGATTTGGAACAGGGGTTGACACCACCAACCAGACGGGTTGAACCAACCAGATAATTTCACTTTTACGTTGCACTTTTGAGTCCTTTTGAGAGTCTTCAGATGAAATTCATGAGCCGCGTATAGCCAAGCGTGCAACTGCGGGGCATAGCATGGTACAGGTAAAAAGGATTAAAAAGGCACTGGCTGCGAGTATGATTTTGCACCATCGTACATATACATACGTATATATTATACAATATATATATATATATTACAACATATATATTACTTGTGCTTCAACGCCAAGGTGGCCAAGGTGGCCAAAGTGGTTTCCGCGCCGCCTCCGCGCGGATTGCCAAGATGTTGGCCTCTAAGGAGGCAGCCCCTTGGGGCCCAACAAGGTCTGATAAAGTGAGTACATATACAGTATATATGGCAGTGTGTCAAAACCTTGTACCCCTGTAGTTCACATCAAAATAGCTGGTAAATGGATGTTCATCCCCCTAAACATGGTATTAATAGGTATTGATCCATACCCATATATATATATATAAGTATGGTTCAAACTTCCTTACAACCCAAGTTGGATGAAATTGGGTTGTCAGGTTGGCAGTTCTTTTTTTTGTTTGAAGAAGGTATTTTGCTGCTGGTGTGTCCTATCAATTGGATGGTTTCGTACCATCGAAAATCAATATGAACAATTCTGAGAACAAACGAAAATTGACCAGAAAAACTGCTGATTTGACCAACAGCCATGGTGATATATATGGTGATTTTAGCAACACAAATTAGGATTTCACCAACAAACATGCGGTTTAAAGTTGAACGCGACAAAGAGTTGAAATGCAGGACCCAGTGATTCAAAGATTCATTGGTGGTTTTGATGATGTTTTCCAGGGTCCATATGCCCACATTTAAGAGGATTAACTATCACTTTGTGGTGGTGAAAACGTCATAAGGGATGTTTGGAGAGGAAGTGCAAAGAACCTTGATGATCTCTGATGGACAATCACAAGTTTGATTGTTCACCCATTTGGCAGTGTGTCAAAACCCTGGTACCCCTGTAGTTCACATCAAAATAGCTGGGATTTATGGATGTTCATCCCACTAAACATGGTATTAATAGGTATTGATTCATACCCATTTTTTTCAGGGAAATCCAAAAATTTGACGTGCTTCAGCCCTGCATCCCCTGCAGGCTACCGCATGGAGACCCCCCAAGGGTCCTCCTGAGGCTTCGGCGCCCAGGGTTTTCCACCCAGGATGGTCATGGTGGAAGCAGACAGATCCCTTTGGTGATTTAACAGTTCGCCATGCAAAAAAAAGTCACTTTGAATAGGTACAAAACATCTATTTCTATGGGTCGTTTTCCATAGCTATGTTAAATAACCAGAGGGTAATATCCTTGATGAATTATATATAGTAAGTTCTCCAGATATGATACGTGCAGAAACATCATACAAACGTTCACCTCATCTCCAGGGAAAAACATTCACATCCAGGAAAATCAAAAAAGATCCACATCATTTAGATCGTTTCCAGATGTTCTCTCCATTTTAAAGGTTGCTTCAACACATTATAGGTACATGATGAGCACAAGGTAGGCACAATTTGTTTACCACCACACTTCTTGATCCATATTTCCTATTATATCCCATTATATATCCCATGAAATCCCATAAACAAACCCAACAAAAACCCAACAAAAACCCAACAAAAACCCAACAAAAACCCAACAAAATCCCATAAAAAACCATAAAAACCCAACAAAATCCCCTGATCCATGAGTTTTCCATCATTTTTCTCTCCAGGTCGCCTCCGCCTGGCGCCCTCCCGCCTCGTCCCCCACGGCCAAAGCGGCCGCGGCCGCGGCGGCGGCGGAGGATGCGCGGCGGCGACAGCTGCAGGAGATGTGGCCGCAGCTCAAGGAGTGCGGAAACCAAGGGAGTTCTGGTTGGTGGTTTGGAACATTTGGATTATTCCCAATAACATGTGGTATATTGGGTTATTGGGAATAATCATCCCAACTGAACATTTATAGTAGTTTATACCCTCTGATTATATCTGATTATAGTATCCTTGATTATGAACATTGATGATTAACATAATTAACATGTTAATAATTGATTAATTGCATTAATCAACAATCATTATTACCCTGGTTGTTGGTTTGGAACATTTTTTATTTGTCCATATATTGGGAATAATCATCCCAACTGAACAATATTTTTCAGAGGGTTTTTTCAGTGTTACATACCCTCTGGTAAACTAACAGTTTGCGATTGAAAATGGCCATAGAAACAGTTGATTTTCCCATTCAGAATGGTGGATCTTTCCATAGTTATGTCAGTTTACCAGAGGGTAATGGTTGTTTTATAATGGAAAATACCATGAACATGGATGAGAACTGGGGGTAGCCCTATTTCAGGAAAGCATTTAGTGGGAGTGAATGGTAATTTCATGGGATTTATACTAGGGTAATGGTGGTTATAAGGGGGATAAGTTGAGCTAAGGTGCTGACATCAACCGGCTGAAAATGGAGGTTTTTAGTTGAGTTTTATTGCTGTGGTGAAATCCCATCAAGTGTGCTGGGATTTCATGGAGATATTCGTCATTCTCCAGGATAACCATTAATGATATCATGATGTCATCATGGAATATCATGATGTAATCATTTTTCATGATATTCCATGATATCATGGTGGTTTAGCCATGTTTAGCCATTTTTCAGTTGGTGACTTATATATCTTACATCTCCCCTCAAGCCATCTATGGTTTCAGATAGATTCTGACCCATCTGTGGCGCGACTGGACCCGAGGCCCAAGGCGACTCCCAAGATCCAGCGGCTCGGTGGAATCAATTCAATCATGGGACCCATGAATTCCCATTGGAGGTACCCTCTGGTTATGTCAAAATAGCTATTGAAAATGGCCATAGAAATAGTGAGTTTTCCCATTACAAATGGTGAATTTCCATAGTTATGTTAAATTACCAGAGGGTACCAATCTGATGGGATATGATGAATTGATTGGTATCATGATTGGTATGATGATTATTCCCATTGGAGGTACCAATATATGGGATATATATACCATTGATGTTGATGAATTGATTTTCATGGGATATGATTGATACATATTGATACATTGATGACCAAGAAATGGAAACCAATCTGCGGTGTTGAAATCATGGAGTCCCGTCATGGCCAAGGCCCGCCCCGGCGGCTTCGTCGGAGCGCGCGGACGCCGCGGCGTCGGCAGCGAGTGCCAGTGCGGCGGCGAAGCCGGCGGCGAAGCCGGCGGCGAAGCCGGCGGAAATCAAGGCGGCTGAGAAGGCCTTTGAGAAGGCGGGAGGCACATTTTTTTCGTTTCGTTTTGCTTTTGTTTGGGTTAAGAACCTAGTTTTGACCACGTGTTTTCCCATTTTTGATTGGAGAAGACTGGGGTGGAAAGCTGGCATCAATCTGGATAAAGCGGGGGGCTCTACTGATGTTGTGCTTCTGTAGGTCTAAGTTCTTCGAACAGTAGTAATTTTGAATTTTAATTTTAAGTATTCCAATATGAATTTCATTGTTGTGGATTATCACTGACTTGAAGCGATTTTATTGCCACCTGCCACTTCGAATGGGCATATCTTCAGGCCCCACAACTCACCAAACAATTCTCACCAACCAATCTGTCAGGCAGAAGTCAAGTGGGGCCCCCAGCTATGGAATCTATGGGCATCCGGAAATGGGGAGCCAAGGAGCTACGAGGTTCCCTTAACCACACAACAGTTGATGATAGTTGATGGCTTGCGTAGAGTTTTCCATCCCTGATGGCTTGATCTCTCACAGAGATTCATGGTCATATTTCTGGCATGGCTTCATGCGGCCTCTGTTGATAGTGATTTATTAACCCTATGAATCTGAGGTCTCCCGTATTTTTTTTTGGGGGGATTCCTCAAGATGTTTCAAGATGTTTCAAGCCTCTTTTTTTTTTGGATCCTATTGGGAGATTTGGTCAGTGGTAGCTTTGGCTGGGAAATACGTTGCTGCCGCACATCATTTTTCTATGGGTTTGTCTGAACATTGGCTACCCCTCTGGTGAATCAAGTTATCCCCATTTGAATGGAAATAACTGGGGGTATACCGCATTTTTGACACAGCCCACATAGTTCGACCGAGGATTGGGATGATCTCTGAGGTTTAAAAATCCCCACAGTTGTAGGTGGTTACGTCCCAGTTCTTGAGAAGCTACTACTTCACCTCTGCAAAACTTGGAACTTGAAACCATCAAAACCTGGATTTGGAACAAATTTGGAATATGGATGTGGGTCAAAATGGAAGACCTAGGGGACCACAGATGTTAGTCTAGTTTAGTATTAACCATCCAATTATTGGGGTACCTAATTTTGACCCATACCCATATGAGTTTCCTATGAGAAAACATTGTGGTTGGCTTCCACTTGTTAGATAAAACACAGGTGTCGCCTCCAGAAAACAGGTGATTTATCACCCCAACAGGAATCTCTCTAAGGCGCTAACACGGTTACCAGGTTTCAACAGGTTGAAAAACCGGTTTAGCTTTCCCTTAAACCAAATAATTAACATGTTACATACCCTCTGGTTATTTAACATAGCCATGGTATAGATGGCTTATTTATAGATGGTTTACCTATTAAAAATGGTGGATCCTTCCATGGCTATGTTAAATAACCAGATGGTACTAGTTTATACCCTCTGATTATAGTATCCTTGATTGTGAACATTGATGATTAACATAATTAACATGTTAATCATTGATTAAAGTATTGATTAACAATCATTATTACCCTGGTTGGTGGTTTGGAACATGATGTTTATGACTTTCCATATATTGGGAATATGTTTCTTTGTGGTGAAATATTCTTTGTTGTGGTTAAACGGTTAAATATAAGTTTCCCATATTGGCAATTGGTCAACATCTATTTGATGGTGGGATAACCATCCATTAACCATCTATTTTGGGGTCCCAATAAGCTAGGCTTTTTGTCCTCATCTTTCCATATATTTTCACTGGTAAACTAACAGTGTGCTATTGAAAATGGTCATAGAAATAGTGGATTTACCCATTCAAAACGCATGGTGGGGATCTTTCCACAGTTACGTAAACGTTTACCAGAGGGTGAATTTTCACAGGTGAATCATCGTTTTCCCATGGTTTTCCCATGGTTTTCCCATGGTTTTCCCATGGTTTTCCCATGGTTTTCCAAGGTTTTCCCATGGTTTTCCCATGGTTTTCCCATGGTTTTCCCATGGTTTTCCCATGGTTTTCCCATAGTTTTCCCATGGTTTTCCCATGGTTTTCCCATGGTTTTCCCATGGTTTTCCCATGGTTTTCCCATGGTTTTCCCATGGTTTTCCCATGGTTTTCCAAGGTTTTCCCATGGTTTTCCCATGGTTTTCCCATGGTTTTCCCATGGTTTTCCCATGGTTTTCCCATGGTTTTCCCATAGTTTTCCCATGGTTTTCCCATGGTTTTCCCATGGTTTTCCAAGGTTTTCCCATGGTTTTCCCATGGTTTTCCCATGGTTTTCCCATGGTTTTCCCATGGTTTTCCCATGGTTTTCCCATAGTTTTCCCATGGTTTTCCCATGGTTTTCCCATGGTTTTCCCATGGTTTTCCCATGGTTTTCCCATGGTTTTCCAAGGTTTTCCCATTGTTTTTCAAGGTTTTCCCATTGTTTTCCCATGGTTTTCCCATGGTTTTCCCAATGAAAAGATGGCAAACAGCTTCGCCAGGAAGGATTCCAAGGAGTCCAGGGTGCCTCGCTGCGTGGCTGCGGATGCCTTGGCGGAGGACTGACGGCAAAGGGCGAGACGGGGCGAGACGGGAGGGCGGCAAAGGGTTGAGATAAAAGCCATCCTTTTCATATTTAGATATGGATTATAGGGATATATTATGGGAAATATGAATTATAGGGATTATGGATTATAGGGATTATAGGGATAATCATGGGATTATTAAATAGGATGGTTATTATTTATAATCATTGGTTATTGTGAAAATTGGGATTATTAACCAATACTAACCAGTACTAACAATTATACATATAGGGAATTATAGGGATATATTATGATGGTTTTTATGGAATATTGTTGATTATTGTTGATTATTGTTGATGATGATTATCTGTTTTCATGGTGGTTACCCTCTGGTAAACATACAAAAAACTATGGAAAATCACAATGCTATCAATGGGAAAATCCACTATGTCAATGGCCACTTTCAATGGCTATGTTAGTTTACCAGAGGGTATCCATATAGGGATATATTATGATGTTTTTATGGAATAATTTGTATATGATGGGATATATTATATATTATATTGTTTTATGGAATAACTATGATATATATAGAGATATATATGGGTAAATTATAACGACCTCACTGTTCTCCCGAAGCCTGGAATCATGGTTAGTAAGGGAAATCATCCCCACATGTCCTTAATTCAGGTTAGTGAAAACATATAATTTACCCAGACTTATATATGATGGATGATGGATGATGGATATACGGATATACGTTATACACGATGGCTAAGATTTAGATCATGGATTTGTAGATGGATTTATACACGACCACTTCTCTTGCTATTTTGTTTGTGTACATTTATTTCAAGATTTTCGATGTTAGAATTACCCTCTGGTAATTTAACATAGCTATTGAAAATCACCATTTTTAATGGGAAAATCCACTATTTCAATGGCCATTTTCAATAGCTATGTTGACATAACCAGAGGGTATTAAAATCATCAATCCCATGAAGTGTAAAAACAACGAGACGCACCAAGTTTTGGGACCCCCACAAGACTTCCTATGTTGGGTCGTGAGAAATATACTTTCCATAGAGTAAGTGCGGTGAATTGGTGAATAGCAAATCCATATTTAGGTAAATCCATATAGCAAATAGTATTTACCATTATTTACCCTCTGGTAATTTAACATAACTATGGAAAATCACCATTTATAGTGGTTTTTCCCATTAAAAATTGTGATTTTCCATAGCTATGTTAAATTACCAGAGGGTATATAGATATGATTTCCGTATTTGCCATGATTTACCGTATTGCTTGGCTAGCTGATTTGCAGTCGTTGCTATCCCTTTGGCGGATTTGGGTAGCAGAAACTGAAGATTTAAGGGCCATTGCTGTTCCATATTTTTCCGCATCAAGCTGGTGCCCCCCAAGTTGGTTTATAAAATCCACGAACTGTGATATCTACCATTAACCATAGCAATTCACCTAGATATGACCCAACTTGGCATACTTAGCTATCCTTTCGGGGTCCCAGCTTGCAACATATCATATCAACTTGGTTGTATATCCCAAACCACATCCCATCCGTGAAATTCCAAAAATCATTTGCAATTTTTGTTGGGTCATATTGATGGATTGGTTGGATCATGATGGTATATCCCATAGTATCATAGTAATATTGACCATAGCAATATTAACCATAGAGATGGCTCATTGGCTTTATACCATAGTAATAAATCAACCATATTGATGTTGAAATCATTTAATGGGGATTTCCGGACCAACCATTGAATGCCGCAGGCCAGTGATAGCGAAGTCACTGAGGCGCGAAATCTATGTGCTACTGGGCAGAGACAGTTGGCACGGGGGGCAGATTTTGTAACGAACAACGGCTGAATTACTATGGTATATTAAATATTACTATGGTATGTTATATATTACCATGGTATATTGCTATGATATGATTGTCTGAAAATCGGGTACCCCCATGTTTCCAGTGCTTAGTCATCTTTTTTTCGATATTGACATGGCGATGTGGAGGGCATACCCCATTTTCAGACACACCCTAAGTGGCAGACATAAAAAACATAGCTATGGCACATGGCCTATTTACAGATGGTTCCAGATGATTTGCGGATTAAAGATTGTGATTTGCCATAGCTACCCTCTGGTAAACTAACATAGCTATTGAAAATGGCCATTTATAGTGGATTTTCCCATAAAAAAAATGTGATTTTCCATAGCTATGTTAAGTTACCAGAGGGTATATAGATTACCAGAGTGTAAGTGGCAAGAGCTGGGGAATGAGGCTGAAAAGAATGCAACACGGAGGATCTCATGAAGAAACACGGGGCTTTCACAATGATCACAGATAGCAAAGGAGAAACAAGGCCCATTGCCACTTGTTATCCTCTTGTTAAGTGGTGTGGAAAACCTTGCATTTCGCTTGAACTCTTCGGAGCTGATCAAGTGGCTTTTGATGTTTTCCACTGTCAGTCCCGCAGGCGCCCAGCGGCGACGATGCATCAGGTGACGAAATGGCAGCCCCAAAGACCGAGAAACCCACAGCATCCGTGACTGCGGATGCCGCGGCAGCCAAAGGTCAAGCAACGTCGCCAGCCAAAACTGTAGCAACAGCAGCAGCAGCACCAGCAGCACCAAAACATGTACCAGCCGAAGCGCCATCAACAGCACCAGCGACAGCACCAGCGACAGCACCAGCGACAGCACCAGCAACAGCACCAGCGACAACACCAGCGACAGCACCAGCGACAGCACCAGCAACAGCACCAGCGACAGCACCAGCGACAGCACCCGCTGCACCCGCTGCACCCGCTGCACCCGCTGCAGCTGCACCAGCGACAGCACCCGCTGCAGCTGCACCAGCGACAGCACCCGCTGCAGCTGCACCCGCTGCACCCGCTGCAGCTGCACCCGCTGCACCCGCTGCACCCGCTGCACCCGCTGCACCCGCTGCACCTGCTGCACCCGCGGTCGCTGTGGCTGCTGCGACTGCTGCTGCGGCTGCACCTGTGACCACTGCACCGACAGCAGCTGCAGCAGTTGCGCCTGCTGCGGTGCCGCCAGCACCAGCTCTGCAGGGATCCTGGTGATGTTATGGTTCGGGGGATGATTCCAATAGCATCCTCTGGCTCAAACTGGTGATGTTGAGATTCTTGTAGTCCCAACGACAGTAGAATGAACGCAGTAGTTAATTCCGGTACCACCATCTGGAGTGTTTGAATTCCAACTGTGTTGCAGTACAGTACTGTAAGTGGTCTATCTTTCGACCAGGAAACTGACACTTTGGGATCCCACTCATCTAAACTCGGACATGGTTCATATCTTTGTGATTCTTGCTCCTGAATGGGTCAGGCAGATGATCAGATGCCTTTGCCCACATTTGGAAATCACTTGGCCAATGAAACAAAGTTCATTTTTCACGATCAGAGCACCAGATTTTTGCCAAGTCTGGCACCCTGTGGCTTTTTGTTTGGCCCGTTTCGTTCCCGTTTCGTTGTGGTGTGCACCAAGGCCCGGTTCGGCTTTGCCAGGCGGGGATGCTTGACCTGGGACCTGGGAACGTCGGTGTGATGCAATTTTTGTGATGACATGGGGATTGACACTACCCTCTGGTAATGGGACAACTCACTATTTCTATGGCCATTTTCTAATGGGAAACTATGGTAAACATACAAAAAAATCTATGGAAAATCACCATTTTTAATGGGACAACTCACATCAACTCACTATTTCTATGGCCATTTTCAATGGCTATGTTAAATTACCAGAGGGTCCAGAGGGTATCTAAGATTGGCGATGTTGCAACATGTTGATCTATAGCCCATTTCATAGATGGTTCTATTGGACCGAAGTAACCATTATAACCATTCATGAGGAGCAGTGGAACGCCTTCCTGCCAACAGATAGGTACTGGTCCAGTAGCGTTTATGGATCAATTTGATCACAGAAATTGGATGCATCAGTGATCAAGACATATTCCCAGAGCGGATTTGGTGATTTGGTTCCCTCCAGTGATCCATTTGATAAGCAGTCCGATTATTGGGGCATATATATTGCAGCTGAAGATTTCAACACAAGTCCCCGGTTGACTCAGGGGACTCGTCGTTGCCATGTCATCAACTGGGACTGGTGACTGGGGTGACTGGTTGAAATCCCATGGGGATTTCCATGGGATTTCCTCAAAAGAAGCTCACCGAAGAAAATCATTAGACCCACCGTCCCGAAAGAATGGGCTGATGAGATCATTGACACGGGGTGCACTTGGGCTTAGTTTTATGGGTCTAAGTGTTTTTTTACTATGGCAATAACCTGCACAAAATGGGATATAACATAAGACCTACAACTGCGGTGCCACTTATTAATTGCAGTGAAATACCTGAGTTAATTGATTGGGTGTAAAGAAAATGTTTGTGGCCTATATACCTACAACTATGGGCAATCCCAGGCAATTCATTCCAGTGAAATTGAGACCTGGAATTGCCCCGTAGGTCAGGCTGTGCTGTCGATGGCGGGTTTACGTCCAGGACTGTTACCGTGAGGCATCTCAGGGGTTGGTCCTGGGGACACTTTGAGCGATAGGAAGTCAACAATGGGAATTCAATGATTTATGATGGGGAAGCCATCCGTAAATGGGGATGCAATGGGCATATCATGGGGATATAATGGAGTATTCATGATTGATGATATCAATGACATACCTTCTGTGATTTAACCGTTTGCTACGGAACATGGCAAATTAGGTGATTTGCCAGTAAAAAAGATGATTTTCCATAGCTATGTTGAATTGCCAAAGGGTACTTTTTCCCAAATTTTCCTTGGGGTTCCAGTCTTTGAATCTCAGGATTGCAGTGAATTTTATGGAAGTCTATGGGTACTGTAACCCCCAGAATGGTAACCCAGCGATAGCTCGTAACCGAAATATGGCCTGGTTTGGTGGGGGGTTGACCTTTGGGGGGAGTACCCACATTTAGCCAAGTTGCTCGATACCATTTCAATCCATTTTATATCTACGTAACAACAAAACAAAGATATATAACTAGATATAACTAGGATTGATGGTGGTTATGACAAGACCCAAGAAGCGTTCCCCTTGCGGGGCACCGTTCCCCAAGTTATACGACAGCTCCGTTGTCGTCATGGCGGGCTCAAGATTTCCCACCGATTTCCACGGCCACCTCCACGCGGAGGGGCAAGGAGCGGGATGCGGCTGGGAGCTGGGAAGCGAGCTGGGAAGGGAGCTGTGGTTGTATCCGAAGTATCAAAATGGGGAGCCAGTTGCAGCTACAAGTTGAGGCTACCTCAATTTTTCGTCATGGAATTCAAAGATCTAGTGGCCCCTCGGTTTTGGTTTCGTGTGACTTACTTGTGTTTCCTCATTGGTTGATGACCAAAGGTTCTGACCATTGGGAATTGGCTGTCAATGATCATGCACCGAACTAACTTAGAAGCAAAAGACTCAGTCCTGGTAGCATTTTCATTGCATCTAAGGATAGATCTGCACCTATTATACCATATCTGATGGGTGCTTTGGAACATTTTTTTTATTCCATATATTGGGAATATATATATATATAATCATCCCAACTGACTTTCATATTTTTCAGAGGGGTAGGTATACCACCAACAAGATTTGGATTCCATGGCTTTTGATCCAGCCAGCCATCTCGGCAGTGTACCACAGCTGCGGTCCACTTGCTGGTGCTGCCGGCCCCTTAACCTTTCTCTTTTGAACTCCCATGCATATAATTGTATATACATATATATATATATACACATAGAAATGCATATAGTATCATATAGTTACACACATATATATATGTATGTGTTACATATATATATATATATATGTATATATATATATGTGTCACATATATATATATATGTATGTATGTATGTGTGTGTATATATATATATATATTATAGTATCGATATATCCAGCATGAATCCGATGGTTAGCCAACTTGGAGACCAATTTACCCAATACAAATCATCTATCAATCCACATCTTTGTTATGCAGTTAGATCTGACAATTTATACCATTTTTGATTGTTAAGCGATGTTGAATGCCAATTTAAATGATATCTTCTTTGGGTGCCCCTTGAAAAGGCCGTGGACTTGTGGACTTTTTTTGTTTCAGACCTGCTAGGCAATGGAGCAAGAAACGAATTGGGCCTTGCTGGACAAACTGGAGCATCTTGCTTGACAAACATGGGCTGGGCCAACATTCGAAGCCCCAAATCATCCAAATCATCCAAATCATTCAAATCATTAGATCCTATGACTTAGTATGGGTTACCAACCATGGTAACGACTAGGGATTTTCCATGACTTAAGAACCCCCCATTGAATCATGGCTTAATGCGGATGAATATGGGGAGTTATCCATCAAACATGGGGCCAGATGGGGGTTGGGTGTATGGGGATATTTCAGGAGTTTCCTAAAATGGCCCCCGAATCATCAAAAAACTGGTCACTTTTTCATAGGGAAACGAATGGTTCACATGGATAGAATATGTTTTCAGTGAATCATGTACGGGAAATCAGTTGGCCAAAAATACGGTCCATTGAAGTGACATTTTGATACATTTTGGATAATTTGTGGCTTGGTCTATTTTGTTCCCAAGTTGAAACTGAAGATGTTGCACGCATGCGTTTTGCCACATCCTTTTGTGGAGGTTTGAAACTTTTCTATCGATATTTGGTGGCCAATTTGGGACCTCACTTGCCAAGCTCCGAGATAGTGATACGAATGAGGGAACCTTCAAATGGGCGCACAAAACACAAGGTTTCGAAGTATAATCTACCCAGGAATCTGTGTGAAACTCTACTAGCCTGACGTCTCTCATGGCCAATCTTATTTCTTTCAATGAACATCTACAAAGAACCATGGTGAATCATTTAATTGTTCCTGTGATTTTCCATTTGTCCTTCAACCAATTTCGTTTATCCTTGTGACACAAATTGTATGAACTTGTGGGTAGGGCCTGTTAAAAGAGCAACAAAGGGTGTTCAAGCTACCTGGGAAGAGAAATCTAAATCATGTCTTTTGATGATTTACAGAATAGAGGGGGCTTTAGAATTTCAGATGGCTTTCCTTTCCATCCAGCTGGGTATCATTATCAACGCAGAAGCGGCCACTATGGCGGAACATCCCAATCACTGTCACAAGCCCCTTTTTGGGGTTGGTTTTTACTACTTGGATTGGTAAACAGCGAAGCAGATTCAGTGGCAATCCCACTTGGATGTGCGAAATGAGGTATGTCCATGGTTTGAACGGAACAGGCCAAAATTTCATGGGATATCCTCACATTTTTAATATTTTTCATGAGGTGTGCCCCAAAAAGGTGTATACCCCCAAATTGATGCAATTTTTGACAGGGAAAAGACCACAACCATTGATGTGCAGCTTGGTCAACCTGCATAACCCACCCTGTATTGAAACCAGTCACAAGCCTGTTGAACCGCATTGAACCCATCAAAGAAACGTTTTTCTTTTTGGCCACATGTCATTATTGACAAATATCACCTGTATTCACCTGTCATATCTTTTGTTTGGTTTATTGCATCATTTTCTGAGGATTTACCATGAACAATGACCATTTTTTGGTCATACCTTTTGTTCAAAAACAGCCACAGCCGACCTGAGAAAAAACTCGGACCGGCAGGTGTGCGGTGCATGATGGGCGGCCGC